TTTTCTTTTGGGGTGTCTTAGGAAAGTGGTATCGAATAGAAAATGATATATATTTTCGATGAAAATGATAAGGCTCTAATGAAAATGTTTCTATGGCTACACAGTAGTAATAAACGGTTGGCAACTTCTTTAGGAAGACCAATATTAATAATTTTACTGCATAATATATTCAAGTCTACATTATCATATGCTGCAATAACGTCTAAAAACATTACCTACAGCACGTCTTCTAGAACGTCCTTTCCGGAATCCATATTGCGAGCTTGGGAGCAATTGGTTTTTTCCAAGCAGAATCTCAACCTGTTCTTAATGAGCCTCTCGTACGTTTCCAAAACGCATGAAGCTAGTGCAATGGGCCGATTTGAATTTGGTGATGTTTGGTTATTCTGGTTTTAGAATTGGAATAGTTACATAATCATAACAATCTTGAAGATTGTATGTCATCATTTAATCATATACCAGATTGCATAGGCCGCTAGATACAAACTGGTTCGAACTCGGATACACATGGGTAGATGACAAACAAACTTATTTTTTGGCCAAGCTGATGGAAACTATTGAATCAAATGTTTATTTTGTGATGGGTCATAACATACGCGGAAACAGGAGTAAGTCTTTTGCGATTTTCCTAGTGAGATCCATGTTTATTTTTTATAAGGTTTACTGCAAATTTTTTTAATCAACGTGCACCTCAAAAATATTGAAAAATAATATTTTTCCGCTGCAAAAGTGAAATATCACGACTTTCTTCAGAAAAGCACTGTTATGCTAATTTCAAGTTATTTAATGAGTACACAACGTTTTCGGCACTATTTTTGAGACTTATCATTTCAGGAGGTCTAAAAGTATCCAAAAAACTTGTATTGTCTTCACTTTACAAGTTGAAAACTAAGCAAGTTTCGTCAAAATTGTACAAAAAAGTGGTCGACAGTTTTTTAGAGGCAACATAACATTCCTTTTAATGTTGGCCCGCCAATAAATATCTTTAAAAAGGACTCTTGGAAGTAAGACTAAAATGTTCTGTTCATCACTTGAAACGTTGTCTAATTGAATGTATATTTCTTTACGTTAGGACCATTTACGATTTTGAAAACAGCATAACCGTCAAAGTCGGAAACACCATTGCCATGACCTTTTTTGTCTCCGTCCCCTTCCCCGAATTCCCGGAAACAAATTCGCCCCGGACCTCAAGTTCTATATAAATATGCTACTGGCTGAAAAGTACACATGGATGAAATACACACAACACCTCGATGTATTAACGGAGCAATGCAGATGAGCCTGCTTCATGTACTATCATGCTTAAAAATATTATGTTGTATAATTAATTCTCATGGGGTTGCTCAAAAGAATGAGAAAATGTTTTTTATCCATAAGGATAAGATCAGATTCAAAGCTGCAAACAATTATTTAAAGGGCTCTAGGTATACTAACTTTCGTTTTCTACAATGGAACAGGCATACATATCGATAAAGAACAAGACGGAAATTAATAACAATGACTTTCGAGATGTAGATGTTAAGAAACCTAAAAAATGTTGCTAACTGCAGTTATACTATAAAATTCTGGCAATCACAATATCAGCCTTGATTGCGTGTGAGAATAAAACTGAAAACGTCTGAGTAATCCATTTACTTTTTCTTATTGACAGCGCTAGCGAATTCGCCAACCGCTCCACCATTTCCCGATTCGACTATCGATATCCCAATACAGTCTCACAATAGACAACTAGACGTTTTAATCCAGGTACGGTCGACATCGGATATCAGTTCGGTTGATTTGATTTATAATATCAGTAACGAGGTGGAGGACAGAGTAGCTTGGCTGGCCAATCGGCATCATCGTCAAAGTTGATTACTGGCTCTACGAGCGCTCAAAGGACGGTTAGAGCTGTTATTACTCTCTCTCTATCCGAAAGGAGGTCGGGAACAATGCTTCTATATTTACATCGGATGACTCCCTTCAGCTGATATCGATAGTTCGTTTCTGTTTGTTGTATGGTGGGCGGTAGAGATTTGGCGAGTTGTATCACGGGAGTTTGTGTTTTTCGGTTTATGACTGGAGAGTGAGCACTTGCTGCTAAAGCGAGGATAATTTCACGCAGCCACTTGAAATTCTTCAAATCTGTAGGCTTCATACTTCTAACCACAACAAAATTGAAGTCGATTTTTCAAGTAGTCTTCGAGAATTTCTAATTGTTTATCCCAGAAGACCTGTTTTCCGGCCATCACTACTAGTTTACTGAGCAATTTACATGGTTCGTTCAAAGGGCATTTGATAGCAAAATACACGAGATTACCTTTTTGACGTAAATCATGAACTATTCCGGAAGATAATTGTTATTTTATGCGAACGAAGGGTTACGCTATTTTTCTTCTAAATAAATTGAAACATTTTGTATTTATGAGTAATTATTCAGATTCGCTACGATATTCGAAAGGCGTACATTATTAAACACATTTTAAAACAATCACCTTTTGTTGCGAAGAAAACAATTTTTATTCAAGATTTCCTCATACTCTTGTGTAAACATATTTAGAGCTGAAATTTTAACACGGTCACAGATGAGCCTCAAAGTTTTAAAAAAAATATTGCATACTGAAATGCGCTGAACTGTTTATTAAGAAAGCACGCAAACTGAAGACACAATTATGTTTCAAACTGTCTTAGACTAGTTAGTATGTAGTATGTGCTAAATAATTTTTATTGATAATTGCATTACTTTGTCAAATAAGCAGGTCACGTAATCCAGTTTCTTTACGACGAAATATAATTCCCTAAAAGTTTTTTCTAAAATAAAGTGTCCTGTTATCGAAATCTTGTTCGATCAAAACGACTGCGAGCTCAAAATGTTGGAAAATAAACTCGAGAAAATGGAAAAACAGTAGAGAAATATCAACCGTCTTCAAAACTATGCAAAATGCTCGGTATTAGTCCCCTTGTATAGTTTTCAAGAGTATTCTTATTGTTAATAAGATATTTGATATGTCCCAACGTTCGCTTGACATTTGTCAGTGTCAAGTGTAGTGGTACAAAGATCCAGTAAACCAAGAGGCATCGTAGCGTAATGGGAAAGAGCGGCGATTGCTGAATCGCAGGACGGAGGTTCAAATCCACAAAGCTCCTTTCTTTTACTATTAATTTTTTTAAAATTAGGAGAAATAAATGCTTTTTCACATTATGTGTACTTTTATTGCGATCAAACAGTTTTTCGAACGCCATAGAGAATGTAAGCTTGCAAACAGGAAACCAGAGGTATGAGGGACACCGACTTAGAATTGGGAGACAGATCACGCACCCTATGGATAAACCTAGCCCGTGGTACCCTGGGTAGGAGTTAGCTCCGCCAACTAATTTCGTCAAATAATTGGTCGTGACAGAACTTAATGCACAAACTCTTTCCCCAGAAATGTGCTACGACTACGTGTGAGATTTGAAGACTCTTTTTGTTATAAATCGAATGAATTAGTGATCCTGGCGCTTCGCTGTCGTTTTGTTTCGTTGCAGTCTTACTTAGATTGTTAGGATTGTCAAATCAGTTTTGTTTCCTAACTGGTACATCGATAAATTAGATAATTGAGATGCTGCGCTTGTTAGGATTTCTACTTTGAAGTATACAAATTAGGACTTCAGATTATGAATTACAAATTCTTGAGGATGATTACTTCCCACTCCTTCTGGCGATGAGATGTTATATTTTTTCTATGTTATATGACATGTACAGCACGTAAAACCATGTCACTCATCTCCGTCTGTCCGCTGATTTCATAACAGCCTATAACTTGATAACTACAGCTCAGAATTCGATGAAATTTTGACATAGTGTTACTACCATGTTAAGGACACAAGAGCTTTTCAGTTTATTAAATTTGGTCCAGTTGTAATGGAGACTAGAGGCAAAAACACAAAAAAAATAAAAATCACTCAAACTTCGTTTCTTGATATTTCAGAGGCTCCTGACCATTCCCAGAAAAAAATGTAAGGGTTGAATGTCGGGTGGTGATTGTAGGGGGTAAGAGAGGGCATTTTTGGACAGCAGTATATATACTCGTATATATACACTTCGAACCCCATTAATTTTGCGCACCTATCATTGATTTCCCCGTACATTTGCCCTTAAAACTTGAAGAAATATTTATAGACTCCACACGCAGATAAAATTTGACAAAAAAATACATAACGCGTAATGCCAAACAAAAATTAAACATACCAATACATTCTCAGTACTAATTGCATGGATATGCACCAACCACCACTTTGCTACCTACAACTAGAGCATTTTAATAAAATCATGACTTAATGTTTTCGAATATATGCTTCCCTATATCCAAAAAACAACTTGCATTCTGTTTCCTACAATCTGTATGATAGGCTGTAACTAACCCTCTATTTTTTCTTGTTTCTCTCGATGATTTATCAATTAATTAACTACACTTGTGGAACTATTCTCCTTGTAATTTACAACGGCAAAAGACTTGTAAATAATGGAACCCATACATTTTGAAATATACATAGAGTCCCACTTATTTTTTAGAAAAAGTGCGTTTTTTATTTTTGATCCCCCTGTACTAATCATTCTGACGAATAAAAAAACTAATGAATCCTCCTGTCAAGATAGCAGGTGTGCAAGCTGTTAAACTTGAGTACTTTTTCAAATAAAATACCCAATAACTCAACAAATAATTAACAAAACCCACAAGTATGCCATATCAATCTTATTATTTTGAAAGAGTCTGTCCGAATATGAGGTAAAAGATACGGCACTTTGGACACCCTGTATAGTTGTGAGTATTTTATAAATAATATGCTCCCAGACACCATGCACAATAACCCATAAATTTCTGTTTAGAAGCCATATTCCGACCCCGCATGGATTCGTCATCCTAATTACGATAACCGACACTATCAAGTGAAAATTTGAACCTTCTTCTGTCGTTTCGTTTGTCGGGGATTTGTACCGCTGCCACTGTCGACGCGGAATAGCACAGGATTACCTGTACATGGTACGTACAAGGTGTGATCAAAGAGCTTGTACTAGTGCGCAAATCAACACAGAACAGGTTAGTCCATGTAAGGGCATTATTTAGGATGAACGCGATGCTCAACCTCATCTCCGTACATGAAGGCCCTAACAACAGTCCATTCACCTGAAATCCGAAAAGAACGTAACAATCACTAAACAAATGGTTCGCGGGTATTTTAAGATGATGCATCAAATCTTAGTAAAGTGATTGTTTCTCTGGAAAACAAGGGTATTTGCATCGGAAATATTGGTTAGTTGAAAAAATTAAAACATCAATCTGGGGACTTTTATCTGACTACCAATCAATTTTTGACAATATTACCGCAACGTTAGCTGAAATGTTACAATGACATCTGATGGGCAACTCCAAACTGACTAGCGACCACAATGCTAGTAACTGTGGAGCCACTGGTCACACTGCCGTCTCTTTGGTCAGAACGATCATATTTGAATACATACCTATACAAACTCGGGATACCCATGCCAGTTGCTTCAGGTGAGAATGGTTCATAAAAGAACGCATCATCTAAATTTTCTGGGAAACTGAACGGTAGATTTCTTTCAAATTCCACAGAAAAATGGGTCACTACAATGATTGAACATACGTATACAATTTTAGAGGTTTCTGGAAATTGTGACTTAACGCAGGTAATGCCTAGAATGCTATTACATCAATGCCGATAGCCCATCTGAGTAACTGGAACCAATCAGATACTTGCATTTGAATCACCACTACTACATACATTGCAATTTTTATATTTGGAAATTAGGCAATTATTCTGACAACTTTCTTGTGAAACATGGTTTACGACAGAGCCGCCAGAAAACGGCTTTTTCATCAAAAACAATTATGTATAAAGATGCTCGCTGAAGTCGTTTTCATACATCCATCTCACTTGGCCTCCGTTCCATAGTATAGCTGCTTTTATCATGTGGCCATTTTCGCTAATGTAAGGTATTGTATACTTTCTTTCAGCTCTTACGTGAAACACGAATATATGTGTTGTGGTTTCCATTAAGAAATATATTTTTGCTTTCTTTTGTGCTCTTATGCAGCCAAGTTGAATAAGGAAAGAGTAAATTGAAAAGGAGGTGAAAAGGGTAAGCGCAGTCGTTGTCTTTTATAACCAAGATATATTTCTTACTTGGACTGTGCTTTCGTATTATCCTTTCAGTACATTCCCATAAATAATCTAATACAATGATTATATAGTAAGTATACTTACGAAACCCCTAAAGTCTTTTTACTTAAGGAAAAGATGAAAGATGAAAGAGCCATGATGTGACTTACGATCATTGCCTTGGAGCGTTACAGTCATTTCGTTTCTAATATTTCAATACCAAAATGTCCGACTTCATCTATATTTTTCTTGCATCTCGCAGTAATTTGTCATTTGTGAGTCCACCATCGAGATAATTTAGAGAATGGTTAGCCTCTGTTTTGTCTATATAAAACGGGATCAGGTGGCGGAGTCAAGTATTACACATTTGTATTATACTGACACAAGCCTGGCTCAAGTTTCACAATCTGTATACATAAGTAGCGATTTAGCAATTTAGAAAGCCTCAGTTCGGTCCTGTACCTTGTCTATATGTTAAACATACTAACCTATATATCGACAGCTTATCACCTATAAGCGCATCACCAGAGCATCAGGCAACAAAGAAGAAACAGTTCCAGAAACGAGGATCAAGTTGTGCTAAACATAAGGTTCGAAACATTTTTACGATAAAAATGTTCACCTGATCCCGTGACCAAAGGCGTTACGCCATATTCCCTAGGGATTCTATGCCAATAGTGAACATAGACAAGAAAATCATCAAATACATGCACGATACTTTCACTCTTAGTATTATTGAACCATTTCTTTCACAATCTGGGTATGAGCGACTTTCAGTGCCGACTCAAGGATGTATCCTGTACTTGACATTGACCGTTTTAGACATAGAGAGAAAAGTAAAGATGTCATTCGAGTTCAAGAATAGTAAGTTTATTAGATCGTGTTCGATGAGACAGTTCAAGAATGGTCTTAAACGTATTTGGTCATGAGCTGTGACCTTTACACGTGATCTAAGGCCGGATTGTCAGTCGTTCCTACAATTTTAGGACGCCTTTCTGGGTTTCTTGATTTGCATAGTATGTTCTCTCCTTCAGAAAGGCTGGGGTATTTCTACTGAATCAGCGCTCTCTTATTGTGAAGTTTATGTTTCCATTTTGAATTGTAGGAAATTTAAGGATGTTAAAGCAGATGATATAAAAAGCATGAATAATTTGATCCAAATAAATATTTGTAACATAACCTCAAAATAGAGCGCTGACACGGAGCAGTAGAAAACTATGAAAATCAAGGTGGTTATAAAAGCATCCTACAATTGTAGGAACGACTGACGATACGGCCCTTAGTGAATGATCCTAGTATTAGGAAAACTTGCAATTTTATTTTCAACTGCATGATAAGATAACGAAAAGTGAGTTAAGTATTTTTAAATTTAATATTTTTAATTGTTCGAAATTGGTTTTTGCTCTCTGAAAAATAGATCGATTTCCCATATGAGGTAGTATTATTTGAATACCTGCATAAATCAATAAAGTTTTGAATATTCAATAAAGTGTGTAATCATAAAATGTTCGCTTTTAAAGAAGGAGTAGAATCAGTTTTAAAAGCTAAAATCGTCCCACTGGTTACGAAGGTACATGAGATAAGCGTTTTATATTTTGGCGGCCAATCGGTAACTTTGACCATTTGGTTCGCGTGACCTAAATATTTCTATACGCGTAGATTCATTATTATGCTCCGCATTGAAAATGACGGCTTCTCCTAGACTATCATGATGCCGCCACGCGCTAAGCCTACCAGACAAACCCGCCACACTCTCGTTACAGTTTCTAACTCTTCCGAACTCTGTACATCGGGAACTGGTCGGTAAGCTGAATCCTTTTTTTCTGGACTGTTGAGTTTTTGGAACAATCTACCGGAGGATATTTTCCCAAACTTTACTAACCTTTAACAGTTCAAGAATCGGATCTGTCAAATATTTCTTACATATTTTTATCAGTTGCGGTACCTCGGAACTTAATTTTAGTATAAAAAATAATTTCACACAGAAATTTTTACCATCCAAGTGCAATGTTGCTGCAGGCAGTCTCAAAAGCTTCTTCCATGAACTGTGTTTCTCAGATTTCTTACACGAGCTTCCCGTTAACTCAATTGGGCAAGTGCTTTGTTGTGTACATTTTCTGGGAATCACGTCCTCCTATAAATCGACAAGCAATCTACTTGACTCCTCCTTCATATCAGGAGACGCATTTCGTAAATCAACCATAATCACTGCTTACAGTTCACCACGACGTCTTTACCGCTCCTTACCATCACGTGACGTCGCTTGAGCAGGTCAATTCCAGGGTATCGTCGGCTGATGCAGAATATTTTTACTCCCCTATAAGAAATATATATGATGTGCAATGGAACGTCTAGTTCGTATAACCGACCTTCCGAAGTCCGATCAGTGTTGCGTTGTCTGCGGAGCTCACTTGGTGGGTCGCAGGGTCTTCTATTGAGTGCAAAATACACACGTACGACAAAGGTATTCCGTGAGCGCAGCACCCACTGCGGAGGAACATCCACGCACAATTAACAAAATTTACGGTACAGGGTCTAAAATGAGGACCACCATTTTTTCACTTTTTCTCAACGATTCCGTCCGTATATGGGCCTGATTTTGTCATTATCTTCACTTTGTATGCAAATTTTACATGGAGGGTCTCCACATTGTATAATACACATGGTGTTTTCGAAGTTGAGATATTTATTTTAACAGCTTGTAGAACTCATCAAAAGAAGTTGAAATACCAAAAGTCACCCATATAAAAGTTGCATAATAAGAGAGCTAGCTTACATTATTAGAAATTCTTTAAAAGGATCATTATTAAATTAAGTGGATACCGTCTGTACAAAAATTGTCCAAAATTGTCCCCATTTGTTCGCATAATGCCAAAACTTGCGACTCTTTTCAAGCTGCGAAAATAAAATCCTGGTGTCCATGAATTAAACAAGCATTTTCAGTGCGCTGTTAAAGTGCTTTCAGAGTATTTACTGCTCCATCATGATACATCAACCCTTTCAAATAGCTCCACAGCAAAAAAATGCACCCTATCCATCTATTCAGAAACTCATTATTTAGATTCATGAACTTCTCGTCTAAAATGTGGTGGAGCTCCATCATGTATCATTTGTCATTTGTGAGTCTAGCATCAAGATAATTCAGAGAATGGTTAGCCTCCTATCATGTAGCAACCACATACCTATTATGTCTCACATTTAGAAGAACATCTTATAATAATTGTGGCAGACTGTGTCGAAAAAAATCTAAATAAATTTCACCGGTCAGTCGAGGTGGAAGAAAGTAGGGTCCAATAAGCATGCCACTTACCACGCCAGCCCAAACATTAAATGAAAGTCTATGTTGAAAATGAGGCCTTTTTACAGCATTCGGATTATTTTCTACTGCACAAACATGATTGTTGTGAAAATTGTGCACTCCATTTGGTATCATCTGTACACAAAATTAATTTCGTAAAATCTTCATTTCTGCCGAACTGTTCTAAAATCCACTGTAAAACTACAACTCTTCTAGGATGATGTTTAGGTAGTAACACTTGTACTCGTTTATAATGATAAGAATGTTCTTGTCGTATTGTCTTCCACACCTTACTATGAGAAACTTCAACTTGAGCTGCTATAGCTCTAGTACTCATTGTTGGATAGTCTTCGACCATTTCTAAAATTTTTTCCTCAATTTGAAACATTTCAGGTTGAGCAAGCTTTCCAACGTGACCTCATCGCTGTTCTTTTAAATATCCTGTGTCACTAAGTCTAATAACTAAATTTACAAACATCCGTGGGGCCGGATGATTTCTCAAAGGAAACCTTTCCATATACCACCTGCATGCAGCTGCTGCTATATTTTTTGGCACTATCCGTATGTTAGAATTATGTGCATTGTTTTCGTAAACATGAGCCACTTTTTCGCACAAAATAATCAGACAAATGAAAGTATACGCACTATTAAACGACTGATACAACTGATCGGACAAAAGACTCATACTCCATACAATATCACAAAATCACAAAAAGTTTGCCAAATTCAGATAAATGATAAGAGTAGTAAACCAAAAAAGATCAGCATCAGTCGGTCCGCCAAGCCGAGCACTTCGCTCTCGAAGACAGCGCCACTGAAGATTGCTACCGCAGATGTAGCCGAAAACATTCATTCTTCAAAAAGGATAAGATTTTTCATGGCAGTGGTCGAGAATAACAAAAAATCTGTGTAATAACAATCTTATTTTTTTAATTTTTAATCTTTGACTATTTCTTTTATCATGTGATTTTTATATAGGTGATTTTTGGTATATCAACTACTTCTGACGAGTCCTACAAGCAGTTAAAATAAATGTAACAACTCTAAAAACACCCTGGCGATGGATTTCTTATTCTACATCTTTTGAAATAACTCAAAAGCGGTATTTTAAATTTTTAAATGAAGAACTAATCAACCGGGTATAATTAAAACTTTACCATATGCAACACTTTATAAGAATTTCTCCCTTTTTTTCAGAGCTACCTATTCAACGTATCCTTTGAATACGAGAAGGAATTAATTTCATTCGACGAGAATGGGGACCCTCCAGGCAGGTACGATATCATGAACTTCCAACGTCTTACTAATGGTTCCTTCGATTACGTCCAAGTTGGTGGCTGGAACAATCATACTCTGACCTTGAACGAGAAGATCATGCAGTTTGGACCGAATGGACGCACTGTGAAGTCAGTTTGTTCTGAGGACTGCCCCATGGGAAAGTACAAGGTATGAGACCAGACTCCTTTTATAAGGCCGAATGGAATAAGTAATAAAAAAGAGGTTCATTAAAAAATTAAACATTTGGCTATATAAGCAACTCGCTTCACCTCCCCACCACTACTACCAAATGAGTATTACAAACCCTAGGACTTTTTCCAGTAGTATCAGTGCTTACAGCTGTAGGTACTTCAGAAGTCAACAGTTTATCTGAAGCTTAATGAGTAGCACGTAATTCACCATTAATTATGCAAAAAATAACATATCATTATTTATAACAAATTTATTGTAGGCGGGCCAAAATACTTTTCGATGCCTGATTCCAGATGTAGTTTAGGAAAAAAACTGGGAAAATCAATATGATATTTTCTTATAATTTATGGCAGCTACATCATGGTGATAGTTTGTTCCATGCTATGGTTACATTTGCAGCGAAGTTTTCAATGAGACTACAATGATTTTGGCAGTTTATGTAGGAAGTGGTCGTGAAGTCGAACAACAGCGTTACTATACTACAAAATGAAATTTATATTTTCGAAACATGCCTGCTGAGCTCGCTACTCTGGCGCCCTTGAACTGTACCACTAATACTATCCTCCCATTAAGTAATATCACAGAACTGATCAGTTCAAAGAAATATTTGTTATACTTAAGACAACTACGTTACTAATGTCGTATTTATAGACATAAACTTATATAAAATAACAACAGAAAAAAGCGTATACTAAACCAAAATAGCGAGATAAGCTTGTACTTTTGGTGAAAAACAGGTACATATGGAATCAAGACAATTTTCACTTACAAGAAACGTAAACATTATTCTTAATGCTGTTCTAAACTGGGGACAAAATGGTAACGCAATGGTAACCACAGTAACAAAGTGGTATCATACTCACATCACTTTATGCCTTCATAAAGTAGATCTAGTAGGCTCAAAAGTAAACTAAAAAATGAACTTCCGAGGTCATAACGCAATATAAGATAACATAACTGTAAGTTATAAACTTCATTATCGTACAGTATATACTTCGAATTATTTGCACAACCATAAAGTAACAAAAACAATTCAACATCTTAAAAACTATTAGGCAAACGTACATAAGTTTTATTTTCCAAAATCGTTCAATGGTTCGTCAAGCTCGAAGAATGCTCGTTTACCTTTCATGACCATTTTAGGATTAGGAACGATTTGCAAGATATTTTCATAAGGTTCGTAAGATATATCAGTCTCGACTGCTTTAAAAATTTTAGCAGTACAATCTGCTCTTATAAAACAAGACCTTGACGTCTCCCTCTTCATCAACAGTACTTTTAGCCACTCCCAGGTAAGTATAATGTTTATCTTTAACGGAAGAAACTTTAACTAAAACGTAAACACCATCTGATATCTTCGCTGGATGAACGTTTTCCTTATTGATTAGCTGTTTTTCTTTCACGTTAGATACAGACGGCTGCTCCAAGTTTGCAAGAACCTCTTCGTCAGAGCTAGAAGATGGGGAGTAAACCATGCTGTAGAAACTTCTTCTAGATTCGGTAGGGACATTGGATATATCGGCTAGTAGTTCTTTGTTGCTCAATCCATCTGCATAACTCTTTTCTGTAGATTTGCTGATTTTGCCAACGACGGGAGTAGGAACTGGCCGATAGGTTTTTGGATCCAAGCATAAGCTAAACCCTCTTTGACAGAAACAACTAAGGTCTCTATATTTTAATTCACCTGCAGTATCAGTGAAAATTTGATGAACCTGCATAGTATCCTGGAGTGGTACTACATTTTTTGGTACAGTTTTTTCGACATTTTCAATGTCATTATCAGTTACCAAGTACAGACGGACCTTGCTCGAGTTCCTCAATGTGTGGGAAAAAGTTTCTGAATCAGAAATATTTGAACCAGTCGCTACCTTTTTAGTCATATCTCTCACTAGTTTTTTTTTGGCGTGGTACCTTTCAAGGTGTTTTCTTTTAGCTTCATCATTTTTAACGGCGTCCAGCTTCAACTTAAGCTTATACCGACGCTGCTTTTCCGGTGGGGACAGAGCCTTTTCGTTGATAAGCTTCTTTCTAAAAGGAGTGTCGAATGGGTATTTTGGTTCCACTAGTGCACCTAAAACAGCTGTGTTACTAGCGGAACAACTGCGTTACTTTTTTTGGTAACGCAGTGTAGCAGTAACGCAGTGGTCAGTTTTTGATTATTTCATTTGTCTGCACTCAATCACACAACCCAAAGCAATTTCACTAAGGGCATTGGAGAATATACCTAAATGACTATGTAATCACAAATTCATAAATCAAATATCAATTTTACTTACATTTCTTTGACGGTAACTCAGCATTCGCACAATAAGCACACGCATCTCTTATAATGGCTGTCAAGCGACTACTTCAATTCGCTGAGTCAGCTTACCTGACGGCCACTGCTCGAATGAATAGTCACATCAAGTCAAATGGAATAAGGTACATGTTTTAGCGATACACTTATTTTAAGTTCTGTTTTCACATAGAAACTCAGGGTAGTTAAGATTTTGTGCTTTGCTGGGGACACAATATAAAATATTTTTTATTTCGTTTCACGTTCAAAGTAAATCGTATCTATTGGAGCCCTAAACAAGGTTGAATGCAGTAGTTTTGAGCATAATTTTCATGAAAGGCCACCTAGCAGAGAATACGCGAGGCTGGTCTCTATATCATGGGACTGATGTGTAGGGACAGTAATATTTTGTATGGAAAAATACTGCGTTACCGGAAAAGACAACAGTGTTACTAAAATTTTCCAATAAATATAAAATTTTAGTTAAATTTCATGTTGTAGTTTGATTAAGCCACAGTGTTATATTAACGAGTTACTGTCATTTTTGTACAAATTGCTTACTGTTCGCCCAAAAAGTAGTTTACATTTCAGGGGACCGATTTTTAGGCACACAAAAGTATTTCAGCCCAGGCATCTTTTTATTGTACGATAATAATGGTAATCCGCTTGGGCAAACCACAACTCGTGTTTGGGTATTGTTCTCAACACTAAGCTGACGTTCAATGATCACACTTTTCACGTGTTGGAAGCAGCACTTAGATCTTGAGGAGAATTGGTGGAGCAGCATTCAAGCTTTTGTATTTCAGATCTGCTAGGAGTATGAAATCTATATATCTAATTATTGGGTGTGCAGCGGAAGGCGCTGAAATATATAATTTTAATTGAAATGTCAAGGTAATTATTCTAAATGAGGTTTTAACAATTACGCATTATCAAGAATTTGGTATTGAATAGTCATTTAATGTCAAGGAAAGTTAATTTTCAGGTACCTAGATTAGGTATTCGCACTCAGATTATGCTTGATCCTGATATCTCTAACACAAAATGTCAAAATTGTTTCAAGTCGCTAGTGAAGACTGACGAAATAATACAAAACCTGTTTTGCACCTTTTTTCCAAAATTTCTTTGTTTTTTTTTTTCAAAGAAACACATTTTCTTATATAACGCTATGTTTGGTATCTCAGTATAATATCCTTCAACTCGAAAAAAGTACCACGAAAAGATCCCAGTTTCAATTGCGTCTACTTTTTGTTTTTGAAAAAACCGTGTTATCTTTTCCACACTAGAATTTTAAAAACTAACTTTCTTCCGCTGTCCGTTTCATGCGGAATGTCTCACGTGTTTAAATGATGGCATATATGCCTACACGAGTACACATAGTATGGTTATGTTTTATCTTTGTTTTTGCAAGTTCAAATATATTGTACTGTTGTCACATTACGGATGTAACCTCGTTATTTCCTGTAAATGGATATAGCACGTTGGGAATTGAATAAAAAAAATTAAATACCACTGTGAATTTATTCAATCAGGTGTAATGTTCCATCACCCAGGTTTCGTAAATGCCTTGAATTATTTGACGACTATAAATTAAAAACTAACACCACATAACTCAAGACACCGAATGTAGCTTCCAAACTAAGTGTTACTAACACACAGCCAGATAAAAATAATCAAAGCATGAAATGTTATTGGTATTCTATGTTGGAGTTAGCAGTAACACAACTTCCGGGTTAAAAAAAGTGAGATGATTCATGAATGTGCGCAATAATTGCAATAACAAACGTACTCCAATTGGCTGTTCCACAATCAATGCGGATAACGGCGCAACCGGACGACACATTAATTGTAAATTCATTATATTTATGTAAAACAAGATTGTTGATGAATCGACTATCATTAATTATCCAGGACTCGAATGCATATTGTAATGCGAAATACCTAAAACAATGTAACATCTGAAACTTATTCTGTGGTTTTTATGTCGATAATCTCGCATGTTTTAATGTGGTATACGTTTCAGTCACCGCGGAGACCTTCTTCAGTATATGACACCTTTGGAATTATTCAATTTATCTGTCTACCAGGTGACAATTTGTTCGCTTTTTCTCATTTTCAGATTCTCATTCAGTGTATCAATACAATATTTTGGAAGGTCGTGAACGTGCCGAACAAAGCTGTCATCCAAGTTTTAAGATGGCACCTGATCTATGCTGGTTTTGCGGTTTTTTTATTGTTTATCAGAACCGAAAACACATAAATCAACCCTACTAACCAACAGAAAAGATTTTAAGGATTTTAGATATATAACAATATAACATAATGTAATCTACCTCCCTCCCGTTGCTATTTCAATTTGTAGCATCCATGGTTTGCAACTGTTCATCAGAATTATCGATGATTTAATTTTTCATCCGTCCAGTTATACTTGTGGTCCAGTAGTATTGCCCTCTTTGAAAATACGACATATTGCTGTCTCCGATACTTTCTTTCGCGAGTTCATGGATTCTTTTTGGAATTGTTCTATTCCCTTTCAAGATATTCGTTTACAGAGCGTGTCGAAAAACCCCCTACTTATTTTTTGAATGAGTGAAGTTAGGAAGCTGAAATTTGGAGTTATGAAATTCAATGTACAAAACCAGTCCATCTTTTTGAAAGATAAAGAGTTTACGTCCTAGGATTATGAAGTACTTATGAGAGACTTTAGGATAAGGTATCACCCATCACTCCGTCTGGAAAAATTATGATCTGCTGTCGGCTTAAAATTTGCAACGGCCACTTTAAGTTTAAATATAGCATTCATACAATAACTTCATAACCCTGAATTTCAGTTTGCTAACTTTACCCTTTCAAGAAACAAGCAGGTGGCTTTTTGAGAAGCACTGTATGTTTAAGATAATAACGTCTACACTGAGTATGGAGGTAATTGTTTTTCGTTTTAATCGTCTGAAGCTGGTCCCAGCACTGAGACTCCGTGTCCTATTGTATTCTACATATCTGCACGATTCTATTCAATTGCTACCCTACTACTACTCTGTGCGACCGCAAAATCGATAAGTTGCTATATTTACTTTCGTTTCAGTTCTATCGGCTCAACCTGTAACAATGAGAAACATTAATTATTATAAGAATCAACCCATTACAAAGATAAACCAAATGCATACCTATGTCCCGTCATGGGTAAACTCAACTTAAATACATAACACCACTACTGTATAACTGTAATATCAGTTTTCCTAAAAAATTGGCGTAAAGTAAAAAAATAAAAACTTGCTGTAAATAAATCGAAAAGGAACGGATGCAAAATTCAAAGCATCGATAATGGTGATGAAGACATGCAAACCGCTGATGTTACAAGTGATTTAGGTTTTCGTATAACAAGGTTACTAAAATAGAAACAGGAGGGAAACAGCCTAATCTACAGATTAGCTTATGTTATTGTATTATATGTCTAAAAACTTTGAGATCATTTCTGTTGTCTAGTATGGTTGATTTATGTATTTTTTGTTCTGATAAACAATAAAAAAAGTAAAATATGGATTTGAAAACCGCGATCACATTGCTTTTTGTATATTTCCAGTTAATCAATAATTTTTAGTGAGTTGAAACGTGAAAACAGGAAATACAAATGAAGATATATGTTTAATTTAAAAAAAAATACTGATATATTGAACGCTATCAGTGTTGAGTATACCGCCTATGGCAAAAGTTGGCTTAATGTGTTTTTACCAGAGACCATGCGTATACAGGATTTCACACCTTTTTCACTCCTCTTTTTTTGCTGTTTCAATTGGTATTAGAACGACAATACATACCTATATTTTGATGCGGCGATATGTGTGAATGAAGCCTCAAAGCATTGGCTGCAGGTCAGAGATAAGAAAGTGTAACTCTGTTCCAGCTTTTCCAATAGATGGAAACTCTTTCCACCATCGGAGTTGAATTTCGATTCCTCTGTTAGAATTTTGCCATTATGTAAGTGAATCTCAATCCTCCGTTGCAGTTTTCACTTGCTTTGTGGTCAAACTTCATGTGCCGGAGGCACCATAGGAATCCAAAAGGCAATCAGCAGACCTTATTATCTTGCAAAAATACTCGCGCGAAGGTACAATGGTGCTTAAAGAAAATAATTTGATTTAAAATTTGTTATGAAATATCATGTAGAATTTTCATGTGAAAGAACTAAACCAATATGACAAGAACAGACGTTTGACTACAAATACGTGCGATAGAATAATAATAACTTCCTACGCAATGATACTATTGGGAATATTTTTATGAGACACAATACTACCACCAAAATGGAGACGTGGGCTGCAAGACAACACTCTCAGAAATGAAGAAGTATCTCCAGACATGTCCACCAGGCACGGGAACTCATTGAAGGGCCCAGTGCTAAGGATGGGCGCTTCTGCCTATCTCTGGATAGAGCCAACCTAAGGTTGCTGGTGGGACTGTTGTCTGGCCATAACACGTTAAGGCGCCACCTGCACGTGATGCGGGTGGCTGAGGATCCCTTGTGTGAACGCTGCGGGGTAGAGGAAGAGACCTCGGCGCACGTTTTGTGTCGCTGTGAAGCTCTGAGCTACTATAGGCAGACTATACTGGGGTCCATTACTGTGGACCCTCAGGACGTCAAGGATCTTGGACTCAAGGCGACTCTCAACTTCGCTAAAAGGGCGAGGCTTGTGATCGCTTGTGATCTAAGAAATGTAGAAGTGCATAAGGCCCGCTTAAGCGGCCTATGCACTGGCTCCTTATGGTAGCCGGAATGCCTCTAATTTCAAGATTCATTCATTATTTCATTCATTCACTACCAAAGAATACAAAGTTACCAGTAGAAGGTGCACTCGCGAAAAAGCCTTTGATCTTCTGACTGCTAAAGATGCCGACAGCTCGAATATTTTTTTTTAGATGCCCCATTTGAAGAGGTCCCTCACTTTTTTATTGCTTCATACAGGGTAGTGCTGTCATACTTCCGCGCACGTACGGAATAGGTCGTCAAAAATTATTTGTAATGGCATCGAGTAATTGTACTTATACAGGGTGATTCATGTCATCATTGTCATTGCATGGACAATGGATGACAAATATGTTTAAAAAAATTGCCTGTTGAAAAATAGTTTACTGACTAGCGATGATTCACCTGTAGTACTGTCCACTTTGTCGTTACGTTGCCTCAGTGTTCACTGTATCGATGTTGTCAAAACTTGGAATATATTGTATAGTCACAAGAAAATAGATGTAACAGCGCTTAATGTTTTCTAAATGTCCTTATCTGCAGTTAGGTGAAAAACTGAAATAAAGAATAGTTAGTACCGTGAAAGAAATGAAATGAGACTTCTATAGGCTACAAAGGATATGGCACGAATGTCACTGCGGGAAGTGTACCATTATTAATTTTCCTAATCAAATCTATAGATCAAACTAGAAATATTTATCTTTCGTCCGGCCACAAACGGCCAACCATGCACAACAGTTTCATGCAATTTGGCAACTCCTCAGCATGGTGTAGGCTTGGTCTCAGGTAGAACAATGAACGAAACAACTATCTACTCAAGCCAGCTCAACCAAGTTATTTGTAAATATTTCCTCCAATTCCGTGAAATATTCAACGAATTTCCGAAAAGGCACTATCAAGTCTTCAAACTGAGCATGGGTTATTTTGGAAATTTTTGCTATTAGAAGTAAGACTACATAACACTCATGAACCATTGAGAAATTTTGGATGTGTGTATGAAAAACGGATATCAAATATGCTGGAATAACAATACTTGCCAAAAATCATTAGCAAGGCAACGAAACATCGGAACACCATTTCCCTCCTTTATTTTGCACCGCAGCGAAAACTTGTCATAGTGAATCGCCCTGTACACATCCAACAGCCTCGCGACCCACTTCCAACGGGATCGACGCCATCGGCTACCTGGATAGTTATGGTATATGCGCATCTACTTAGAAAAATACTTTGATTGTTTTTTCGCAAGGTCTCATTGAAACCTGGGCCTGTTGATGAATCTGAATGTTGCCATACCTGGTTGTTTCCCTTTTTATTAACACGTTGAACGCCATGGGCGGTCCCATGGGGACCGCTTGACATTGGGCCTATCACGCCACGCGGCCGTACGGACCGCTATGTATTTAATTTATTTCATGGTAACTCCAGCCAAAGATCCATATTTAAATTTATTTTAGCGTTAGATAGGACCGCTGTGGCCGGTATGCATTATACCCTAAAGTCCCCACACTTTTTGGTGTAGTTTGTTTTAAATAGAGTTATAAATTTTTTATTGATTTACATATTTCCTACTAAATCTACACAACAACGTTGACAAAAACAAACAAGATTCCAGTGAAAATGCGTATATATATATATATATATATATACAAATAGAAAATGATCGTGCGGAGAAAGGTATATAACAAAAAATAGGAAAATAATGGGCAAAATACGCAAAAAGAATGAAAGTGAATTCGAGCAGAAAATAAAATAGGTAACCCGAGCGATTCGTATTTCTGCTAGTTGGCTTCATCAGGCCCGAAATGAATGTACATATGAAACTACAAAAGATCCTTTGGGCATGAAGTACCACAGCAAGTGGCTATAACCGGCCGCGTGATTGTGGTTAGATGTCTCCTTGAATATTCGAGGTCTTCTAGCCATTTTGCCCATTATACAGGGTTACAGGAAAAGTCGTGCTAGATCCGTTAAGGGCGTGTAGTACCCATCATTTCTGACTTATTTCATTATGAAACACCCTACCCTAAACTTAACCCTTTTCGAGATATTCAACTTTTAATGTTTTTATTGAAAATTGCCGATTTTTAGGCTACTAAATGTATTTATTTTTATTTTGTGTGTGTTATTATTACTATTATTGCATTTTAACATGTGTAATAAGATGCTTTAGGACGTCAATCATTAGAATAGTCCATAAGTTAATTGAATAGGCTGTAGTAGATAAGTGAATGTTAAGAAATTGAAAAAAATATCAGAAAGTTTATTTTTCTCTAAGGGATATCTAAAAAAAATATTATGGCAATTGTTCGGCATATGTGTTTTAAAATATCTATGTTTTATCAGCTATCTAACGAGGTATAACAATCTAGGATTTTATTTAAATGCATTGAAAAAACTTAGTTTCATAGGCGACAGTGGAGAAGAAAATTGATACTTAGCCCTAAAAAGTAAAATAAAACAATAGGTAAGCATGAAATATCATTTATTAAATCAGATTTTCACACAACTTTTTCTTACTCTACAGTTCATGTTCAACATGGCTGCCTCTGTTTCTAATACATTGTCGCATCCTTCTACGGAGACCAGTCTTTACAACTGCAGTGGTCAACGTTGTCCTTAGTTGATTTGCTGCATCGACAATCCTTTCTCTTAATTCTTCCACAGACGAAACTGGATTTGGCTCGCTGTAGACAAGACTTTTCATGCACCCCCACACATGAAAATCCATGGGGGTTAGGTCCGGACTTCTTGCTGGCCATGGCAACGGCCCACCTCGTCCTATCCATTTGTTTGGATAATTTGTGTCCAGCCAGTCTCTGACACTTCTCCTGAAATGGGCAGGGCAGCCATCATGTTGGAACCACATGTCCCTTCTCAAGTTGAGTGGCAGATCATCCAGCAAATCTCTGAAGTCTCCTCTCAAGAAGTTTTCGTAATTTTCCCCATTTAGATTGTCCGGGAGAAAGTAAGGTCCAATCAAATGGTTGGAGATAATGCCCATCCACACATTCACGCTGAATCTTCGTTGGGACCTCGCCACTCTTTTCTTATTGGGATTCCTTAGTACTTTTGGGGCCCAGTAATGGGCGTTGTGATAGTTAGTTATGCCATCGTTATCAAATTTGGATTCATCTGTCCATAAGATATTTCTTAGAAAATCTGGGTCTTCTACGTCAGCATTTAGCATAAATCTGCTGAAGTCCAACCTTCTCGCGGGGTCTCCTTCTTCAATAGTGTGTACCGGCGGGTAATGGTACGGGTATAGGCCAGCAGTATGCACTGTAAACCACACTCTCCATTGCGAAAGTCCCAGATCACGGGCAACACGATTAGTGGAAATGGTCGGATCCGCTCGAAAGCGTTGCACTATCTCATTGTCCTGCAGTTCTTCGTTGTCATAAATTCGTGGTCTTCCCAGGTCTGTATTTCGTCTCAAAACAGAGCCAGTTTCTTGAAGTCTTAGATAAACTCTGTTAAAAACGGCCACATCCGGCACTCGACGACCGGGGAAGCGAGTTCTGTATTCGTTGCGAGCTTGCGCAGATACACAATCGCAGTATCCGTAACAAATAAGCATATCAGCATATTCCTCAGGTGTGTAGGACGTCATCTTCAACACTTCCGTATCACAAGTACAAATCAGAGTCCAGTGAATAAGCACAGTATTCACAAATCAGAAGAAATAGTCCAGAATCGTAGCCAAGTCGAGGAAAAGAGCAAAACGATATCACATCTACTATGTACGAAGCACAAAAGCAGACTGACAACCAAAACAACATCCCGTGTTGGATTTCCAGCCCTAACCGGTTATTATAATATGTTTTCTTTCATTCGCACCCACATTAAATCGTCATGTCTCGCTCGCACGGTGCGTCTAAACTTGAAGGAGAATAGGCGTGGGAACTGCTACTGGAGCGTCCCAACTACTTTTTTTCTACGAAATGTAATACAAATCCTAGATTGTTATACCTCGTTAGATAGCTGATAAAACATAGATATTTTAAAACACATCTGCCGAACAATTGCCATAATATTTTTTTTAGATATCCCTTCGAGAAAAATAAACTTTCTGATATTTTTTTCAATTTCTTAACATTCACTTATCTACTACGGCCTATTCAATTAACTTATGGACTATTTTAATGATTGACGTCCTAAAGCATCTTATTACACATGTTAAAATGCAATAATAGTAATAATAACACACACAAAATAAAAATAAATACATTTAGTAGCCTAAAAATCGGCAATTTTCAATAAAAACATTAAAAGTTGAATATCTCGAAAAGGGTCAAGTTTAGGGTAGGGTGTTTCATAATGAAATAAGTCAGAAATGATGGGTACTACACGCCCTTAACGGATCTAGCACGACTTTTCCTGTAACCCTGTATATATATATATATACAGGGTGACTTTGAAGTTGAGTCATTAAGTTTCAGATAATGATTGTAGAAGGAAGATAAACCAAAATATAAGATAATTTCATTTATTTATGACTTGTTCTGAAGCAGTCAAGGCAAAAGTGGGAACACTGAAATGGATCGTTCAGCGATTCTGAAGACGAACTGGAGTCTGAAAAATTTTTATTTCATAATGTCGCCGATGTAACATTTTTTTGAGCCTAGTATACTTCGAGGAAAGGTTTCTTGCAAGTTGGACCAAACGTTTGGCACGTTAACTCATTTTATAATTGCACGTAAAAGGCACTAACTGGAAGCAACTACTCTACCGTGGTGAGCAATAGATTGATTTGTGCAATGCATGGCGTACTAGGCATATGTTTTCCGCCACGCCACGACGGTCCCTGGGGACCGCTAAACATTTGTTTGAGAAAACAGCTAAAGAGATCATAAATAAATTAATCAAACGTATTTCTGCAGACTGTAAGTCATAAGCAGAACAACTGATACAAAATTGGACTTTGGCCAGATGGACATTTTTCAAAAATATTCCTTGGCCCTTAACGTGTTAAGGTCGTGTAAAACACCTAATCAGAATATTTTTCCGAGCAGATATGTATACAGGGTGATTCACAAGTCGTGACCAAAATTGAAACATCATATACAGGGCCGCATTTCAAGGGGGTCTCCTATGTAACATTTTTTTCTCGAGGGCTTCATTAGAAAGTTTAAAAAGTTTAAAAAGAAAATACATTTTTTTAATATCTTCTAAACCATCAACTGGAATGAACTAAAATTTGGTATGTGGATTTACCTAAGTATTGTCCACATTTGAAGGTATTTACTTAAAATCAACGTGCACCAGATGAGAAGATACAGGGGGTTAACGCCATTACTTTTCCAAATATATAGTACGCCACTGTTTTTTTAACGCGCAATCGAATTTGATAACTGCAAACATTTACAGAAACACGAGCAATTTTTTTATAGTCTCAAAATTTTGTGAAACGATGAAATTTTAACTTTCTTGTCGCGAATTATATGACAACTAAATAGAAAAAAGTGGAACCAAGCAGGAAGACAAATTTTTAGAATATATTAGAAATTAGAATATATTAGAATTTTCGAACAACATATACTTCTAATGTGGCCAGAAATAATCAGAAATTATAAAAACGTGAAATAACAATTTTTCGCATTTCTAAATTGTTAAACCCCGCGTACTTCGTTAATAAATAATCAACAACTCCGAAGTTCAAAATACAAAGTTGGTTGAAGTTCTAAAATTTTTCCTTTTTACTTGCTCCTACACCACCGTTGGTGAAAGCATTTAAGGTATTCGGTCATAGCAGTATTTTTGAGTTAAAATTGTATTGGAATCGGAGCAGTATCTTCCGAACTATTGGAATGGATGACCTCGCAGATTTTTCGCTGAATTTTTTCGGACTTAAAACGGTCCTTCCCATACATATCCTCCTTAATTCATAATGTAATCAAGTACTTGAACGATGAACAATGCACATGTCAATGCAGCAACAGCGCTGAAAACAAATACGGACCCAGCACTGCTGTATCTCTTGCAACTTCTAGATGAAGCGATCGCGTCGAAGCTCAAGATATATTGGTACTCTATGTGCTAGAACCTGTGTTGCTCTTTGTGCGCGTAAAATCCATTCGTCTGACAAATATCAACCGCAGTGATTCTACTGGCCCTATACTGTGACAACAGTGCAGTGCACTCAAATGCGAACTTTGGCACTTGATCAGGCCGTATCCAGGGAACGCGATAGCAAGCACCTATCTAATCTAAAAATAGTTGTTGATTTGGTATGTTTACACACGTTGTGGCTTTTGCAGAGCATTCAGCAGGGCGGCAAAGATAAGCGTTGCTGTTGGGTCTGCGCTTCCTGTCCCGACGGAGAGATCTTCACAGATGGGGCCTGTACGAAATGTCCGCTTGGATTCGCGCCAGACGAGTGGAAGACCGGTAAGTTTTACCATAGGATAAGTTTTATATACAGCAACTGCTGCTCCTGCTATATAGATGGATATTTCTCTTTTATTTTTACGGGGCAGATATGTATTGCGGTCATATTTAAGAGGATTTACAGACGGTGCTCCGCAATAAACTCCAGCGATCGATCTCGAAAGGTCAGTCTGAGAAAAAAATAGGATAGTTTAGTATGGTGTCGAAACTGATGAGCGTAATTTGGCATCGGTAGGATGTTTGCAAAACCAGAGTCCTGCCATACTAAACGTAAATATTGACCTGCTTCTTTAAGTACGCGATTCTATGATTTCTTGTACAGGGTGTCCCAACAGAAACGGAAGGTATTTTTGTGAGCAAACTGAAGACATTTATATTTAAATACAAGATGTATTTGTTTTTTCTTGTTATTAATAGCAATAACTCAAAAACGTTCGGGAAAATGTTGTATAAATCTTATACCAAAAAAGGTTCACCTAAAAAACAGACATATACAGGGTGTTCCATTTTAAATTTTGAAGAAAATATATACTTTGCGTTTTGAGATGCCCTGTATAAAAAGAAAGAAATTTCAGCAGTTCTAACCAGATCAGCCTAAAATCAGGTAACAAGGTAACAAAAAAATTTTGTGAACTAAGATTTATCTATACGTAAATATCTTCAAAAATGTTGGACCTGCGAGCCGTCATATCTGGCCTTTTTCAGACGTTTGACCAAATATCTAAACAATTGATAATCAAAACCGTCTGTTATATATTATCAAACTTCTTGTTTTCAGAAGCTCTATTGAAATACTCAATAAAATATAGGGTCTTCTACATAAAAAAAATATGTTTGCTATGGTACGAAGTTATGGCTGATCTGTTTATATTAAAATAATTTTAAAGTATGCACTAGCAAAATATCAAGGTTGCCACCAAAACAGGTTTTTGGGTATCTTTTCCAGTTTGCTCATAAAACTACTTTCTATCTTCGTTGGGACGTCCTCTATACAATTAAACATTTTATGTGTAGGTATTCAATAAATGATTATCGATTTCTCTGTATTGAAGGTTTTTCTAACCAAAATATGTAGTTCCAAAGATAAATAGAAATTATTTGTTATAGGTTAGGAAAATAAGATTGTTGTCCCTTTGCAATCCGGCAAAATAAAATACTGGCCCATTTTTTGTAAAATAAATTCAGTCCATCATACGTGATAGTATTGTTTCAAGGTTTAGTCAAGTGATGTTCTTTTTGTTGCAGAGTGTTTTCGTCTACCTATTGAATACGTGCGATGGCATGACACCCAAGCAATAGTAGCAATAATCTTCGCATCATTGGGCTTCCTCAGCACCCTGTTCACCTTCGTCGTGTTCGTCAAGTACAACGACACACCAGTCGTCAAGTCGTCAACAAGAGAACTGTGCTACATCATTTTAGCTGGAATGACAGCATCCCATGGATCCATTTTTGTCATTCTAGCTAAACCAATGGCAGTGACTTGTGCTTTAACTAGGTCTTTACCAGGACTTAGCTTTGCCATGATATATGCGGCATTGTTAACCAAGACCAACAGAATTGCAAGGATACTGGCAGGTAGCAAAAAGAGGTTTCCTACCAGAAAACCTATGTTTATGTCTGCCACAGCTCAAGTGTTTATTACATTATTCTTGATATCCATAGAGGTCTTCATTTCAGGGAGTATGCAGCACTATCAGCCACCTAAAGAGGACTATGTATACTTTCATCAGAAAACATTGCTCCAATGCAACACAACTCCAGAAAATATTCTGATTCCGCTGACTTTTGATTTTTTTCTTATTCTTCTTTGTACTGTTTATGCAGTGAAGACGCGAAATGTTCCAGAAAATTTCAACGAAGCTAAATTCATAGGCTTCGCCATGTATACTACCTGTGTCATATGGATAGCTTTTGTGCCGATATACTTTGGAAGTGACTCCAAAGTCATAACTATGTGTATGTGCGTCACGCTTAGTGCTACTGTGACTTGGGTATTCCTGTTCGTACCAAAACTGTACATAATAATATTTCAACCTGAAAAGAATAATAGGGCATATTTCACGACCACAAAAATCCGATGTCACATTGGATCTAAAGTAGCTTCAGCTATTTCCGATAAAAGTTCTACCAATAGTTGGAGAGAAAGCAGTACATCAATAAAAGAACTTGACAAATGTGTCAAGGACTACATGCCACAAAGGAGAACTTTATCGTGTCAAACGGGTACAGAGTTACTTCAGGTGATTCTGAATCCACGAGCCCTACTGGAAGTGTGCTCTCCACCACATAATGTATACCATGTTCCAAGGATAATTGAGAAAAACTGCTGTGAGTCAGACAACTGCCAGCTAAAGAATATTACTATCAAGCTACCTGATAAACCCCCAAGTAACCCTAATTGCAAATATTAATCCCAATGTATCTGTTACCGGACTAACCCGATTTTAGGATAAACTAGTTTTCCCTAGGCCAAATCAGTGTATGTGAAGAGCAATAGGCTGATCTAGTTTTAGTCTAGTTAATAGTCGAGACTACCGAACAGTGATAACACAGCCACAAACTTATTTCCGCTGGCGTAATGGAGTAATTAAAGCTTGCGACTATTTTCGTATGAGTTCGGTTTTCCGGAAACCAGCCGTTTTTTTATAAAACAGCGGAGAACCCAAAAGACTTCTTTTTCGCTGAAACGGCTGAGTATATCAGGGATTTTTTACTCTTAAATTTTCTAATTTTTGGGCTATCATAAAAGGTCTTTGCAAATTTTTGACTAAAATGTGTAATTTTGGCGCTACAGTGTGCTGATACTTTGCACTCAGAGTTTTGATGACAAAATCGCCAGAAATCGTCATTCTTTGAAATAACTAGGAGTCAACCATAAAACGCCAGGAATGAATTTGTGGGAGAAGGGGGTAGTAGCCTGCCTGTTAACTGAAGAGTGGAGCTGAGGGAGGGGAGGATGGGGAAGGGTGTGTTAGACACGTGTAATCTGAACGAAACTATAAGTTCATTCACAGGGGGTGGCTCCATTGTGCTTCCGCTGATCCTCGTTTCATGTTTCGTTAATCTATACAATTATTTTTTACAATGCTATACCTGGATCCACAAAATTGCAGTCATATGATGAATTTAAAAGACATGAAGAAATTTATTTTGAATACCTATTAGTATATAAATTAGTTGATAAAATTTATCTGTCACCTCACAGAAAAATATTTCCAATATAGCATTCCTTGAATTTGGAAACCTGAGCTCGCTTGCCAGTTTGGCGTTCACTGACATTTCCACAGCGAGTGTGCAGAGAAGACATCGTCCGTTCTTTACATATTTGCATTGTATGTTAGCCCAACGTATAGACGCGGCTCAAGAACTGCTAAATCTCTTATCATGGTCGTAGATCAAGAACTACCGGTGATCAAACTGATTTGCGAGGATGATTATGAAAATAACGTGGAGCCTCGAAAACGAGTCTTTAGATGACTCATTGGGCTTCTACATCCTGTAATGTATTCTTATCATTGCCACTCATTTATATACTCGTTCACACCTTTTTTGCAGCTCTAGGTTTTTTGTCGTTGATCCAATTCTAAATGAAAATGCTATACCTCACTTATCCAGTCAATCGGTAAGCGGCTAAAGAGAAATTACTGCACCTTGTACTCTAATTAAACGCATACATTTCAAAAATTCATTAATATGCATACGTCGGTGAACGCCTGCAACTACAAACGAGCTTATTATTCGAAATCGACTGGCCTATCATTGATAGTGAGTACACTGAGGTCGTCCAAATATTAAAAGAGGATCTGCCGCGTGTACGCCCGCCCGTGGTCCCGCAAGCCCCCCGCCAACAAGCTATCAGCAAGCTATAACGCAAAAACTAAGCAATTTAGTAAAACATTTGCAGATGTCTTTTTGATGGCCCAAAAATTAGGAACATATACTTGTAAAAAAACCCAGATATCCTCAGCCGTTTCAGCGAACAAAAATTTATTTTTGTTTTTCGCTGTTTTAAAAAAAAGACTGGTTTCCGGAAAACCAAACTCTTACGATAATATTCGCAAGCCTTTATTACACCATTACGCCAGCAGACATAACTGTGTGGCTGTGTGGCTATTTCATCACTTTTGCGGCAGTTTCGGCTATTTAACTGGACTATTTATCCTAGTCTAAACTGACTTCAATTAAGTATGATTAGGCAAAACTGATTTGTCCTAACCTCTTCACAAAGGTAATGTTTTTACTACTAATTACAAACACGTTTAATGACTTTTATTATTTACTTGTTATTACATGTCAAACTATTGTGACATTTCGAGTTGCAGAGAACGTTATTTTTCTTGTCCCTCTTCCAAGAATCTCTGCCTCCACTCCTTTTGAGTCACGTGTCCACTTGATGAAGCCTCATTCATGATAACGAAATACAAAAATACACTCCAAACTTTAGATCAATAAAAAAATATTTCAAAATGTCTAGGTTATGAATAACATCCACAAAACGCAACGGAAACGAGCCAAAGCTGCGCAGCTATCCTTTTAAAGAGTTCCGATTAGTTAAATCTCGGTCGGGACAAATCAGTTTTTTCTTGTCAGAATTAATTTATTTCAGGATAAACTAGTTCACTATAGCTCTTAGGATAAACTGATCTGGACTAGAAAAAACTAGTTTATCCTAAAATTGGGTTTGTCCGGTAACATATTCAAAAAATTGACTCAATTCAGTTCAGCTCACATAGTAATATAAATATTAAAGACGAAAATATTTTAAGATTGTCGTCATCGTCACATCAACGTCAATTGCAACAGGTGAGGTGGGGCGATACTTGATTTTTAGTCTAGTATGAAGCCTGTTTCCAGTTAATCTTCGGACAATGTATCTTTCTTAAATGGCTATACAACAATCAGATGTTTGAATCCGCACTTTGAATAAAGAAGATGGATAGCTCCCTACGGCTTGTATTTTTCTAAATAACCGAGGTTAACTATTTTTTTCAACCTATAAATCGTTGGCAAATACCCACAAAGAAGTTTATTACACTTTCTAAAGTTACCTGTGACTAAAATAGCCTACAAACCAATAATTGTTGGACTAGTGGCAAAGTGGAGAGAAATGAAGAAGAGCTGTGAGGATCAAAGCTTGCTGATATAGCTGTAGGAGAGAGCTAGATCGCCGACAGCGCGACGATGCTATAAAAGAAAGCAGAGCTATTATTGGCCTGTAGATAAGGGTCGGTCCTTGATCCTTTTTTGGGATGTGCTGAAGATGAGAAAAAGTGCTGGATTTGGAAGATATCTGAAGGAGATCCGAAAGCACTGGAGCAAGCTCCGCTACACACCTATTCAGTACAACGACAGGAATCAGGTCAGAAGTTTTGTTGATGAGAGCACCCGTCTTACGGTCTTATACCTGAACGTTACTTCCGGCATAGTATTGGAATCCTTTGAATCGATGGCATTCGTGCGTTGGCAAGCACTTCTGCAATACTATTCGAATCGGTTACAATTGTTTCAATCTGTCAAGTTAGCGGTGTCATACTAGTCTTTAAAAAGTTCCCTTCAATTTGCTTGTCGAGAAAAACCGACTGCCATTGCGCTGCGCCATTACGTAATTGTGCCTAATTTTTACATCGTGCTGGTCTTTGGCACTGCGAACCGCTTCGTTATATTTGTGAACTCGACATCAGCTTGTCTGTTGTATGGTTATTCCATTCAATAAAATGTGAATTTGTGTTGCCACGTAGTCATGAATCACCCTGTTGTGTGGTATATCTTCCAAATAAAGAGAGTATATTTCCCTTTATTATTTTTTTTCAATAATTTTTTTACGTATAATTTCTAGTACCTGGGCAATTGATCCCACACTAAGAACTCACCCTGTAGGTACCGAATACTACGTGAAACAAAAAAAAAGATTACTCGGTCAATGACTTGAGACTTGCTTCTCTTCAGGATCGGCCTAAATGACATTATTAATACGATCTTTCTTGACGTATTACTTTCTGTATTCTTTATGAATTTCAATCACAGTTGGCATGTCCTGGGATACCACCTGTATGTACACACACAATCAATCCTATATCAGAATAACTATATAGTATGTTAATTATATATTATAGGTACATAATATTGTTAAAATAGAGCTTTAGAATGTGTTCAAACATGACCAAAGAGTACCAATTATAATAATATATCCGCTTAGTGTCATACAGACTCTTTATGATAGATATTTTAGCCATTAACACTATAGATGATACTGAACAGCATGTGCAATACTAGTAGCATATACAGGGTAGCCGATATGTAAGTGACTGGTTTGCATCTTGAATATTTGTGAAATGAAAATACGTTTATTTTTTTCATATTAATCTTTTATTGAAACTGAGAAATTATGTATGAAACCTTATGCATGAAGCCTGAACCTGAGCCTCTTGATTACATTTTCCATCACTTTTTGGTAGGTTTCGGGAGGAATATTTTCAATCGCGGCCGTAATATTGTTCTTCAGCTACTATACAGTATTTGGTTTGTTGGCATAAACCCTATTTTTCAAAAATGCCTATAAAAAAGTCAGGAGCCGTTAAATCCGATAACCTTGATGGCCAATTGGCATCACCAAATCGAGAAATCAAACGTCCCGGAAATATTGTTTGCAAAAGATTCATTGTTTCCCTAGCTGTGTGACAAGTTGCTCCAAACTGCTGGAACCACATGTTTTGCAGGCTAAATTGTTGGATTTGAAGAGACAGAAAGTTTTGCACCATATCGCGGTAGCGCTCGTCAGTGACAGTAAGAGAATTACCTGCAGCGTCTTCAAAGAAGTAAGATCCAATGACACCATTATACCAAACATCGCACCAAACTGTGATTCGACGAGGATGTAGTGGTCGTTGGTGGATGACACGAGAATTCTATAATGCCCAGATACGACAATTCTGCTTATTAACAAATCCGTTCATATCGAAGTGGGTTTCATCGCTCATTGCAACTCGTCGCTAAAAATCGTTATTTTGGGCATTGAGCTGCAATATTGCATGACTGTATTGTCGGCGAGTTTCATGGTCACTAGGCTGTAGCTCTTGGGTTAACTGAATTATGCAAGTCTTTCCTCAAAATAGTGCATAATGACGTGCGACGAATACCCAGCTCTTGAGAACGATATCTGGTAAATGTCTCAGGGCGCTCCACTACACTTTCACGAACTGTCTCGATATTTTTCGGAGTACGAACAGTTCGACCTCGGCCCGACCTTGGAAAGTCTTTAACGGGACCTGTTTGTTCAAATTTCCGCACCAACTGACGAATGGTGTTGACAATGGGCACATTAGTTCGACCGAAATCTTGTCGTAGCTTCCGAATTGTTGCAACAACCGACTCATTATTTAAGTAAAACGTTTTAATATGGCGCGCAATTTAAATCAGTCAGGTATATATTGGCCACCCTGTACATAGGAATAATAACGTAAGGCAATAACTGTAATATTAAAGTAGCATTACAGTATGGGCAATTTTGTTACAATTCATGTACAATTACTATTGTCACAAAAACTTGTATATATACTTCAGATAATGAAACATTTAAACAAATTGTTCTATTGTTTAATTTGAATTGCGTTTAGATAGCAATAAAGACATCCCTGATGAAAGCTTTGCATGCGATTCATTACATGGACGAAAGGAGCAATACCAAGCTTAAGGGTTCTCGCAGACTGCAGACCTTCAATCGGCCGATAGTTTGGTCGGCTTCTTAATCAATATGGAGAGTTATACATATGCGCACATTTCATCGATTCAGTATCGGCCGATAAAAAGGTTTGATTCCCTTCAAACTAATCTGTCAGCCAACTTTCAACCATGACGATTTTTAGTCGACCGATAGTTCAGTTCGTCACGAGCTTTGGCGTCGGGCAGTCGTATTTTTTCGGGTATTCAAGTAATTTGAAATGCATTGTATGTAAAATTTTCCACTAACGAATCTATCACTGAGAATGGGATGCACCCAATATTCTCGGAATCTCTTCTTGATTGTTTTTCTCCGTTATATGAGAGCAATTATAACATTTCTGGACAATATTGTATTTATTTTCATTGTGCGACCGCTCACTTCAACAGTCAAATACAAACTAGTATCGTTCTTCACCAACCAAACTGATTAGTTGACTCGGTGTGCGCCTTAGCAGCCCAACCCGACTAAACAATCGGCAGATAGGAAGTCTGCAGTCTGCGGGGGCCCTGAGGCAAATAAAGCTAACAACCATAGCCTCTAGACCTACTCGTTTCAGGTAGTTATGTTTCAATATATGGAAGCTAATAATCGTGGCGTCTTGTACTATCTGCCGCCCACATCCACTAACACGAATATCACATAATTCAAGCATCACAGAGAGTGTGAATCTGTGTAAATGGAAACACTTGCTTGGTACTGTCCATGCAGCTCTGTGGAGCGAGCACTCGAGTCACAATTTCGCCGAGGATGTGTAGTAGTACCTAGCTAGTATTGCCACTTACAGCATCTCAAACGTTTTTTGATTATTTTCCACTAAAACGTTTAACATTCAGACGTTTTAAATGCCGCTCGCTGAAACTTTCCTTTAAAAAGCGTTCAGGCGTTTATATGATTTAGAGGGCTAACGTTTATTTCGTATTACACGATTATTAACATTAAACTTTTAAGCGTTGCATCTGGTATCATGATTTTGAATCATTATAGTAAGTCGCCAATTTTTGTACGTAGTTTAACCAAGTTCAACCGAAGAGTGTCTTGTTTGATGCAATCACAGATCAAGTACTTAAAATACAACTTCCCAAATTTAGCAGCATAATTCAAGAACATCAAAATGGAGTTGCAATTATAAACGATTAATGTAACACCTGTATCTGTATCTGTAGTTTTAGTGTTGACAGGGGTGCTTTGTCTGGTCACTAAATCAGACCACATCACATATATTTTAATTGCTATTAAGTGTACAACGTTTCGGCTACCACGCTGGCCTTTTCTATGATAAGTGATGTTTAGGCAACCATATCTAAATATGTATACCTATATCAACAAAATATGTAACAAAGCTACCAAAAATGTTTCCTAAGAAAAATGTATAAACGAAAGAGAAACGATTAACACTTTTTCTAAGACAAAAGCGTATTGAACGATTAAACATCCATTCGTTTTAGACGTTCATTAAGACAAAGACGCTTAAATTGTTTTCAAGAAAATATAAAATCCCCATATGCGCTCTGCTTAGGCAAGCTGCGCAATCGCAGCGACAACATACTGCATATTCAGGAAGAAGGCGATTGATATAATTATCTGTATGAAAATGACGTTTGCTTTCTGTTTCTGTAGTCATTACGAACAGCAGACAACGCTGTTTGGTGCTCATTAACAACTCGTCAGTGCGGTATAGGTGCCTATTCTTGGAGACATCCGAACGGGAAGCAAGCAAGTGGGTGAAGAACACCACCTACCAACCTATTCCGTACTGTAAGTTGCTAATGAGCACGAAATAATGCTGTCTACGGTTGGTTTTGGTTACAGAAATGGAAAGCAAACATGCTTTTCTTCCTGTGTCTATTTATGCATATATGCATAGAAACCCATTGCTGGCTTGCTCTGTGAATACCTAGTATTCCGTCTTGTTGACGGTGCGACATCTTCATCAGAACGCAGAGCAGTAATGAGCCAGAAGACGAAAGCGTATTCTGTCATCTTCATCGTAACATACGTCCTAAAAGTTTTGGCACAAAATTCATTGGCTTTAATTGTAACAAACACAAAATAATATCAAGTTTCCTGTGGAAACAAAAGTTTGTTTACTTACTTTAATGTCAGTTGACATTTATTTATTTTGAAGTTTTCGCTTTAAGATGTATAAATTAAAAATAACAAATAGCATCTACAGGTTGGTTGTGCGGGTACACAAAGCTGAAATCTGTCGAATATTCCAGAATGAAAACATTTCACGCAGAACCATTTATCGAATAATAGCTGAGTGCGAGCAGGGAATACTATGTCTGAATCTCCCAAAAAGTGTAAGATCACGTGCATTTACTGCAGAGAAATTGGCGAGAAGAGAAAAATGAGGTTGGAATGTCAACAAGGAGGCTGGCTCATCAATAAAGATCTTCTAAGGGTAAGATATGGTTGGAATTTCGGAAGAATGGTCTTGAATATCGAAAGAGACTTATGTTAAGTGTCCCAAATGCTCCCAAGCGCAACTCCTTCGTATACCAAGATGCTGTCGTCACCAGAGGCGGATACACTTTGTCAATGGAAAAAGCATTATTTTAGAAGACGAAAAGTGAATAATTCTGAAATGAAGGGAAACGACGGATTTTATACGAATAAAGTAGAGGAATGCCCTGACAGTGTTAGATACAAACATAAAGCGAAATTTGCAGATAAAATCCTTGTCTGGTGCGCAATTTCTGACAGCGGTGTATCCCAACCTTTTGTGGGAAGAGTGAGGGGTGACTCTTTGATAAGTCAGAGCTTTATTGATGACTTTTGTCTATAAAGCTCAAAATTACAGTTACTTAAACGTCATATATACCACGTACCTTAGGCATTATTGAACCGATTTTAATAAAATTTTGCACGATATTAAAGTTATCTGGGAGTGACCTTGAACTAGTCGCAGCGTAAGAAAAGCGTTATTCTGTATTAAGTCAAAGTCAACGCCTTTTGGAATGAATTTTGAGTTGTTTCAGAAAAATAGGCGGGACTCGCCTCAGCCACATAGAAAATGGCCGGGTCCACGTAACGTCATTAGCCTAAGTACCTAACTGGATATTTCAGCTCCATAGACAAACATACTTTGGATTCTTCTAAATGACAGGTTTACCCAGATGTATTGAAGAAAGTGACTTGAACCTTTAAAGTTATTAGTCTAATCAGCGCTTCTTAGCTAAGTAACCAACTTTTTAGCTAAGGAACCAATACTCTATCTTATGAAGCGACGACATATACATTCCTTCGTTACCTGCGTGGCTGACCAAACTAGTCCTTCAGCTCCATTATAATAAAGAGCTGCCTCAAACAAGATTTTAATACACAAAGATAAACAATAAAAGCTATCGAAAGAAAACAACGTATCAAAACTTAAAGGTTTATTGGTGCAATTACTATTTTGCATTTTACAGTACTTAGGTTGGTTGTGCGGGTACACAAAGCTGAAATCTGTCGAATATTCCAGAATGAAAACATTTCACGCAGAATGATTTATCGAATAATAGCTGAGTGCGAGCAGGGAATACTATGTCTGAATCTCCCAAAAAGTGTAAGATCACGTGCATTTACTGCAGAGAGATTGGCGAGAAGAGAAAAATGAGGTTGGAATGTCAACAAGGAGGCTGGCTCATCAATAAAGATCTTCTAATTTCGGAAGAATGGTCTTGAATATCGAAAGAGACTTAAGTGTCCCAAATGTTCCCAAGAGCAACTCCTTCGTATACCAAGATGCTGTCGTCACCTGAGGCGGATACACTTTGTCAATGGAGAAAGCATTATTTTAGAAGACGAAAAGTGAATAATTCTGAAATGAAGGGAAACGACGGATTTTATACGAATAAAGTAGAGGAATGCCCTGACAGTGTTAGATACAAACATAAAGCGAAATTTGCAGATAAAATCCTTGTCTGGTGCGCAATTTCTGACAGCGGTGTATCCCAACCTTTTGTGGGAAGAGTGAGGGGTGACTCTTTGATAAGTCAGAGCTTTATTGATGACTTTTGTCTATAAAGCTCAAAATTACAGTTACTTAAACGTCATATATACCACGTACCTTAGGCATTATTGAACCGATTTTAATAAAATTTTGCACGATATTAAAGTTATCTGGGAGTGACCTTGAACTAGTCGCAGCGTAAGAAAAGCGTTATTCTGTATTAAGTCAAAGTCAACGCCTTTTGGAATGAATTTTGAGTTGTTTCAGAAAAATAGGCGGGACTCGCCTCAGCCACATAGAAAATGGCCGGGTCCACGTAACGTCATTAGCCTAAGTACCTAACTGGATATTTCAGCTCCATAGACAAACATACTTTGGATTCTTCTAAATGACAGGTTTACCCAGATGTATTGAAGAAAGTGACTTGAACCTTTAAAGTTATTAGTCTAATCAGCGCTTCTTAGCTAAGTAACCAACTTTTTAGCTAAGGAACCAATACTCTATCTTATGAAGCGACGACATATACATTCCTTCGTTACCTGCGTGGCTGACCAAACTAGTCCTTCAGCTCCATTATAATAAAGAGCTGCCTCAAACAAGATTTTAATACACAAAGATAAACAATAAAAGCTATCGAAAGAAAACAACGTATCAAAACTTAAAGGTTTATTGGTGCAATTACTATTTTGCATTTTACAGTACTTAGGTTGGTTGTGCGGGTACACAAAGCTGAAATCTGTCGAATATTCCAGAATGAAAACATTTCACGCAGAATCATTTATCGAATAATAGCTGAGTGCGAGCAGGGAATACTATGTCTGAATCTCCCAAAAAGTGTAAGATCACGTGCATTTACTGCAGAGAGATTGGCGAGAAGAGAAAAATGAGGTTGGAATGTCAACAAGGAGGCTGGCTCATCAATAAAGATCTTCTAATTTCGGAAGAATGGTCTTGAATATCGAAAGAGACTTAAGTGTCCCAAATGTTCCCAAGAGCAACTCCTTCGTATACCAAGATGCTGTCGTCACCTGAGGCGGATACACTTTGTCAATGGAGAAAGCATTATTTTAGAAGACGAAAAGTGAATAATTCTGAAATGAAGGGAAACGACGGATTTTATACGAATAAAGTAGAGGAATGCCCTGACAGTGTTAGATACAAACATAAAGCGAAATTTGCAGATAAAATCCTTGTCTGGTGCGCAATTTCTGACAGCGGTGTATCCCAACCTTTTGTGGGAAGAGTGAGGGGTGACTCTTTGATAAGTCAGAGCTTTATTGATGACTGCCTTTCCAAATTGCATGAGTTTGCACACGAACATGATGATAATATCATGTTTTGGCCAGTCCTAGCAGCATTCCATTACTTAAGAGAAAAAAACTGGCTTCTACAACACAACACACCTTTTGTTCCCAAAAACGATAATCCTCCAAACTTGCCGCAGGTTCATCCAATAGAGGATTTTTGGGCTTTACTGTCTAGGAAGGTTTATCATGAAGGCTAGGAACAATCAGGACATCGAATCTACGAAAAACTGAGATAAATTGGTCTGAAATCCATCCAGGACCTCATGAGACACATAATCCGATAGTTAAATATTGATTTGTAATTTATGATAACTAGTTAGTGTTTAAATAAATTTCTTTATTAAAAAAAAAATGCGACAAATATTATGAACCAAAACTTTTAGGACATACGTCATGGGATGAGGATGAAAACCAGTTTGGCAATTAATTTGTTTGTCACCTACTTGCGCATATCACTATTGGGAATAACTCACTGAAGATCTTAAAATACTGATGTGATGCATTTATTCTTTAAAATGAGGTGAACATGAATTGAAAGCTATTGGATCGTATGACCAAACAACCGTAAGCATACGAATGTCGTAGCTTCTTCTAGAGACTTAGTTTCATAGCAAAATAACCAGTCACTTAGCTAAGTAGCACGACTAATGACTTTGTTGGTGCACCCCCCTTTTTTCTATAAAGCTGAATAAGCCAGCCTTTTAGAAGAATTCCGAGTATTTTTGTCTATAAAGCTCAAAATTACAGTTACTTAAACGTCATATATACCACGTACCTTAGGCATTATTGAACCGATTTTAATAAAATTTTGCACGATATTAAAGTTATCTGGGAGTGACCTTGAACTAGTCGCAGCGTAAGAAAAGCGTTATTCTGTATTAAGTCAAAGTCAACGCCTTTTGGAATGAATTTTGAGTTGTTTCAGAAAAATAGGCGGGACTCGCCTCAGCCACATAGAAAATGGCCGGGTCCACGTAACGTCATTAGCCTAAGTACCTAACTGGATATTTCAGCTCCATAGACAAACATACTTTGGATTCTTCTAAATGACAGGTTTACCCAGATGTATTGAAGAAAGTGACTTGAACCTTTAAAGTTATTAGTCTAATCAGCGCTTCTTAGCTAAGTAACCAACTTTTTAGCTAAGGAACCAATACTCTATCTTATGAAGCGACGACATATACATTCCTTCGTTACCTGCGTGGCTGACCAAACTAGTCCTTCAGCTCCATTATAATAAAGAGCTGCCTCAAACAAGATCTTAATACACAAAGATAAACAATAAAAGCTATCGAAAGAAAACAACGTATCAAAACTTAAAGGTTTATTGGTGCAATTACTATTTTGCATTTTACAGTACTTAGGTCCATAGTGCTCTATATCCTAAACAAATATAATATTATGTATATTTAACAGCTCTTATATTTACTCTGCAGATATGTATATGACTAAGGATATCACTTAGTGACTGATAAAGCTGAATTCTTTCAATCAACTTGCTACTGTCTACATCTAGTGACATATTGTTAGATCGAAAGAAGTCAGTTGATTCGTTAGTCCTCAGTACATAAGTAGACTGAAGTGCTGTCGAGGTGTCCCGAAAACTATTTTTGCGGATAAATTACAGAAGTATTTCTAGCGTGTAGTATCTGTCACACAAACACAATTTTGATGATGGCAAAGACACATTTTAGTCTCTTTTTCTTCCTCGTAGGTATATATTTTCAATTCATAATGAGCTTGACGGGTCAAAACTGCAAAATACACCACATGGTATAGTGGACATATATATATAAGCATTTTTTGTAATTTATATCGCAAAACCTTCTTGAATTTATTCACGTACTTGTCTACAAAATCCATAAATCTGTCTAAAATTATATGTATATTTATTAATAATAGTGATTCGGCAAAGATAGGCTAATCTACAAAAAATGATATTATATTGTATGTTAAGTTTGTGAAAATATGTCACTCGGAAGGATTATCTTCGATTGGTAAGTAAAAACATTAACATCATTCTAAAAAAGCACACATACGCAAAATATCAAATTTTTGCTCATTTTTTTCTGTGTCATCTCAATGCATGAAGATATGCCGATCAAGGTTAATCCCCGTGCTGTTCACGATATGTAAGTACAGTGGATTTTCCATTGTTCCTCCTAGCTTGCAGTGTTGTGTCAATTTTGTTGTGTCCACTGTTTTATAGCTAAGCTACTATCAAAATATTATTACTAGTCCAAAGTCAAAAATTTATTTTGACAGCAGCTCAATCGCTTGTAGAAAAGTCCAACGACTTGATATTCTATGCGTATACCCACTTTTTCAAGCGATTGATATTGTAAAAATAAATACACAAATTCTCTTGCTAAAAGTCTAAAACGTCAAGCAATAGTTGTACAGCGGTGAACGCGTAATAAAATGACACTAGTGCTAATAGTATCTAATATTAACAATATTAAAGTATTTTCATTAATATAACCCTATGATCAATATACTTCAGTTATGTAAGATTATTTACATAAACTAAATTATAAAAATTACAAGATAAAGTTACGAATAGATTTTGTTCGATACCACAAACGAGTCCATTCTGTGGATGCCAACATTAACAGACCTTAAATACAATATGTAGATTTAAGTCAAACCAAAAACAACAAAATCCGTATCTCTTAACGAATTTTCTTTAAACAATTGTGTGAAGGTACCATGACCACAATATAGTTACGAAATTCTGGACAATATACGAGTATTTAAAACGATCAAACTAATGCCGAACTCGCAAGTCATAATTTGGTTTAAATCTCGAAGGAACTACACAAACTTTGGAATAGATTTATGTTGATCTGATAACAGTGACACCAAGTAAACAGGAATCAAAATATGCGGATCGCGATATACACAACAAGATGATAACAAAATTACACATCGATATATATCTACAACCATTCACAGATTCACACCAACAAACTAAGAGAAGCATCCTTTTGTCAAATAAGGTACCTGTAGCAAATAAGGCCATGCACCTAATAAGGCCATGCGTCGATTTCTCAGAAACTATCAACATTTAAAACTGAACATTTCTGCAGTTCTACAAATTTATTGAAAGCAGTTAGCAGCCATAAATTCAGCAGCTGTGGAGCGGCGCTAGATGGCGCAGTAGCACAGCGTCGGCTTTCAAAATGTGCCTTATAAAATATCTGCTTTGAGTTTGTCTCCATTTTTGCATGTTGTCCGTTCTCTTTACGGAATCTCTTGTTAATTCAAACAGGTAAGTCTATAAGCATATGCAGGTAGTTATTTGCTGTTGCCAGGTTTTGAATGTTTTCAATTTTGTAAATTGTACATTTAAGGTTAGATGTGCGTAATAAGGCCATGTTAAATGGTTCCCAGAAGAAGAAAGACGAAAACTAAGACTGTTTGCTTGAGATATGTCATGAGGAATGTGTAGCCTTGTTTAGAGGCGATAAGGTATCATCTATTTGTCTTCAATGCGAAGGCAAAAACAATTTGATTTTTTTAATTGAAATCTATATGGATTTAAGAATTATTTATTGTTGTTAATTAGAAGTATAACTTCGATTATGCAACAGTCTTGTTTTATATTTTGAGCGTGGCTTTATTAAAAACCAGATCATGGACTTATTTGGATAACTGGGTTCCTAATAAGGCCAACGCTAGTGTTTAAAAAAATATGTATTTTTTATATGAAAAGAACAGTTCTCGGAGCTCTCCGATACAGCTTATTCACTGAACATACCTGTAATGATACCTTTAAAATTTCATGATCGTATCGCAATATTTATGAAGTTATAACTATCCAAACGTTAATGTGGCCTTATTTGGTATAGGTACCTTATTGATAATCTGTAACCTATGACTATAAGCTATATGTAATACGATAAATACGCGTTAATACTCCGATATGGCAACTTTGCAGTAAACGATTTAGTATTATCATCTAAATGAGGTAAATCTTTCAAAAATATACAGTACAACAATCTAATACAAAAGAAAAATATTTTATCAATAGCTACCACTTAGTTGTACACCATACAGTACAGTGAGATCTTTGCGGGCGCTTCATACTTAAAATTAAGGCTTTATACAAGTACCGATTTCTCGATTTAAGCTAATACTAACTGATCAAATATTCAGTAAGATACGTTTGAATACATCGAGATAATCTGTAAGATATCTTAACTATAGGAAGCTATACATAAATCAACAGAACAGTACTTTTCAATTCGAGGATGCAGCTTGTAGCTCTATTTCTTGTCCAACCATCTTTTGCAAAAGAGTCATTTACTGAGAAAAACTGTTTCTACTAATTTTTTATATGTACCTCACATACAATACTTTACGAACGGTTAGGTAAATAAGCTGAAATTCTGTGTGATGAAATCATTGCAAGAGTATTATATTTTACCGTAAAAGCCAGAATTGAGAATTGTAAGATGGTGGCTGGCCACTATGGATGGTCGTGTGACCTCACTTTGAATCCACTTATGACTGCTTTTATATTAATATTTTGTTCTTGGAAGAATTTATCTGGATGTGTAATAAAATATGAGATATTCTATCTAAAAAATAATGTCAAAATCGGACAATTTTTTGGGACAGAATGTGTGATATTTCATTGCACATTTAGATAGACCCTCCCGAAAGGAGAATATCAATATGACATACTAGTACTTTTATTATTAGTTGTTCAGTTATAATCGATTTGAAAGAGAGGAAATTTATACAGCAGGGTTATGAGGTACGCATAATGAACTTCATATCACCAGACCATTCAACAAAATTGTCCGCTAAAATATAGTATTCATGCATCAATTTTATCATTCCGAATTTCGACCCGCTAACTTGACCCGATCAAAAAATAAATGAAGATCTTTTTGAAAAGCACTGTATATAATACTCCCATCCAGTGCTTTTTCTTTTTCGGCCGTAATCGCATTCTCCACTAAAATTCTTCTCATATATAAATATGCATTATTATGTTTAGTTGCCTTATTTGCATTCTATTTCACAATGAACAGCTATAAATGGATAATATTAGGAAAAGAACTACAAAATGGTCACAAGCTTACTGATATGTGTCTGTTGCTTTTGGCTAGGATATAAGCCTTATAGGTGAAATTCCCTTTTACAGCTCAATGTATAGTCTTTACGATATCATAAAAATATATTTCTAAGATATTTTTAGGTAAATCTTCGTCACGTATATATTGACTCAAGTTAGTGGAAAATGCCATTGGGGTATGTTATCTGAACAGCAAACAAATGGAGCTAGGTTCTGAAAAACGGAAAATTTGCAAATATGTATGAAATATGTATGAAAAACGGCAGACGAGGTTTAAGGGATGCGATTCTTGGCCAGATAGTAAAATTCAGATTTACCTGCGACAATAGTAGCTCATTTCACAGAATCCTCAAAAACAAATTGTAGATTTACCTAGCACGTACCAGATAAAGTGGAATACTGATAATTGCTCCATTAGTCTGGAATCACCATACAGGGTTTATGCGGAAAGTAAAGAGCTTCATTTTTTTTGTGAGACGACTATACGAGTACAACACAGCGCGGCGGGACTGGTTGAGAAACTTTCGGGAAACCTTCAGCTTTTCAACAATATCCTTGCCAGTGGCCTCCGAGCTCCTGGAAGGTGCGAGCGTTGCTTTTTGTAAATCCACGTCGAGGTTACGATGAATAAAGCCTTAAAGCAAAGACACGCGACAAAGTTTGGTGTGAAACTAACCAAAGTACCAGGAGAGGTGGGCGGAGTCGCCATACCCGAAGAATGGTCGAATGAGCAAGTCGCGGGTGAATTCCATACCGATTGTATTCTTTAGTGTTAAAGAAATCGTGTACCACGAGTTTGTACCCCCTGGCAAGACTGCCATTGCTTGGAATACTACCACACATCACCTTTGCCTTCGTTGCTTAATCGATTCAGGTTGGTACCTGAGCGGAGCTCCAGCCGCCATACAGTCCCGGCCTGTCTCCGGCAGACTTCTTTTTGTTTCCTCGACTAAAAAGAGACCTCAGAGGACAGCATCTGGACACCCTAGACAACATGCAAACTATTTCGACGGCCTCCCTAAACAGCATCCCGGTTGAGAAGTTCCAAGGAGGGTATGTGGCTTGGAAATCACGCTCTCACAAGTAAATCGATGCAGGAGGATACTACTTCGAAGAATATCGAGTTTCTGTAATATCCCGGTCAATAAATATTGTGAAAAATAAGGGTCATTACTTTCCGGACAAGCCCTGTGGATGTACATGGTCTGGGTTGTATCAGGGAGTCAATTCTTGAAGACGAGGGAGTAGAATGACCAGTAGAAACTGTTCTATTCCTTTTGTGGAAGCTTTTGACACCGTTTACGGTATTCTTATTTCCCACGCCTATTGGCGCCTAATCATCGAAAATTTTCAAAAATGAGATATTGCTTTTTGGATGTTATGTGACATGTACATCACTAAAAACCCATTTTAGTCGATCTGTCCGCTAATCTCATAACCGCCTATAACTTGAGAAGTGCCGCTCGGATTTCGGTGAAGCGTTTACACACCGTTAGTGGCATCAGAGAAAAAGGACAAACACGAAAGGGAATGAAAACCACTCAAATTTCGTTTTTTGACGTTTCAGATGACCTTGATCATCAAAAAAAAATGGAGGTAAAAAACTTGGGGGTAGGAGTTGTAGAGAGGCGGGCAGGGACTAAAAATATTCTCGGCAAACGGATTGCGTATCTAACTGATAACAACGCTGCGTGGGAAGTACATAGTCAATCTACTTGACGCTATTTTTTCTCGAAAATATGACTCGAACTTACTGATTAAAATATCTTCATAGCCATATCAACCGTCAGATTAGCCTTTTCGTCGTTTCAGATTATACAGATTATGGGTATGATCTCTTTGATCTATATACTACACAACATACCGGGTGTTTTAAATTCGACGCTCATTGTGATCTCGGAAATGGTAAAAGTTACGAAGTCGGTGATATGGGAGCAAAGTTGTGCATTTAGGTAACTAAGAAAATGGAACTAGGAGTAGATAAACAGGAAATTGCGAAGATTTCCATGTTCCTAGTTACCTAAAACGTCCAATCACCCTATGAGTCTGCTTTTCGAAGATATGGGCCTTTCAGGATAAGATGATGCTGAAAACGTTTTAAGAAAACAGGGGATTCAAACAGTCAACATGGAAGAACTAATAGTTGTCCAATAGTTTAGACTCAAATAGATATGTTTCCGGAAAAAGCAGATTCATTTCAAAATTGTATTTTATACCTATAATACTGAACAAATCTAGGAGACAACCAACGTATACTTCATAAACCCAAATCACGATAGGGAAATTCACAAGTTTATTTTTAAGAAACCTGTATTCTGTGTTCCGCGAAAATTGAAAATATCTACATGTTTTAATTTATGTTATATAACACGTATCAGGCAAGTTCCATAGACATCTAGCTCAAAGACTAGTTTAATTTCTTGAGCTGCACTAAGCTAGTAACCTTAAATATATTCCATCGCAGAATCACAGGAAGCTTGTATGCAATCTTAAGCATGGTACAGTTATACTCCGATATAGATTGGTCTATCTGTATCTTGATTGATTCAAATATGGTTAAAGTGATATTTTTACCAATCATAGCTGCTGTCGGTGGTGGTGATCGGTTGTTGGACCTGCATAGCGGTGTCTATCCTGAAGAAGCCGCACCGTGACTGTATGGGATTAGTAGTTCTCGTCTGTAAACAGAAATCAAATGTTTAAAATAAATATTTAGCCGTGCTTCTTTTTCCTTAAGTGGATATCTATACGATCATTTTACATTTCATTATGTTTCAAAGAGGGTACAGCTAATGAAAATGTTTCTAAGACATGTTTTAGAACTAGAAGTCTGCCGGACGGGTAATACCACATTTCATTTGACTGAAAAAGCATTAACCCAGATATGCCTAGCGTACAATTTATGGTACACCGTAAACAAGTCGCGACTTGCAACGACCTGTGCTTATTTTGACGCGGTAATAGCACATATATATTTAGTAAGCCTTAGTAAATCGTAACGTGCCGTTGGGTGTTACCATTGTATTCAGATTTTTTTTGCGATTTTGCGAAGAAGTTTTTATTTTTTGTGACATGGCTGAATATGGAATACGATTTGCCAAGTAAGTAAATATATGGTCTTTACGTAAATAAAAAAATGTTTTGATGGCTTCTACCAATAAAACACACATGCTTTTTTCCAGTTATAATGCCAAATTACTTATGTTATTATTTCGGATTCACAATTGCGTCATTATTATTTGAGTGTGCAAAATATTGTACGCCAGGAAAATACATGCCTGTTTCATTTTTAGGGGCTTTCATCTGGAGGAAGCCCTTGCTATGCTGGAGGATAATGACGGTGTAGTAGCAAATGTGGATAATATCACATTGATGCCTCCAATCAATGCTTGTGACATTCTCACAGACGAGGACTCCGGCGATGAGAATGTAATGTCAGCTGATAATCTACCGGGTTCACAATTACAAGCACCTTCTGAGATAAACATACCTCATGAAAAATTTAGCATATCTTCATCTGATTCCGAAGATAATATTCCATTGTCTGAATGGGCTAAAGAAATAAAAAATAAAAAGTTAAAGAAACGAAAAACGTACAAATGGGTGAAGGAGGATCTACCACAAGAAGCTCCAGGAAACTTCGAAGAAATTCTTGAACAAAATAATTCTTCTAAGACTCCACTTAAATGGTTTTCACTTTTTTTTGACGGCGAACTTATAACACGCATAACAACTGAAACAAACAGATATGCCAGGCAAAAGAATCGCCAACAAGAGGTGCAAGAGTATGAAATAAGGGCATTTATTGGAACACTACTATTGAGTGGTTATGTCGATGTACCACGTAGAAGAATTTTCTGGGAACGTGAAAGCGATGCTAATAATCAACTCGTCACAGAAACGCTTACACGAGATAAATTTGAGTATATTAAGTCAAATTTCCAGTTAGTAGATAACTACAATTTACAGCAGGGAGATAAGTTTGCAGTTAGACCTTTATTTGCGAACCTGAATCAAACATTTATGGAACATGGAATTTTGACAGAAATGCATATTGTAGATGCGGAAATGGTTCTTTATTTTGGAAGACACTCATGCAAACAGTTCATTCACGGAAAACCTATACGATACGGCTATAAATTATGGGTTGGCGCATAAAGACTAGGCTACGTTTACTGGGTTGAACCTGACCAAGGGTCGTCAACCAACATTAATAAGAATTATGCAGATTTGGGGGTTGGTGCTGGTGTGGTATTAGAGTATTCTAATGCACTGAGGAGAAAATGGCCAAATAAAAAATTTTATTAAGTTATTGACAATGTTTTCACTTCTCTCCCTCTTATGGTAAAATTGACAGAAAAAAATTTCTTTGCGACTGGTACTGCTAGGGAAAATCGTTGACAAGGCGTCCAATTCAGAGATTCTAAAATTATGAAAAGGGAAAAAAGAGGTAAATACGATTACAACAAAATTTCCGATACAATCATAATTGCAGTAAAATGGCATGACACTAATTTAGTAACACTCTGTTCAAATGCCGCAGGACTGCAACCAATTCGCTTTGTAAAGCGATACTCTCAAAAGGATAAAAAAGTATTCAGGTAAGAAACACAATCTGCAAGAAAATCAATGTTTTCAAAAATGCTTTTGATTTTAGGTAGAACAACCTCATCTTGTAAATGTACACAACGCAAATATGGGCGGCGTTGATCGTTGTGATCAAAATATTGGTCTGTATCGCATTTCCATCCGGGGTAAAAAGTGGTATTTTTCATTGATCAGCCACTGTATTGATATGGATCAATTATTATTTAGACGGCGGCTTGCCACAGCCTTGTTACAACAAAACAAGAACCCGCCATCTTTTTCTAGAGACGTCCTTCGGCTAATGAATATATAGATATTCGTTATGATCGTTTAGATCATTTTGTGATACCACAAGAAAAGCCAACTAGATGTGGCTTATGTCATGATAGAACAAAAACAAGGTGCTCTAAGTGTAATGTAGGAATGTAGGTAAAATGATTTTTGTCCTTCCATACTAAACCTTAATGTTCGCCTATGTACCTAGTGTACCATATCTTCGACGGCATTTTTTTACACTTTTTCCTAAAATAAAATTTAGAAAATAATAAATTTGTTTTATATATGCTTCATATAGAATGAATTTGCAGAAAACATACTTTATTATAATTTATTTGAGCTGTAGGCATACCTGGGTTAATCAAAAGTGGATTTGGAAATATACTGACATTATGTAAAAAATGCAACAGCCAGAATTATTTATCGAATTTTGATAATAACTTGTAAACATATTTTCTATCATGGAAGTATACGCTGATAAAATGTTGAAGGCACTCCGAGCCGTACTTTTTTTGTAAAGGGTTTTTTTGTCATATCAGTATCCGAATAATATGAACATGTTTACCGAATATTCAGGGATTTTTCTGTGTTGGTTCCTTGTGTTCCATTGTCATTTCATTGCATTATCATGCGTAAAGTTTGCAGACACGCTAATTTCAATCAAATTTCCGGATAATCGGGTTAAGTGGAACCAGCTTTTCTTTTAGAGAAATCGCTAATCGGGTGAATCGATACAAAGCTTCTGTAATGATTTGTTGTCGAGCGTGGCTCCAAGAAGGCCAAAATCGACAAGTTAGAGGTACTTGACGACAAAGACTACAGAGCGACAGGATCGTTGTTTGAGGCAATTAGCACTTAGAAATCGATTTTCCACAACAAGGGCAGTTGCGAACCAGTGGCTTGATGTTGATGGAAGGGCAACAACAATGAGGACAGTTTATCGCCGAATAAGGTTTTTTGAACTGTTTCCATACCATCCCCATCTTGTACTACCTCTGACCCCCAGCATAGTCGGCAACGAGTGGGAGTAGGTAGGTAGGAACTCAGTCGTATTCAGCGATTAGTCCAGATTCTGTTTGGGCACACATGATGTCCGTGCAAGAGTAAGGACGAGACGTGGTGAATATAATATTCCATCGAACGGCATATTAATCGCACTGTGGGTATTAGCATGTCTGTCCAGCGCTATGTCCACAAAGTTTTACAACCACATCTGCTTCTCTTTTTGGAAACATTGCAAAATCCACTTTTTCAGCAGGACAATGCACGACCTATTGTCGCACGTGTTAGTTTAGACCTTTTTAAAGCGTCTGGAGTAAATCTGCTTCAGTGGCCTCCTCGATCTCCAGACCTTTCCCTCATCGAATATGTATGCGACATAATGGGAGAAAGGTTGCAAAATTCACCGCACCCTCCACAAACATTGGAGGCTATACAAAACCAAATTGAAATGGGCTGGGATACAATACACCAAGAAGACATCAATCACCTAATCCAATCAATGCTACGACGACTTAACGAATGTGTAGCGAACATAGGAGCTTCAACACGTTATTAACATTAAGGTGGGATATCTCAGCTATTTTGCGAAATTTCGAGTTAAATTTTCATTCGCTTTCTATTTATCAGTAGACCTGAAGCTTGTAAAAGTATGCTCAAAATTACAGCACTCCTAGTCGGTGTTGCATTTTCTGTGTCATGATGAATGAACATCTTACTGTTTATATTCGAGAATGTCAAAATGCTTGTCGTACTCAGATATCCACACTCACTAAGTCTGTCCGAAAGTGGACAATCATGTTCTTTTACTACTTTTTACTTTCACTAATAGCAAGGTTATGGGGTGTTGCCAGAGCCCTCTACATATTTATATGATGTCGAAGAACATAATTCAATAGCATTCCATAATACTCAAATTTTATGGCGACATTAGAGAAACAGCTTGAGCTATAGAGAAATAGTAATTTCCATAATTGATCTTTAACTCCTGGTATATAAGTGATGAGAGAGATTTGTGAATTTTTAATATGGGATTATTTTTTTATACATTGATTGCTGACCACCCTATACTAATTCACGTTATATATATAAAATAATTTAGCCATACTTACTTCTTACCTGAAACCCCTGCGTAGGTTGCTTGAAGGGGTTAGCTCCTGGCACATCCAATGTACCTCCCTGCCCCGCTTGATAAGTAGCACCGTAACTATCACTAGCCAGTTCATTAAGTTTGGTACTGGATAGAGCCCTTGGAATCGGGTTACTGGGAACTCCATGCGGAGCTAAGTGAGCGGTCTCTTCAGCAACCTAGAATGTAAATGATGGTTCATTCATACTTGAAAAGGATGACATAACTACTAGCTCTAATTGATACCGTGCTTACAGCGTATTGTACTAGCCACAGGACATTAGCTACGTACGTTGACAATTGTCTTTAGAAAGAGCCAATTTCATTTACATTTGTGCGGCTTGTGACAACGTGTAAACATGGCCGCTGCAGCCGCAGTAGTTAAATCTGTTAAAGATGTGCTTAAAGCGTTGTAGACCTTCTGTTACTAAGTCAACACCGTGTAAACAAAAAGCAGTTATACATATTGTAGCGCTTTTCTGGGTTCTTTTGGGTGTGGATCAAAATACTGGATTCCACAAAAAGAAATGCACTAATTTATTTAACTTGATAGAACATCTATGTACACCACTATTTACGTCTGACTAATTCTTATGTCGCCATTGACTGCACTATACTCCACTCCGCTCTGCTACTCTACCGTATTCAGTACTCTGCCTCCATCTACCGGCCGCCGAGTTATATATAGTCCGCATTGCTGCTTCGAGGAAGGTCTGGTGAACCACAAAGCAACATCTGGAATATTGGAGGTCACTTTGCGTCGATCTAGAAGGTGAGTCACTGCCAAGCGGCTGGTGAGGTCGTGGTTCGCGTAAAAGATGGCGCCAACAGTACTATTTGTTACAATATGAAGAAAAGGTAGTTTGACAATGCGAGTAAAATGAGAGTGATATGAAAGGTGACTCCGAAAACATGGCATCCATAAATCAGCTGATGGCATCTAAACACGTGCTGTGTTCCCAGACCGATAATCCTTTCTGGATCAATTCATTCACCATCACTTGTGATATGTTTTTCATTCATTTAAGTTTAAAATTATATTTTTCGCCAGAGAAGTAATTTTCAAACCCTGCTGGTGACAACAAAAATCTGAGTCGATTACAAGGAATTTTGCACCTTCACCAATGTTTGTTGTTAAAAAAATACTACTTTGCACTTTGTTTTTCGATTTTATAATTAGATGCCCGAATGGACTAGGCGTTTTCATGGGTAACAGATTATTCTGCAACTGTTTGAAAACAATATTACAAAATTTATTGACAATAAAATCAGAAAAATTGTTTTCTGGTGCGCCTAGCTAGTTAACCTTCAGGGCTTTACGCCAAATATTACATGAGTAGTTTAGTAACGAAAGAGGAACGTCAGCTTGAACGTTTTCTGAACTCAAATTGCTTATTTTTCCAACTGTCGGTCTACTTGACATGATGGCCAGTTATTCAGACAGCCACTCCGTAAGACGATATGTTTAATACTTTCGTATGATTTTTTGACGTAACTACCAAAAGAAAAGAACTAAATTCTACTTATCTCAGTATAAAGGTAATGTTTTCTGCACATTTTATGGCAATTTTGCAACACACCCTCGATATGCAGCGCCATCTATGAGCGAATCGCCAAGCCAAGAACAGTCCACACATAGATCGTTGTTTTTATTTGTCAGCCAGGATTAGTTCGCAAAATTTTGTTTACGTCGTGTACTGATATGGAATGTTAAAGACTACGTATTTTGCTGCTAAATGTTAAATTGTCGAGCTTGTTGATTCGCATCAAGCTACGTAGGTATCATATCAGTACGCGATGATGTAAGAAAAAATTTGCGACTGGCTTCCCTTCTATAATACATAATACTCCCAAGGTCAATAGGAGTGTTTTTTCTTGGTATAACTACTCTTTGGTGATATAAACAAAGAAATACATTTGCATCTCTGAGGCTCACCATTGAAAACTGATATTGCTGCTTTCGTTTGTCCAAAAATCGTATATAGCACCCTTTCATAGTTATCAGCGATCCAGATGGGACAAAATAACCTCTCAGACGTATTGTATATAACATTCGCATCAGTATTAAGTTATCAACTCAATACTTCTCATAGAAGTTATTCTGCTCTACTTACGTTTGTTGTCCATTCTGGACTGGGCTGATAATTACCATAAGCATGAAACGGTGCCGAGCATGGTTGGTTAGATCGAAAGATAAAAGCAGTGTTATCGTAAAGTTTACTCTTCGATATGCGGTAACCTATTTTGAGACTGACCACGTTCATATTATTCACATTTATCAGGATATAGCCCCAAAAAATCAAATGGGAAAATCATACTAAACCATTTCCATCTAGGATAGTACTTTATGTAGCACAGGTTTATATCTATCTTGAGGTGCACCTAGGTAATCTGGGCTCGCAAGCTTCTTTCAAAACTTATATAAGTTGCATATGAGTCATTGTATGGATGAGGCAAGTTTCGTGACAATCATTTTAGCTGTGTCTCTAGAGCTCCTTCCAGAAAATAAGACTTTTGAGATATGTAGATGTATCTTCTGGTAGCAGTTTTCTGATCTTGGTAGACGGTTGAGGACAGTAAATCAATTCAGTATGACGTAGAAGCCTGAACAACCTTTTGACGGTATGCTTGCTCAACGATCGCAAACCATTTGAAAAAGATTGCTATTTAGAGCACGTTTCAATTTTTTTCTCGCGACAAACTGGCCAGTGTGTAGTTCCGCATTTTGTCGCTGATCCAGGATGGGTCAACATACGCCCGTATGATGTCGACACTATAATGGCCCAGCTTGATTTATCTTTCAAAAGCGTCTTAGCCTTATTCTCTAACCTGTCTTGGATCATCAGTCTGTGGCAAATCTGTTACGAAGCCCTGGTCTCCTCTATAGAAGTTGATGAAGACAAAAGCAGCCAACACTAAGAGGCACACCAAGCCGTATCCCCTGAATGTAGCCGTGCTACCGAAGGAAGCCACAAAAGCACCGCCTAGTACTGCCCCACAGCCTCGACCCAAACCATGATGAACACCCTGTAGTACACCTTGAGCGGAGGTGCGCAGCTCTGGAGGTGTGTTGTGCGCTATGTAGGAGCAGCAGGCTGCCCAAACTGCTGCGTGAGTGATGCCCTGGAAATGTACGAAATCATTTTAAGTAAAGTTTCTCGACTATCAGAGCAGCACAATACTGTTGGTACTGCTCTTCCGTTATTCTAAAAGTGTACTCTCGCACCATTCCCACTGATAACAAACGGGAAAGGAGGCTACCCAGCAGCAAATGGTACCAAAAATGGAGACTCTTAAGACTTTACAGACAATTATTTATTTCATGCATTTTCGTTTTTGATTAAAAGATGGCGGGACAGTCAAAGCATCAATAAAGAAATTTTTATCCTTCTAGATGTGGTGGCAGCGAATGATTTTTTAATTTAACTATGAAAATGAGAACTAAATTGCATATGAAATGTTGACATTCGACCACTGAAGTTCGTCTAACATAGATTTCATCTTAGCATATTTGTTTTTATTTAAAATTATTCTCATAACTTTATTCTGTAGAATTTGTAATTTTGACGATTTGTTTTCATCTAGTGTAAACAAGATGATTTATCAATATAAAAAATTCGGATGAATTATACTTTTGTTTTTTTTTTTGAATACACACTGAGATTGCGGGAAACTCTATAGAAGTAATTTATCTTTTTTTATATTTTTAAAATAATGTATTCATAACAGTAGTTTACTATCCACACATACGAGCTCCTTCCCACTTCAGTTGACCCACTTCAAGATTTGTACCAAAATATGGCTTTATAAACTAAACATGACGAAACTATTTACTTCTAAAACAATTTATTTTCTAAAAACATTTTAGATACACTCTAGTCGTAAAAAAGACATATTTGAAATCACTTAGACCTATAACTAATAGAACATCTGAACAAATAAACAATGTGCGAATAAATGCGCGAAGTTAACAAAGCAACAACTGAAAGATTACCATTGGGTAACATCACCTTTATTTTTTATTACGGCTGAAATTCTTTGGGGCATAGTGTCAACCAAGTTTTGGCAAACATTTGTTGTAAAACAATCCCATATTTCTTGTAGCTTTTGTCTCAGTTCGGTGATTGTACGAGCAGGATGTTGTCGTAGAACCTTTTTCATTTCGTGTCACAAAGTTTCAATAGGTGTCAGATCTGGACTGCTAGAAACCCATTTCAAAAGCGGTGCAGTATTTTCTTCCATCCATTTTATAGCCTTTTTTGAGGTATGGCACGCTGCACCATCTTGCTGAAACACAAAATCTTGGCCGGATGTCAAACATTCTTCCATCACTGGTAAAAGCGATTCTTCTAAAATTGCCAAATATTTGTTTGTATCCACATTTCCACCAATAAAATGAATTTTTCCTACTCCTTTTGATGACATACTGCCCCAGACCATAATGGATGCTGGAAATTTCACTTTTCTCTTCAGACAGTCAACATGGAATGCTTCATTTTTTGCGAATAATTCTACTGCGACTGTCACCAACTTCGAATCGGGCTTCATCACTCCATTGTATTGCACACCATTGTTGAGGTGTCCATTGTCTATGTTCTTTAGCCCATCTAAGCCAATTTTTCTTTTGCAGTGTAGTCAATAGTGGCTTTTCTTTGGCCTATAAACAAGTTGTGCAACTTTAGGGTTTTTACTTCACTTTTTTTTATAAGAAAACTTACCTTGCAAGTGCTATATCCCAGTTTGTGGGCCTCTCTATCAGTTGTGGACTTCCAACAACGTCACTCCACAGAGCACTTAATTGTAAATAATTGGCACGCCTGTTTATCACGATTATTCTTCTTAATGCTCTTCTGTCGGCATTTGTGCTATTACTTTTTTTCACATATCGTGGCTTAATATTAACTGAACCAGCTACGTTATATCTTCTACCAATATTTCTCACACTGTACCGCGATAAGTCTAACAAAGTTGCAATTTTTGAGTTTGATTTCCCAGAATTAGAAATGTAATTATCATTAATCGAATTTTCTCGCTGATAACCTTTCCTCTACCCATTTTGAAAACATTAACTACCCAAAACTATTTTAAACGTATTCTGACAGCTGTGATTAATAAAAACGATTGTCATGGCTTTTATTTTTCACAGCCACCTATGCATTATAGACTTATTTTGCATTGAAATGAAAATAGGTTGATATGCTGTAATTGCAACATGTGTTATTTTTATGCTGCAAATTTGATTAGGGAGTGATAAAGTTGGTGTTTTCTACTATATGTTATCAAAATATTCATTGTTAATATTTTAAACCTATAACACCCTGCTACATTTTTATGATTTGTGTTTGATAAGAAGAAAACTAAGATTTCAATAGTTGGGCCAACTGAAGTGGGAAGGGGCTCGTATATATCTATATTTTTCTAACGGCTCTGGTAAGTTTTTCAGAAGACCTGCCGATTATTCGGAAACGGCTAAGTCGTTTTTTGAATTTAGTCACCTACGACCTTCTCACAGCACTGCGGAGTATACACAGATATTTGAATGACTCGACTGCATAAATTTTTTCATCATTAGTCATGAGCCTATTGCCACCTAAATGTTTCCCTATTAACATGCTATGATTGACTCCATTTTTGTGTGAATCAAGTTTTGTGTAAAAAACCACAAATGCAGGCCCATAAATGTTCATTTTTCGTATATTCAAGACAGTGACAAATCTTTATCCAACTAGTGCTATCTGCTTCCTTATAGAAGTGGTAGACTTCATTTGGTATTTTTATAATCAATAAATCAGAATAGTCAAACAAATACGATGATATTTGTAAAAATGTCAAAAGGCAATTTTTTCAAATTTAAACCATCCTTTTTTATAATCTCATCACGTTGAGCAACAAGGATGGTTTTGTATAAGGTTCTCTAATTTGCAAATTAGCAGGCTTGGCTAATGCGCGGCGAATCACTAGAGATGTATTATTTTGTATGGCTTTTTCATGTGTGGTGCACGTATTGTACATAAAAAAGTAAAAAAAGAAGTTGGCAGGATTATCGCGCAAACCGAGGTTCGAGACCACGAAATGGTACCACCATGCTTAACTCATTTTAGCAGAATCCCTCACATCAGTTATGCTATAATTCCAAGCTTTCATAACTGTCTAACGTCAGCTTTTCGAGTAATCGATCACCCCACTTCTACGTGAGACACCCTGTATGTGGTTCCATTTATTGTTTTGGATAAGAAAGACCGTCAAAGTAAAAACTGCTCTTTGAAGACTTCAAAGAATCATCCATTACATATTTGCCACGTAGTTTGAACACACCCATTCTATATAAGCTACTACACCCCATATAATAAACTACTACTGTATTACTCAGCTACATCCGTGTCTCACCTGCATGAATTCGAACGGCAGTACCCACCACGGGTTCGTCAACCAAGATATGTACAGAAAACGCAGCGTGTTTCCTAGCAGTCCCAAACAAAGCACCTTAACATGTCCCATCTGCCTGATCAATCTGAAGCTGAAGAAGTAAGCAAAAATTTCCGAAACGTGGTTGATAACAGATGCGACTCCAAACAGTGTTGGAGATCCCCCGTAGTCCTGAAGATGCCAAAAGAGGAAGGTGAAGATCAGTCCAATGCCGAAGCCCATCCACCACGCGACGAAGAGGAAGGACGCACATTTCAGGTCTTTGAACTGTTTGAGGACTGTTACCCACTCGGGTATCTCCCGAGTTGTCTGGGCAAATATCTTCGACTGAAAAATATAAAAAGGTACTGAGTCAGATATACTTATACACTGTTGTTATGCATGATAATAATGTTCATAAATATCTATTATTTGAATACTGCATGCATCCGAATTCATTCATTACAAAGAACGAAAAGCGCCAAATATGTTTGAAGGTAAGCTGAAATTCGGGATTCTTTCATTAATAATAATGCAGTATACGATACAAGTTATCCATAGTCCTAATCTTCGTTGTAACTTTGCTGATTTACCGGTTTAAAACTGTTATTGGGTTTTGGTATTTTTTTCTCGTGAATGCTGGATCTCCCTTTTGGACTTTCAACTACTACCCTCTACAAATTTTGCATTCCAAAACAGGAACAGTCGTAGAAGACACCCACACAATTTGTAGCTGGTCTTCTAGTAGCATGGATTTGCTAAATCAAACAGCAAAAATGTCAGTAAAATTACAGTTCCACATTCCTTTTCTTGAAAGCAAAAATCTAATAACATCGTTGGTGATCATAATAGTTGCTACGGCAAAATATTCATCATTCAAAACCCCTGCAATGCGAGAAAATAACTCAGATGATAGAGTGCTTTAATACTTATCGATTGAATGCCTATATATGTGATCTGATAATTTATAGTTCAGGAGATATTCACAGCTTTGGGAAATTAAGTAGATAGAAAAAATATGTTATACAGGGTGACTTCGAAGTTGAATCATTTATTTTAACAGTGAGTAGATCTGATCAAAAGAAATGTTTTTTTCCTTTAACATTTTTGTGGTAAAATTAAAGTAACAAACTTATAGCCCTTGAGTTTGAGTACCGCCCTGTCTCAATAATACTATTATGTGCTCGTGTTTGGCAACAACGGATATAATCCGCCTTATCGGTTCATCCCATCGGAAACAAAAAATCGAAAGAATTTGAAAGGCTGATCACGATGTTTTTATTCAGTCGATGTGTCAGTCGGTAACGCGTGAGTGAATAGTGGTGTTTGCTGCGTGGCTCAAACGAAATAAAAAATGGCACATGTTTATGCGGATCGGTTTCCCAATCGAGTGCAACCAACCCCTCGTGCCTTTGTTAATGTAGTACAACGGGCTCGTGAATCAGGTGACTTAAGACCTCACAGGAGAGGGCATGCCGGTGCTCCAAGACCTCACGATCAAATACAGGTCCGCACTGAAATACTTGTTGGGAGGATACTTTATAAAACAAGGTAATTTTTTTTTTATTTTTTTTATTTTTACACACATATTTTGGTTTATCTTCCTTCTACAATCATTATCTGAAAATTAATGACTCAACTTCAAAGTCACCCTGTATATACAACTACATAACACTATGCCACTCTTTGACAAACGAAATCACTCCACATGGCAATTTTGATGCACAAGTTATTACTTGTTATAATTTACTAAAGACGTTTCCCAGTAATCCGCAGTGATGATTAGCTTCAAATAATAATTAAGGTTTATAAATAACAAGTTATAACTTTGATGGTTGTATTTTCTAATACGGAATACTACCAAGCTTTTCAATATATATGTGCTTCGAGCTAAATTAATCGATGCTGGTACCCCCCCCCCCACACAGAAAAAGGGTTAAATTAATTAGAATATACATCCTCACTACCATATAGATATTTAGATATACAAAGTGAACCCAAAACGCAACTAGTAATTCAGCATTCTTACGTTTTTGTTTACCTATATTACTCCATTTCCTATATTAAACAAAGAAGCAGCCGCGTAAGCAGAAACGTAAATGCCGGGGCACCGTGACTGCTATAAGGAACCTAAAGGGCAGAATTGTGAAAAGCCTCCTCAGACAATCTCGATAGCTTAGGAACGAAAAAGCTATCATACCAACCAGTTCTGGAAGTTCCGCTCGGTTATCGTGGAAGGCCGAAGTCTGGCGGGTCTGTGTCGTCAACATCAGGGATGAGATCTGTGGAGCAGAGCTCGTTGACGTAGCGGTAGAAGAGACCGCCTGTCGGTACGAAAAGGAGCCGAGACTGTTGGTTAGAAAAGTGTCATCGATCAGTCGGACAGCCCTGATCTGACCTGCAGCGAGTGTGGATAATCTAGCCAACACCCCCCATCCCAAATATGTGAGCAGTACTATGGATTCTGAACAGGTTGAGAAGGATATAGAGAGAAACTAACTTCTCAGCTATAAACAAGTAACCCAGCTTTTTCCCAACATCTGTTATGATGGTCGAGATGTGTTTGTACTTAATCAAGTCCTGGGTGATTTAGACTCCGCCCAGCCAAAATGAACGACGGATGTCTTGTAGCTACAGCGGAAATCAATCATCCATTTGCAAAGCCTGTCTGGGAGTTCAGAGGATAGAATGTTGTACTTCCTAGAACCACCACTTCCTAATTTAAATAAAATGTCTGGATTGCAAATTTTCTACCCAAAAATTACTGTAGCTTCTAATCTATCTAAAACAGTCAGAAGAAAATCAAATATGAACATGTATAACAGAATAATTAAATGGATTAAGTCAGTCAAACAGGCCCATACAGTTAGTCCTTAGGCAGTATTTCCGTGCACTACCGGTAGTTACCGTCCATCTGGCAACATTGTCCCTTTTTACATCTGCCTGGTTCAGTATTAGGCACCTGGGCCGGTTTGCCGGACGGTGAGCCGGATAGCATGAGTACGCGGATCAAAAACATTTCTCTATCCTCTTAACTCTTAAGTATTTGATGTGTGAAATATGGCCAATACGTGCATATAATTACCGAGGCTGGGAGCGTATAAATATCCTAAGATAGAAAATGCATATACGTTCGCCCACCCTTACAACCTTCAATTCCCGCATTTCAACACCTCCAAAATTTTTCTGTTTGAACAATTTTAATTGGTCCGATTTCAAAAACTGTAAAGCTTTTTCGTCCTTGCTATAGTAGCAACCTTGTTTAAAATTGTCATCAAAGTCTGAGCAGTACTTCTCAAGTTATAAACGAGCCAAGGATTAGCAGACACAGAGACCGACCGACGGAAATGAATGACTTGCTTTTTGCGTGATGTACATGTCATATAACATCCAAAAAAACCCAAATTTCATTTTAGAAATGTTTCAAAATTACAATACTTCCTCCCTCAGTGGCGTGGGACGTAAACAAAAGGCCGGATATCGGTATTCACGGTATAACATAGTAAGTATTCAAACTATGTCAAAAATAAACTACACTGAAAATGTTATTCCAATATATAGGAATCAGTATCTCCTGAATGAAACGGTTTATGCGGAAAGCTGTTGCCAAAAGCTCACACCTTGATAAACCGAGCACTTATGCAAAGAATAATGCTACTTAAAGAAATTTGACCGTCACAATAATACTTGAGTGACGAATAAGAGTAGTATATTGTATGATATTTCGCTATCAAGTTAAGCAAACTTATGCTGGCGCTTACTAAACCACATGTGATTTAACATTGAAATCAGATATTTATCTATCCCATGGGAACAATTTTCTCCACAAAGCCAGATTTTTTTTTCTTGAATTCTTTAGTCGATTTTGTAATTAAGTCTCCGTAAAATATCAAGCTGTGCGTCGATAAAAGTGGGACGTGACGTTTCCAGTGTTCGTATAATATCCAATACGTCAACCCCTGATGCCAATCATTGAAAATACAAGACAATCAGGAAGAATTAGGCATACAAATACCTTTTGCTCTTGCGGTTGCGGTTGCGCTGGAAGGCTGCTTCCGGTGGTATCAGCAAGCGATGGCAGGTGCAGCTGCTCAGCAAGCTGAGCTTGCATTCGTTCCTCGTCTGTCAGAGGCCTTGGAACATTCGGCTTCTCGTCATCTACTTGAGGCGCAGGCTGTTCGTCATACTTGAATGTTATCTGAGTAGCACTGATTAGCGCAGCGCCCATCAATACTGAGAAGGTCGCAAAGCAGATCGTGTAGTTCTTTTCCTTTTTATCAGGCCCGCACGGATGGTTAGGGAAAGCAGTGGAGTGGTCCAGAGCTGCAATAAGTCTATTTCATTAGACGGAACATACAATATAGGTTTAAATATCCTAATAACATTTCCGGCTAAGAAGCATTTTTGATATAAACTTGCACTTTAGACACCAGTGTTTCCCTGCTGCACAAGCAGCAAAAGAGTTTTACTAGGTAAGAGCAATCTGGAAAATAGTGCGTTAAACCAGCTTTTAGGTTTGAAGAACGTACTTTATTTTTACTTGGAAAGCTGTCGTGGTAGCCGAAACACCGGCACATCTCCTTTATCAGCGTGATTCCAACTGCGAGCCAGATAATCTGTGATAACTCTCGGAATTTGATACTGACAGGCTAACCAGCACTGTTAATAACATGCTTTCGAAGTTGTGCAATATGGGATCCAGCACTTATAGTGTCAAAATAATTTAATCCGGTCTACGTGTTTATCCTAAATCATATGGGTATGATAAAGCAAAAATAAAAACCCTTGAAGGTGTTCTGAAAATCTTCTATTGAGTATGAACATTAGACCATAAATAACAGTAATTTTTTGTATCATCCATAGGTGTTTACACTTTTTACTTCCGTAACATTCTAGTTTTTTATAACAAGCTATGTTTGCGCACAGCAGCACCCAAAAGCTTTCCACGGCATACGGTGAGCTATGAATAAAACGTTTATACAAAAAAAACTCTTGTACGGATAAAAATGATTATCTAAAATATTTGCGGTAGCGCCAAAAGGAAACGAAATAAATTGACCCGAAATAGTCACACTTTTCTTTTTCTTGTTGTCCACAGATGAATGAATGGTACATTACAGATAATACTCTCGTAACTACTTTCTAATACCACCTACAGCAACACCATCTGAAGAAAGCGGACTCAACTAAGCCACCATGACTTATTTCTTTATAGGATACGACCCGATTCAACACCACATTCGCGCCTTATATTACCAATGCAGCATTATACTATTACTTTTAAATATTAATAAGAAATTCAAAAATGTATTATTATTATTATAGTTTAATATTAATTCTATTAGTTCGCTGCGATTAAACTACATATTTTCAATCGGTTGCATGTTACACGTGCTTGCAAGTATTATCACATAACTATTGATATTTGAACTGTGGACATCCAAAGCACTGTTCCTGTATCAGATTTTATCAATATTGCGTTCAACAGCGTTCATGACGGCCACCATCCGGGCTCCTTCTGAATCTTCTGCTGTTGATTTAGCTATTGACCTTTCTTTCCCATAGCCACAGCAACATACAATCAACAAGTACCTTTTAGTGTTGTAAAAACCTATAACTCCTCCGTTGCACACAATTCTTGCATTCAATGCATTTGCAATGCAGTTAGTAAGGGTCGGTTTCTTCAAACGGCGTTCAAAGCAAGGTACAAAGCCATCTATACTTCTGAACCTCCCCTGATGTTATCTTTAGTAACGGAAGTTATGTAAAAAATATTAAATATACCTACTTTGTACTCAAAACCGATATTTTGCATTTTTTATTAGAACCAGAGATACGACTGTTGATGAAGATACAATATTTCACTAAATCAGAACATTTGCAAGGAGTTGTTGATGTTTACTCAAGCTCTGGTCGATTCTGGTTGTCTAATTCCGATAGAATTGTTGAAACTTGTACTAAAGCCACCTCAAAACCAAAATACTTTTTATTCCCCAATGCGATACAAATAACAAGTACTACTATACTAAGTTATATAACCTAAATAGAACAGTTTTGGTATGTCCGCTTACCTATACCAACGAAAAACATTGCCAGACCCCATCCGAGTGATCCAAACATACGTTGGTGGCCATATGTGTCCGCGTCCTCACCAAGTAATGTCAATACCGCCGAATCTGCTAGGGTGACTGCTGGGGCGCTGAAGAATTCGCCTACTATAACCAGTAGGAGTAGAAGAAAAAACGCTTTTTGGATATCCTATGGAAAGGCGATAAATGCACATATCAGCTTAAATAATTCTTAGAGACTTGAAAGCAATATAACTTAAGAGCTAAAATATAGCGAAGCTACAGAATCTATCCTTTCAGCGTGAGTGCCCTTCTCTATAGTTTTTTTCACGATTTGATACATCAATTTTGCTCACACATACAAGGTCTGTAAATTAAGTGATGAGACTGCTTTTTTTATTGAAGTATAATTACAGTTTTATATTGTCACCATCAAAATAACTTCCTTCCTCCTTCTTTAGACTGATGTGATTGTTTCAACTTCGGAAAGAGAAAAAACCACAGGGATTCAAGTCAGTCGAATAAGAGTACTGAGGAGCCACAGGAATAGCTTTACTAGCCAAAAACTGGTTTATTGAGCTTGCTGTGTAAGTTGTTATTGATTCTGATGAACGGTGGTGTGAGTCTAATTTGACTCTTCTCCGATCATTCTGACTGTCAATCGATGATCTGAACGCACAAGATCCCGGATTCTGTCGATATATTCATCAATTCTTGAAAATGAATGCCTTCCGCTTCATGGTTGATCTTCAATCGACTCACTCGAGCGAGTTCAAGCTTGTACTGAAGGCCGATCACATGTTCCCATGTCTCCCCTTCAAGTCCGACCCCACCAGTGTTGCTAGATCGAACGCTACGTTGACAGTCTCATCACTTAATTTACAGACCTCTTATATAAGCAGTCCACCTCTACGCGTCGACGTACGCTTATGTAAGCTCACAGACGTACGTTTTTTATTTTCGTCTCGCAACCTGAAACATTTTCTCGCCAACGTATGAGTACTCCTTATCTATGCTTGGCGCTGTCAGCATAACAACTTACTTGTATTTTCAAGAAATGAATTGAATCAACGGTCCTTTGATTCATGTGTGCCAGAGCAGTTGTGGTATACTTAGCCGATCTGTTAATTTATTTCGTATGATATTTATGACCTAACCTCCAAAAACCGTGAACAGACCATCCCGAATTAACCTTTAAAATCCTCCCTTGCCTGAACATTAAGCTAACCTATTGAAATATATGGCAGCTTCCTAACATGGCGGCTAGTGGGTACGGACGCCCAAAGATTGGTTGCCATATATTTCAATATGTTAGTTTGCTACGGATGCTGATGACGTCGTCGTGGCGTCTGACTGGGTATTATGTAAAAAGCCTATATAATGTCAAAAAAAACGATACAATGTCAACTTGTTGACTAAGTAGGCTAGTGTGCAAATAGTTCATCTTGCGCTTCCTACAAGTGAGCATGGAGTGAACGACAGCTTCCAAGTTGACGTCTGTTACGAAACCCTACATAATGTCATAAAAAACCTACATAATGTAAAAAAGTGACATAGTGTCAAAAAATGTCACTTTTCAGGTTACATAGTACCCTGCCGGTAGCGGCTTTTAGGGTAACGATAGAGAAGAGACAGAAAATGTTGAATAAGCGTGTGATATTCATTCCAAAAGGCTTATTCACAAGAAAACTGAGCAATACTACAGTGGCTTCTACAATTGAACTTTCGTAATCAAATGATAATTTAAATGCATTTAAACCATAAGACGTTTAAGATAGTGGTGCTTTTGTAGCTACAAATTAGACCTTGCGAACCTAGTCTGCGGTTTGAGCCTGCGCATCCTTTGAACAACTACTCATTTACGGACTTTTCTCTTAAAATATCATATTATTAGGTTAGTATAAATCCGCTGGGACCCAAATAAGAGTATGTTGTTTCAATATTGGTCCAAAGGAAACAATCTCACCAATAGCAGAAAGACTTTACCTGGGTTCGATAAACAATGGATGAGATGATAGGTTGAACCCAGCTTTCGTGTTCCTTTGGGTTGTAGTTCGAGGCGTAAGTGACTTTTATGGGTGACTGGCCAGCAGCTAACGTTGGCAAAAATGGCAACGATCTCTTTTTCCTGGAGTGACTGGAATAAAATAGTTTTAAGGTTTTTATAATGAAAGCTAATGTAACTCCGAAATAGCAGTATAGCATAACTTAATGTGTGCATGATAATTTCTGTTGTCAGACTGTTAGCTATGCTGTTTAAAATTCATACAGATGAAACGCATTTTTAATAATTACATTATCATCAAGATCGGACAGAGGATGGTTTTTGAACTGATGCCACACAACAACCTCTACAGTAGTTGTACTCGTAGCACAATTCAAGCGATCAGTGACGTTACCAATGTTAACACGTATATATACCTCAAAACAGCGATATGTAATTCAGTAAATAGCAAATTAGCCCCACGAAAATAATGCGCCCTAACGTGTCTAGGTTTTGCGAACACGATGAAGCTGACTCGCCTCGACTTGGTTGTCGGTTCGGTTGTTACCATTTTCATTTATGGATACACTTGGTAGTCCGTCGGGGAGCGTCGGTGCCGGCTCTTGTCTGATCGCGGTCGCCCGAGTGCGTGGGGCGCTGCGACTATTATATGGGCTTGTTATCATTTTTTTAATTGGTTACTCACTTCTCACTCGTTAGTAGCCGTTTTGGTTACCGGCTGTAGTATGCGTGCAATTAAACATGGATGAGAGTCGCTGCGGAATCGATCAACTACTTGAAAAGTCATTCTCCTTGTATAATTGTTAAGAAAAAAGGAGATCATTGAAAATGGAAGACCAACGCCTATTTTAGATAATTTTAAAAAGGAATAAAAAAATGTAGTTTGGTATTTTAAATCAAGTAGGTATATGGAAACTCTTGTTTATGTGGTTGTAAAAAAACAGATTGTATTGTTGGCGATGTCTTCTGTTTTATAATGTACAGAATAAAATGCAGCGGAGTCAACGATTTAAATAGTTTTAGCGCTCTAAAGAGGAGACATGAAGTTTCTCCGTTACATGTGGGATGTGTAGCCAATTTAATTCAGTTTGGCAAAACAAGAATCGAAAGTTGTCTTAACCAAGCTTTTATGCAGCACACTTCTAGATACCGTATGTCTTTTTGGAAAAACAGGAATTACCGTTCATTCTGAAGGGATGACTCCGACAATAGAGGAAATTACAGGGAATTGTTAAGATTCATTGCCAAACAAGATCAAACATTTTCCGAACATCTAGAAAAGTCGACTGTTTTTTCGGACGGCTTGGATTAGTCATAGCATAAGACGATGAGATATATCAAGTGCCCCAGACGCTCAGTCCAGGAATGTTTACCTTCATTTAAAAATGGTTTAAATAAAATACCTAAAATAAGCAAAAGTTTATACTTGGGAGGTTCAAAATAAACTTCTTTTAATAAGATTTTTCACATCTAGTTTTGGTAACAGTTTAGGAAAAATCACGCATCGTCACTGCAAGCAGTGTAGGCTGTGTTTTGTAACTGCGTTCTGATTGTCTCTTCTTGCTAATGCACCGACAGCTTTACAGTTTTCGACCTCTCATGAGGTATTAAGAATTTTAAATGAAGAATTAGAAGGTTCGGGTTATAAAATACTTTGAAACCAAATTCGGGCAACATTTTCACTATAATTAATGCGTATCTTCCGGGTTATATCGGAAAGATGTAACAGAAAGTTGATTTTGTCAAATCGTTTATCGGAAAAATGCCTTTTTGTACTTGTTGCAAATAATAAATGAATGCCTCCATTTGGAATTTACAACTTTGCGAATCGACTGTTCCAAAACATTTTTAAATAAAGATTCACTATACCGGGTGTTTCAAATTCGACTCTCTCTACTGGGATCTTGTAAACGAGAGGAGATACGAAGTCGGTTACATGCGGGCAATGTTGCGCATAAGGCCACTGAGAAAATAGTTCTTACAAAGTTTCGCAGTTCCGAGTATTTCTGGAGTTAAACAAAAGATACCCAATTTTCTCAAAATCGTTTTTATTTTTTTCTGGCTTTATTTTGCAAGCTAAGAAGTGCAGTAATAATGTCACATTTTCTTCTCTACATGGTGGCCTAATTAAAATTTTAACATGACGTTTCGTTTATCGTCCTCAATCATCAACTTGATGTTTTCTTATAGACGATATTTTGTATTTTTGCACAGTTGAATGGAGTTTTTCATTCGTATTCCAAAGATGTATGATATGTCATATATTGAGAGTACCAAACTCTAGTTATTTAAAAAAAAAATAGAACTTCATAGGCCTTGATATTATCAGATAGTCATATTATTAGTCATAATATCATCACCCAAGCATTCCTTTAGTTTTGATGAACTAAGCATGGGTAAACATCGCTTTTTCCGATTCTAATGATATGACATTGTACATATCATGACTCGTCAAATAAATAACAATCTAATCTAAAATCTTTTCATACTAGTCAATGGTAGTATTGGAAACGTTTTATTATGAAACATTTTGGATATCAAAATACTCAACGATATTGCAGCTTCCTAAAAACATTTCAGATCCTCTGATATCTAAAACGATGCACACTTCTTGGATTCTAATAATATTAATAACTCCTGCATCTCCATCATACTAAAATGTTATAGTCGATAAATGGGCTAATTATCTGAATGTCAGAAACATGTCATTTTCAAAGCCAACTATGCCAATAATAGCTTTTTCTTTATAACTTATATTTGACAATGTACGGTATTATACTGCGCAAGAATAGAATAGAGATAAAACGTCATGTTGAAACTATACTCATGACATTTTGTGAACGTTAGAGGGTGGCAATGCTTAATGTACTTTTTATTTTAAAATCTAATCTCAAATAAGGCCAGGAAAAAATAAAAACGATTTTGGGAAAATTTTGAACTTTTTTTGTGCCGCTCTGTTGGCTACTTAAATGCGCAAATTTTTCCACATTCAACCGACTTCGCATCTCCTCCCGTTTCCAAAATCCCGGTGAGTGTCGAATTTGAAACACCCAATATGTTTACGTATTTCATATTCTATATCAAGTTTTTTCGAGGAGCTTGTAAAATAATGCGAATTACTTAAATTTATTATTCATTATTATCATTAAACGACAATTAAATAACTCACCTTTCTAGTTCTACTTCATCCAGTCTCCTAGCATATTCTGCATACATTTGGTCGTCCACTGATCTCTTGCTGATTTTTGTGACAGTAATCTCTGGGCTCGTCAGCATCGCCGTGTTATTTCTATCCACATGCATGCATGACGTTGCTGGAGGTTGTATTGATCCTAGGGGAACCGTGAAGATAATCCAGGATGCCAGTGAGGCGAGAAGGAGAATCTTGCCTTTCTGCCACCTATCAGCTAAGCTACCCCAAAATGGTGCTGAGAGAAATTCCACGAATGGTCGAGAACCGATCAAGATACCTGAAAAACACAGGGGTTGCTGGTATCTGCCAAACAAATTACTCGCTCTCTCAACTTGGGCGACTTCCACGCGAATTTCGCCCTTCAATTCGTCCAGTGTTCGGGGCTTGTTCGCGTATACTCTATCCTTGAGGTGTCTCCATAAGAAAAAATCGCATATGGATAAATCTGGGGACCGAGGAGGCCAATGAACATCGCCAAACCTGCAAATAAGGCGACCAGGGAAGAGAGGGCGAATAACGTCCATGGATGCTCGGGCTGTGTGGGCGGTCGCCCCATCCTGCTGGAACCACACACGTCGGATTGGAACACGTCGCCGTCGTAATTCAGGGAGAAAGGATTTGGTGATCATGTCGACGTAGCGCTCTGAGTTAACGGTAACATCACGACGATTACCGTCTTCGAAGAAGTAAGGGCCAATGATGCAAGTTTGCGATACAGCGCACCAAACCGTTACTTTCGTGTAACTGTTGCGGATTTTCATTAGCCCAATAACGACAGTTCTGCTGGTTAACCATGCTGTTTAGGTGAAAGTGGGCTTCGTCACTCATAGGCGAAAACGCGATGCTCCACCGTCCAAGGCTCCATAACGAGAACTGGTAAAATAATGCTAGGATCTCACGAGTCAAACGTCACCCTCCCCACCTCTCTCGTAGACGGAGGCGGAGAGTACTACCCATCCCAAAAACGTCCGTCCTCTCTGCCGCACCCTGTACAATGTTTTGTTTTTGTGAAATGCAGTAGTAGTTGAATCTAACAGACATAATCAGCAATCGGTAACTAGAGCTGCTTTCAAGAGGTTTTTGGTTTGAGAGTGATATGCTCAACTGCTATGGGAATACAAAGTACAGTGGAACTGTACTGGTGCTGAACATGACTGAGTCACTCAGAGAAGCTCCGAGTAACTCGATTGGGTCACTGGCAAGCAGCTCTGGAGAGACCAGTTCGGTGCTAAAAAATATTTAAATATTTGTGACATCGATAGCCGCTTATGATGACAACTGTTAAATGAAAATTTGGGTCCTCCCTTGAATTTTTCTGAATGAAGGGTCATTGTTTCACTCTTACCAAGGAGCTATCGGATAACATTGTTTCCATGACATTTATTTGACATTTCCACGAACAGTTTCAAATCGAAAAACAGTTTCAGTCATATTAGTAGATAGCACAGAAATTTCAATAACACTAGTTCTTCTTGGTGAAACAGGTAGCAGGGTCACTTCTTTCCTGGCATAAGCGGTTGAATGGAAAGTTCACTATTTGAGACGCATTACACTTTTCATAGGAGAAAAAGTACCAAAATGACATTTAACTCACAACAGTTTGTTTACATGGACCTCGGATTACATCAGATCAATTTAGATTGGTTGAATCTGTGGTCGTATATCTTTTACCGTGAACCATATTTTGAAGTCGACGTCGAAACTGTGGTTAGGCCGGGTCATAATAATATAAGTAATATAAGTCAGAAAAATATAAAAAGCTAAGTCTTGTACTTTTCAAATTATAGGCTTTTAAAAAACTGGAAGGGTTCTTCCGCATCCTATGATGATCTTTTAGTTCCCTTTATTACAAATTTCAATTTTTTCTCAGACAGAGTGACGGACAGTGTGATCCTACCTAGTACACAGTAAGACAGATAGTAAAGCCACTTTTATTAATTCATGATTGTGTAGTGTCACCATGTCTGTGTACACCGTACAGGAATAGGCCGACATGTACCTCATTTATGAGGATTGTAGATGCAATGCTAGTGCTGCAGCTAAGCTTTATCGGAAGAGGTATCCAAATGCTGCCTCGTCATCCAAGCCAATAGAAAATTTAGCTAAGCTCGAAACAGGATAATGGAAGTAGCTAAATTTGTGCATAGCGGAAGATTCGCCCGTCTGATAACCCGATCATTTTTGACAAGAAGTCGAGCTTGCATTAAATACATTTATGAATTAATAAAAGTAGCTTTACAGTCTTGCTGTCACTACACAGAATGACACTGTCCATCATTCCGTGTGAGAAAAAATTGAAATTCGTAATAATGAGAACTGAAAGACCATAGCAGGGTCTAGGTTTTTCCGATTTTTTTAATGCCTATGATTTGAAAAGTACACACCCTGTATAATCAAACACAAGTAGGTAGTTTGACTACTGAGAAAAGTCTTACATCTACTAAGACTTGTTATATTGAATATTTGAATTCATTCCCAGATAAAAACTGATTCTATTAAATTCAAAGTTGTATCACCTTTCCAGAATTACAGTAACTAAATTTTGATTTGATTCTCTTAATAAGGTTAATACACCCAATTTATTCCCACTTACCGCTTTGAGTAGCATTCATTCCCATTTGCTTGAAGTAGACTCCCATCAAAGGAAAGAGAGATCCGAAAGCAGAATAAAAGAAGAAGTAAAAACTTTTCACGACTAACAATTCTTGGTCTACTGGCCCGAAGATCATTTCTAGAATATCCGACTTCCCTCGGATCTTGTGCGTTGCTTCTTTTGGTTGGGGATATCTGTAATTTTTATTTATGATTAGAAATACACTAGTAGAGAGCGAAAGGAAAATGTATGGAAAAGCATCAAAAAAGGAAGAATGGCAATTGCATCAATGTACCGCCTTTGAACGGCAATTCAACAGTACATAGTAGTCAATATAGAGCTAAAATGATTACAGAAGCTTTTATATGCAATTATGAACTCCCAGCGTGAATGCTTATTGTCATCAGCTTTTATTAAATGAACTACCAATATCTTCAGACGATCTCATTCCACGTGGCCGAATACAAAAGGCAATTGAAAATAGCAGACCTCTTAAGGCACCTGGTGATGACGGCATACAAAATATTGGGCCGATTCGACGCCAAATTGCAGAAAAAACGGCCCCCTTTGGAGAAAAATAAAATGATCTTCCACAACGACAACGCACCAGCTCACACTTTCACCGTCACCACAAACAAATTGGTCGAATTAGGCGACGAACTGTTGCCCCATCCACCATATTCTCCAGATTTGACCTCGTGCGTCTTCTTTGTGTATCCAAACTTAAAAAAGTCACTCGCCTTGAAAAAATTGAGTCGAATGAGTGAGTTATCGCCGCCACGGAAGCCTACTTTGCAGACTTCCAGAAAACGAATTTTTCACACGGGTCAAAGAAGTTCAAGGATCACTGGATCAAGTGTATCGAGCTAAAAGGTGACTATGTTGAGAAATAAATACACTTTTCCAAAATGTTCGTTTCTCCTTTGTAGACGAAGTACTTATCGAACCGCCCTCGTATGCAACAAACCTACGTGCTAAAGAATCTCATATATATTGTGCTAAAAGGGAACTCAATACAATTTGTCACCAACAGGCCGCCTATTGAGCAATTACAGCGTACACTCCGCCAACACCCTCATATCTGGCAGACCAAATGAACTGGAAAAATGGCGTCAAGCAGGTTGACTGATGGTCACGTATGACAAAGGAGTTGAACGGATCAACTCAGTCAAACGGGTTCATGCTATTAGTCCACAGTCCTCTCCCATTCGACAACATTGCGGAATTTCTTCACTACCCTACCTACCGACAGTACCGACCATCTGGCAACACGGCAGTGACTCACCTGACCACTCGCCAGCTACTCATCGGTCAGACTCCAACGCAATGCATGTGCATCTACGTTCGTTGCTGCGACGCGTGTATTGAAAATATTTCTCTATGGTTCTGTTTTAGGGAAATCTATGATGTGTGATAATCCAATACGCGCGCAGAATTGCCGGAGCTGGAAGTGTATAAATATCTTGGAGTAAGAAGCAAATAGATAAACGGAGATTAATCCCACCCCTTACAACCCGACAGCTCCAACTTTTTATAATTTGATGAGTATTTTTTCATTTTTTACCTCTGGCTCCTCCAGCACTGGATAGTCGTGACGTTGTGTTAAATTTTCTTAACGACTATCGTACAAACAGCCAGACCGACAGAAGTAGGTGACAAGTTGTTTCATAATGTATACTGGTATGTCACATTACACCCAAAAACGTACCCATTTTCGAAAATTCTTCGCGGTTACATTTCCTCGGTAGAAGAAAAAAGTCGGCTTGTAAGTTTTTATCTGGACGATAAAATTACATAACGCCACGAGTAATGTAACAATAACACATAAAAAATATGGTAACACCACGGATAGAAATACAATGATTCAAAAAAAATATGAACAATTTGTTGAGCAATAATTTAATAGCGTTTCATATTTTATGTGTTTGGTAGTAATAGTTTTTGGAGAAATATGAAAAGTATCCGAGGGTTGTCGCTGCTCGCAGCCATAGTCATAGAGGCAACAGGTATAGTAAATAGTTGAGAAAGTATCTGCTCAAGTGGCATAACGACTGGGTCTAAATTTTCATCAGTTTGGCGGGCTGGAATCTTATTGAAAGCATGAATAGGCGCTACATCCTATAAGTAAAATTTAATTTGTACTAGTTATATGGAGCCGCAGTTGTGCAAGCACATTTTATATATGGAAAGGTGGAGGATTCAAAGGTGCAATTTCATTTTACAAGCTTTGGAAAAAATCATTCGACGGATAGCGGCGAGAGCTTCGTTCTCGGATCGCTTTGTTTTGAAAGCGACGATGCCTGATTGTATAACTTTCTATTTTCCGTCTTTACATTTATTGTTTATGACACGTACACACTCTAGTTTCTCTTGCAGTGGCATCTATGTATATTATCTTTTTTCCAGTAGCAAAAGAGCCAGTCTGCAGGGAAGTTGGTGTAGGAATTTATCCATCGGAATTCTGCGATCAATACTACCGATGCTCTAAGACACTGTTCTGGTACAGTGTCAGCTTAGATTCATGCCCTCAGGGACAAGTTTTCAAGAAAGAAGCTCATAGATGTGTTATCGGGGAATGCTGGCAAAAGTTAGGTATGATAAGCACACAATAGTTCATTATGTGTCATTAACCGGTTGGGAAGTTATGGGTAATCACGATATAATGTTGCTTTGTTACCTAAATACACACGTGTATGCTAAGCTGTGAGTTCTACCCATACATCGCTGAATAAAATGACCAAATATACCACTAACAAAATGCCAAGTAAGGAAAAGATAAAACAGGATGTAATGGACCAAAATAGCTTCATCAAAGAAGACATGTAACCTATATTTATGAGAAAAAAATCAGATATAATTATTATTATTTTTATTATTATTATTATTATTATTATCATTATTATTATTATTCTGTTCAATGTGCATCCCAGAGAGTGACAGTGAGGAGAATATAGAATAAGTTAAAAATAGATTGAATTATTCTGTTACTTGCAGTGACCCCGCCTGTGTGCTCCCAGACAGGTCCAGGATATTATGCTGCTCGAAAATGTAAACAATACTACCAGTGCACTAGGATTTTGTATTGGAATAACATGTATTTGAAGACCTGCCCAGATGAAGAAATTTATGACCAGAAACAACAGAAATGTGTTACAGGTGGACCTTGCATAGATGGCAGATTAAACTAAATATTTCAATAGAAATATCTACATCGGAACCAGCATAATTCCTTGTACTATGTTAGTCTAGTATTTACTTCAATTACAGGTTTCAATATTCAGTACTAATATAGAACAGCACACCTTTTTATTCTCCTCTTAGGTAGTTAGCGGCATCCCAATCATGTCTGAGTTGTTCCCACTTTTCTCAAATTGATTAACTATACAGCCATAAAAAATCAATTTCTAAGTAAACGTTTCATTATAGCTCATACAGGGTGTACCCCGTCAATCAGATAAAATCAACATGACCTTAATAAAAGCTTTCTAGTTTTCGAGATATTGCCACTTTTGAGTTTTTTCAAAAAAATTCCCTTACTCCTTTTTTACCTGTAATGGTAATTTTTTTTCCTGGGCTACAATTAATAGTTGGTTGAGACAACCGAGTATCAATTTCATTGAAAACTAGCACGGTATGGTAAAAAAAATAATTATCACATTTTGTTTCAACGTGAAAACCTTTACCAAAGTTTGACTAATTACTGTGAAAAAAATATAACAAACTGAATCGGCCTATTTAAAGCTCTTTAAAAAATAATATAAGATTTGTAGGTTCTTTCTACTAAAAATTGTCATTGAAGTCGTAATACTTGCGAAATACTACAAATAAAAAAATAAGTACAGCAGTCCGTTGTATCCAAATCACTAAGGAATGAATCTTCCTAAACATGTTGTTGACTATCTCGCTCTCACATTCACTGTTATTGGTAGGATTATGTCACCACGAGGAACTTCTAGTTTACCGTGCTAGTTTTCAATGAAGTGAATACTATTAATGATAGCCCGAAGAAAAATCGTAAGTAAGAAGTTCTTTATAGCCATAACAGGCAAAAACGGAGCAAAAAGTAGGGATTTTTTAAAAAACTTAAATGTGACAATATCTCGAAAACCAACTTGCTGAATGACATTAAAATTGCAAAACTTGGATTTTTTCATAATCTAAAAATTGTAATAGATAATGAAAATAAAAAGATCGATAACAAAACTCTAGACTCTACTATAACAATTACCCGGAAGGTGTTTGACCCCTAAAGCTGCGAGTAACTAGAAATCAGGCTTACCGGGGTTACTCGTCACTCGAAGTAAAATAGGAGGTTGAATTAAATAGAAACCGGACTTTTGTTTTAGTAATTTTATTCGTATATGAGTAGTCTTATTTTTCTACATAATCTCCTCTCTTATTGATGCATTTTTCTCATCGGTTCGGGAGTTTTTTAATTCCCCCATCAAAGGATGAAGCTGGTGGTGCAATTTTGCACAAACGTTTCCACACCTTCGTCGTCGTCAGAGTGGTGACCTCCCAGGTTATTTTAAGTGGTCCAAATATGTGATAGTCACATGGTGACAAATCGGGACTGTAAGGCGGATGTTCCAGTGTTTCCAATTAATTTCGCGTATTTTTCTTGAGTCAATGAAGCTGTGTGTGGCCGAGCGTTGTCATGGAGCAGAATGGCACTTCGAATAGGCATGTCTCGCCTTTTTGGCCGATGGGTCAGTCTCTCTTTGCAGTCGTAAGCAGCATTAACTGTACGGCGATCGTGAACTTTTCCTGCAGAAAGAGTGGTCTTGACTGTTCGCGGTGTTCTCTCGAGGCTTTCGCCACTCTATTGAAATTTTTTTGCCTGTCGTATATTTGTGTCCTTGTCTTATCACCGAACTGTGCTGTTAATTGACGCAAAATTTGGGAAGGTTTTACGCCCTCCCGGGCCAAAAATTTTTTGATGATGCGTTGAGTAACAGACGTGTGCAGCTCTTGCTAAGACATGAGGCTATTAACAACTTATCTACTTCGATGCGCCAAACCGACTGACTCACCTAATTTTCACCCAACATCTACCAAGACGTGCATTCACCTATGGCGCGTCAAACAGAAAAGTCCGGTTTATATTTGATTCACCCTCGTAAATATACATATATATATATACATATATATATTTGTAAAAAATATGGTTTGTTAATAATGATAACACGACACAAAGTGTTGCTATAAAATTCCCTTTGAACGAACCCTGTATTTTGCTCAATAAACTAGTAGTGATGGCCGGGATACAGGTGTTTTGGGATAAACAATTAGGAATTTTCAAGAACTACTCGACCAATCGACTCCAATTTTGTTGTGGTTATTCAGAAATCAGAACCCTTCGGATTTGAAGAATATCAAGTGGATGCGTGAAAATATCGAATTAGCAACAAGTGCCGGAACCTTCACTTTGCCTGGGTTTTCGGCCATAACTTTATTAATATTAGCGGGATCTTTTCACGTATGTTCTCATTCTGTAGGTCTCATAAATACCAAAAAATCTTATTTGAAAAGTTTTCTCGTTCCAAACACTTTCGATTGAAAATTCACGTTTCCTCATTATTTGTTCTCCAATAAAAAGTTTTCCCACAAAAATTGTTGTACCCATTTTATGCATCCATGTTTTAAATACCCACTTCATATCAATAAAACCAGACTTTACAATTATTTCGGGGAAATTTGCAAATAAAATAGAAGTAGAAGGATTGGTAACCCGAGAGACGTAAGTGTCTGCTTATTGGCTTTATCATGGATGAGCATTGAAAACATCGAAATGAAAGATATGTCCATCATATCTGGATACGGGTGTAACCCGAAGGAACATATGGATGAAAAGGGAAATACAACTAGAAGCCACCAAAAATACCAATGAGCACATTTTTGGCTTCAGTCAGAGGACCTCACATGTTTACGAGGCATCAACTAACGTCGCGACGGATGCTAGCTATAGCTACCTGTCGTGGAACTTCAAGCCCATGAGTAAATGCAGAGAAAGAGAAGTAATTTTGAGAAAACTGAGATGAAAAACAGAAGAGAATCATGGCCATATCCGCATCCTGCTATTTCTGTTCTTGTTCCTTTATTGCGGAGATGTCCACGATTGTTCTTTGATTTCTATTATAAAAATAATATAAATATAAAATAAAAACAGAGCCAATAAGAGGCATTGCCTGTACATGGACCAACAATTTTAGGTAGTGACTGTAGACTAAAAATTACAAATAAGGGCAAAAATTAGTCACAGTAGATTATATATTTAGTAGTAGTAGTAGCAAGATTTATTTAGCACATTTGGCTACATAAACAGAACAATTGTAAACAACTTAGTACTAGTAAATTCAAGCCATATGGTGTATGATGTAAATGCTGGGCAACCTATAATTGTAGATTTAACAAGTGATTTCTCAATTTTACTTTAAATTTTGTCAAAGTTTTCTGATCTTTTATCTCCGAGTATAATTTATTATATTCAATCAACCCTTGATGGAATACAGATTTGTAGCATATGTTATACTTTTTGGTCATTAAATGGAAGTCATCTTTATTTCTGGTATTATGTAAATGATGGTCGACATTTGATGATGTTAAATTAGTTAGACTTGATGGAAATATATTATTTTTTACTTTATAAATGAATATCATTACAAGATATCTGATAACATTTTTTACATTGAGCCATTTTAATTTGCTAAGCATTTGCCTAATTGGAGTATATTTATCTTTATTTAGTATTATTCTCATGCACTTATTTTGTAAAATTTGCAGTCTTTCAAAAATGGAATTATTTGCTAAATATAGAATAGTCGAACAGTACAAGAAATTTGGAAGAATGATGGTATTATAGATAATTTTTCTGCTATATGAACTCAGACATCCAGAAACTCTCGATAAATATCCCACTTTACTACTAATCTTATTTATAACTTTTTCATGATGAATATCAAAAATTAATCGAGAGTCAACAAAAACTCCCAGGTATTTAAAATTTTCTACGAATTCAATATCTTCACCATCAATATTCAGTTGAACATTTATACATTGTTTTTTTCCGATTAACAAGGCTTTCGTTTTACTTGCATTTAATTTTAGTCTGTTAGATGCTAACCATTTTGAGACAAGCTTCAAGTCTTCATTTATATAAGAGATACCAGACTGAATATTTTTAGTACTTATATAAATCAGAGTGTCATCGGCGAAAATTTGAATTTTGCATTTTTTGACTATGGCAGGTAAATCATTTATGTATAAAATAAAAAGAAGTGGTCCCAGGATACTGCCCTGTGGAACACCCAACGTATTTTAAATTTTTGATGAAATAGTGTCATTAACTTTTGTAACTTGCATCCTTTTAGACAAATAATTCCTAAACAAATCTAAAACACTTCCTGTTATACCATATGCCTTCAATTTACCTAACAAAATATCTCTATCAATCGTTTCAAATGCCCTCTTCAAATCCAAAAATACTGCTATGACAACTTCTTCTGAGTCTATGGCTCTTCTCCAATTCTCAGTTACCAACTGGAAAGCTGTTTCTGTGGAATATTTTTTTCGAAAGCCTGCTTGCGCCTCCACTAAAATTTTGTTTTCTTCTATAAACTGCATTAATTGGTCATGTACTATGGACTCTAATAATTTTTCAATGTCTGGTAACACATTTACTGGTCTCATATCGCTGCATCTTTTAGAATTTTTTATTTTGGGAACTGGTGTTATTGTAGAGCATTTCAAATTTTCAGGGAAAGAACTGCTTCTCAGTGAACAATTGATCCAATTTAATACAGGATATCCCAAAATTTCGAAACAGTTTTTCAGCACGTTTTTAGTAGTCATTTCGGCACAGTTGTTATTTGATTTTAAACTGTTTACTTTTTTCTTAGATAATTCAATGATACGCTGTGAAATTTTGAAAGTGTATGCAACATTTCCCCCTGGAAACTGATTTTCATATAGTCAGGTGCAGCATTGGCAGTACCTAAAATATCAACAATACTTTCCACAAAATATTCATTTAGTTTGTTTGCAATCACCAAAGAATTTGTTTCGGTACCGTTTTCGAATTGAATTTGATTTACACAATCATGCGGCTTCGAATTGATCAGTCTTTTTAAAGTCTTCCACATCTTTACACTGTCGTACTTGTTATTATCGATTTGTTTATCGTAGAATTTTCTTTTTTCTTCTCTAATTACATATACACATTTATTCCTAAGGGTTTTATATACCTCCCAATCATCATTTGATTTTGTGAATATACATTTATTGTATTGTTTGTCTCTCAAATTTTGAGCTGCCTTAATATTCTTGTTATACCAGGGTGTATTTTTTGTCGAGCAAATCAGTTTTTTATCAGTTGCAAGATCTAAACAAGTTTTTATATTTCCTATTATGTTGTCATATATTTTTTCCATATTCTCACCAAAATTCCAATAGCAGCCAGCAAGTTCTCGTTCAAGTTTTTCGTACTTAATAGTATTTACGATTTTCTTAATTTTTGTTCATATTTATGAGTTTATGAATTTCAGTCCTTTTTCAAATTTCTTTTGAAATATTTTCCAAAATGTAAGCCTTTTAAATCTTTAGGTCTAATTTCATAAAATTTTGACGCTAAATATTGAATTTGTTAGGTAGTGTAAACACACTCGCACTTTATGGGCAACTTTTTGGTTGTTAGAAGGTTGTCTTCAACTAATTATGTAGAAATAAATCGCATAACTCATCCTCCATATGGGTGAGGACAAATTAAAACCTTGAATTATGATAACCTCTTACGTAATCCATAAGCATCCAGTTAAATGAATATCATATCACATAAAACCAAATATAAGAATACTGAACTAATGCAAATATTATCTTGACAGTTCCCAATATCCATTGCAGGCCTCGCCAGCAAGGACCGTAACTAATCGTAAGATTTCTATTATGATAAAATTATTCAAACGGGTATTTAAGCTTACAGAGTTGGATCAACATATCCTTCCGCCTCTGGGTCAACTCTAGGCCTGGCTCCTGGGACCGGAGGAGGCCCAGTACCCATGCCCATTTGCTCTTGTTGATAGTTGCCCTCCATCGCAAACTCACAACCGTCCACCACCAGACGACGATACTACCGCCACGGCCGTCGACAGCAAACTCCCCTAATCGATGGGGGTGACTTGCGGGGTTGCCGAAGCTAACGCGTTGAGGGTGATATCCAAAGTACAAGTTGAGGTTACGTTGTATAATTAATTTCATAACGTTAATTTTATTACGATATGAACTCCTTCAAATTAGGTATACAGATTTCCGCTAGCAGTTGGTATCCATGTTTAGCGGTGTTCACCTAGAAAATGAAAAATGACGTTTTGTAAATACAAGATGTTGCACTCTGGTATTCATATTAATTTGTTTTTTGCTTGCCTCTTTTTCTTGTATTCTTTTTTTATACTCCAACCACCACGAAGGCCTAAGGCCTAAGCACCCATTGGGTACCGTGGGGCTATAGGGGGATACATGGGAAAGGGGGGAGAAGTGTTTGGAGAAAGTCAGCAAATGGAATCACAGATGGTAAGTTTATTACAAATCATATTTGGTATCATGGACACACATTATCTATTGACTTTACTGCGATTGCAAGTTGAGATTTACTTCTGGCAAACTGCTCTAAACGTCCTAAATACTTCAAAAGTATCTGTTAGATGAAAGCTCAAAACTCGCAAGCCAGCACAGCAAAGCGCGCAAGAATCTGTTTTCTCGTAGTAATTTAAGAAATAAATCATCAGGTTCTGCCATACACATAGTTTTCGTAAGCAGTTCCTACTTCACTTTTATCGGCGAATGCTATAGATAATCATTGCTGAAAAAAATTTGTTTGTAGTATTCAGAGTACTTGGAAGCATTCTTCTCATGAGGGATACCTAAACCAAGCTAAAAATGTATTTAAACAATGATCTAAAACGGAATTAAAGTGCCTTCTTATTCTGTAATAAAAATAACAAAACCGCATTTTAAGATGTTGGACTGTTGATAGTTTCCAGAATACTAAATGTCATCGTCATCCATCTCTGTACTATGCTGTCTAATAATCAATTCAAACCAGAGATGGTGAATACATTCTGCACTAATCGGCTACCGCCGTAGCCATTTCCATCCTAGAAATGTGAAAAAAATACTAATCAAGATCCGATTAACAATGCATTTTCACCTACATAACGTTGGTATTGTTGAATGAGCATGGGGTGGTTATAGGTACTTTGTTATCTCCTAACTGGCAACAAAAATAAGTTAACTATCAGCAGAAAGGCAGATACATAAATTAATGTAAATTACAATTTGTTTCTTGGATTGTACATAAAAAATGCTACCCGGGTAATTGAAACGTAACGAAAGGATTTACTCAACATCTGTATTAATTTATTGGTCAGCACAAAATAAATAGGAAATTTGTGAATGAAAAATATACAATCTTTGAGTTATTGAGTTTGAAAGTTATATTGATTATTGTGAATTTAAAGTCATCGAAGTTACTCTTTGATATGCAAATGCTACATTTTCAATATACATTGTGATGCGTTTCATAAATATGCATCGATTAAACTGTTAATGTCAGGAAACTTCTGAATAGCTTTATGAGTCAATAAAGATTGACATCCACCAATACAATGTCAATACAGTGAATAGCACGTTTTAAGATGAATATGTGCAGATCACAATGAATATAAGTGTTAAACACCCAGAATATTTACAAGCATTTGGCAACGTCACCCTACGTGGGAGTCGATCAATTCTTCTAGCTCCTAACTCCAGCTTAATTATACCGGGGCGACAGAATATAAAGTGCATGTCCTCCAATTTCGTCCATTGTCTGCTCAAACAGTTTATCTTTTATATGAGATTGCAATTATCCATTCCATACTACCGACATTGTAGAGAGGCGCATAACTGCATTCGGTCTTCACAAGTGTTAAAAAAAGTATAGTCAAGTAGTACCTAGTAGTCAAGTAGTTAAGTCAAATATAATTTATTCGTTTAATAAAAACTAAAGTATATATCAACTTCTTGACCAGGGTCAATTTAGAGAGGGGCAAGAAATGTAATGACGATAAAAAACTGGAATACATTGAATAGTTTGTTTTTAGATTGTATCATGTAAAAAATGTAAGACTGTCAGTGAGGCCCGTTAAGTACTATAAAAGCTGCTATACGCTTCGAAGTTTGAAAAGGATCATTAGACCACAACTTCACAGATTTTAATTAAAGTCTTATTCCTCCGTGTAGACGATCTCTTCTGCAGGAAGTTTTCGTTGCTGTCTTCATGATGTCTATCTGGCAAGGCGTCACTGAACTAAACTATACTTTATATCTGCGGGTGGGCTATAAGTAACAATAAACTGGGGCCTTTTTGGTACAAAAAGTAACTAACTCCGTACAGATATTATTATAGTTATTTTGAGTAACATAATCTCAAAAATTTGAATATGAGTAAACATAACACTCTCGCGGATTTTTCGGAAAACTGGCAGTTGGGTAACGAATTGACTGGTTCAGTATGTCGTCTATAATGGCCACGATTTTGTTTGGCGAAAATGTGTATTGTTGAATATCATAATCTTTCTTTTCACTTTCGGCCGAAATGAAAGGTCGGGATATCCACAAGTTCTGCAACATTGCGTCGTCTGCTCGGCCATTTTTACCTAAAGCTTTTCAACAGCTACGGTAATATTAGCAGCTATTTCATACGATTTACATACGACGAATAAGTATACACTAGTTCCAAAATATATTTCAGCTCTTAAAAATATAAATGTCTACATTTTTTCCTAACTGATTGATAAGAATGTGACCTTCTTCCTCTTACTCGCCTCCCATGCAACAATCTTCTTGATGGGCATCATCAAGATTCCACTCAAGAGGATCGCACCACCAGCAAAGAGGAAGCCGTAAGCATACTTCCCAGTCAGGTTTTGGAGAAGTCCAGCAAGGGGAATCCCCACGAAGCTGCCCAAGCCATAGAACATGATCGTAATGCCAAACGCGTTGGTCAGATTCTCGAGCCCCATCATTTCTGCGATAAGGGCGGCCCGAAGTGCAGTGAAACTAGCTTAAAAAGAGGAAATCGGTTGAAGAATCTGGATGGAATGGGCATGGGTTTCATAATTACATGCAACTTATGCGAGTCGTAGGTAACTACTACGTAACTATAGTTTGGCAAACGGATCTGCAACATCGGGGTATCGGTGAGGGGAAAGCAAAACATGGCTGGTTTCATTCATAAATTGCCAGCGGCGTGCGGTATTTTATAAAAGTTTGGGATTATTTCATAATTGGTTTAAATTTAGTAAACTATATGTTTATGTTTCACTTTAAATTTGGGGAGTATCTCAATAAGCCCACAATGATATGGAGCATTGTCCATAATAATAAATAAAGTCTCGGGTAAACTCAAAAATAGCTGTTCTCTACAATCTACACCATGTAAAAAAATACTTGAGTTTGTTTCTACACTTCAACAAACGGAAAAATGTCTACTCACTTCCCAAAATTGCCACAATTCAAAAAATCATGATATCTGCGCGATTTAAAACCTAAATCAAGCTAGCGTTTTTGTCAAAGCCGTAAATAAAATATATTTTTCAAATACAAATAGATACTTAACGTGGTTTTTTACCTTGAGAATATATATATATATATACAGGGTGACTTTGAAGTTGAGTCATTAATTTTCAGATAATGATTGTAGAAGGAAGATAAACCAAAATATGTGTGTAAAAATAAAAAAAATTAAAAAAAAAAATTTACCTTGTTTTATAAAGTATCCTATCCTCCCGACAAGTATTTCAGTGCGGACCTGTATTTGATCGTGAGGTCCCCTGTGAGGTCTTAAGTCACCTGATTCACGAGCCCGTTGTACTACATTAACAAAGGCACGAGGGGTTGGTTGCACTCGATTGGGAAACCGATCCGCATAAACATGTGCCATTTTTTATTTCGTTTGAGCCACGCAACAGACACCACTATTTTTATATATATAGAATACATCCGTGATCTTATAATATGCTCATTTACTTTAAAAAGTGCCAGAAGCCGAAACATGACCAGAATTAATTTTTATTTTATAATCCGCATCTTTCTGGATTCCTATTGTTGCAATTTTGGACTGTTGATGTGGATATTTCTAGAGCATCGGTGTCGCTTAAATAGAAAGAAAGAACTTTAAACATATTTCATATCCGTTTAACTTATAACCTCTGTAATAAATAATACTTACATTATACAGCATTTCAAAATTACATTTCACCTATTGAATTAGCATTGGTGTTCGTCAACTTCATCATTATCATCATCGTCACTGTCGTCATCAGTTTCGCTGTCGTCATCTTGCCCTATAGTTATTATAACTGGTTCCATTTCCTCCATAAATTGATCATTTTCCCAAAATTTATCTTCAATGTCCCTAGCATGTTGACAAAATTTCTGCCAATCATTAATGGATATTAAGGACATCGCTTCCTGAGTAACTTCTTTCAGTGCGGTTAAACTGAAGTTTCCAGTGGTATTGCGGCTTCTTATATGAAATTTAAGCTTTGCCCAAGCTAATTCTATTGGGTTTAGCTCGCATAAATAAGGAGGTGTTCTTAGAGGAGTATGTCCATGTGATCTTATAATCCGATCAACTACATAATTTTTTTGGTTGTCAGGGGGCTTATGAAGTAAGACCAGATCGAACAAGTCAAATTTTCTGGCAGTTGCCTCATGATTTATGCCTATAAAATATTTTATTGTATAGTTTGATATGTACATGCATGTTTTGAGTCATAAGTACCTTTCTTTGTCAACCAGGCCATTATATCTTTTTTCGAAGATGATTTTGTCGGGGTTTTATCTTCCTGGACGGAATGATATGGAGCATTGTCAAATACTATAACCGAATTGGCAGGTATATTCGGGAGGAGTTTTTCTGTGAGCCAGCGTGTGAAATTTTCCCGATTCATCTGACCGTGGTAATCGCCTGTAGCTAATCCCGCCTTAAATATCAAACAGGCATTGTCAACAAATCCATTTTCTGAACCTGCATGGACTATAATGAGTCGACCTAAAATATACAAGACGATTATATAATATGTTACAAATCAGAGTTAAATTTAACATATATATAGCATTTTTGCTTACCTGTAGAACCTATACTGCTTATTACACCAGAAACAGTTTCGCTCTGCCAGCATTTTTTGAAAGTCAAGTCATTGTCCACCCAGGTTTCGTCCAAATAAACAATGTTGTGCCCTTCTTCACGATATCTACGTATTTCACGGATGTATTTGTACCTCCATTGCAATATATTAGGCCTCTCCATCAAAACTTTTCTTTTATTTTGACATTTGCGCCAAAAAAAACCATTTGATTTTAATAAACTCCTGAGTGTTTCCCTACAATAGGGGAAATTTGAGTCTTCTCGCAACTTTTGTAATAACTTCCTAGTTGTCGGGACAACTTTATATTCAAGATAAAATCCGTTTATCAAATGTCTAATAATCTGAAAATCAAAATTTTCATCTTTCTCAACAAGAGACTGACGCGGTCTTTTTTTTCCGGGACTGGATAACATTTTATTCGGGTTATTTTCTAGTCTTTCTTTATCTTCGTTATGAATTTTCCTAACAGAAGATAGTCCGACTCCGGTATAAAGGGACACCCTATCAAGCTTACGTTTAAGCGACAACTTGAGGGAATTGTTTGCCGCTTCCTCATCGCAAACCCTATAAATAATCATCAGAATGTTAGCTTAGCATTTCCTTGTTTTTTATTTATATTCAGACTCAGTAGTCAAAAACTACAATTATTGCATATTATTATTACTAACCTATAAACATTCGCAATCACTTCTCTTGTTTGGCTATGAAGCGTCTTTCCGCGAGTAAATTGGTTCATTTTAAAAAATAATACTAAAACGAATAACAATAACAAATAACAAAACACTAAACTATTCAAAAACACACAGCACTAAACATACAAACTTAATAGAACAATTAATAGTTAACAATAATAGTTGTAAAACTCGACAATCAACGGAGATAAAACCTACGCCACTGGACTTTTCAATAGTATGGATATTCTAAGAAAGGAGCAAAAAATTGTCTGGGACGGTACCCAATAGGGAGTCGAATTTTCTCATGGCGACAAAACATGTGAGGATATCCGCCAATCAGATTTGTTTAGGCGGTGTCCAATATACCTTTCGGGTGGTTGTTGCCAGCTCAACCGATGTCGATAAGATCTTTGGAAAAATGTTTACTTATAATACGATTCAGTAGTAAAAAATAGTTATTAAATACAAATAGAGCTAACAACCCATTAAAATACTCAGTATTTTGAATTATTATTTTTTGGAATTGTGAAAAATCGATTTTCAAATCATTGAAATTACTTTTATTATTATTATTGCTTTTTTGTAGTTAAATTTGGCAATATCGAATATTTTCGGTCGCATTCCTTTCGCTGTTGCAGATCCGTTTGCCAAACTTTACGTAGAGACTCCGTCAGTATTACAGTGGAGATCAAAATATTAATGAGTTTATAAAGTCACTCAACTCAACCTTACTTAAACTAATTTAACCTAAGGATCACAACTTTCGTTACATGGCATTATGTTTGGTTCAGTTAAGTGGTGGTGCAAAGCAAGTTTATATAACCGATGGAATCTAATAGTATTTCGTTCGGTGCGCTTTAGTTCGTGAGAAAAGCCATTGAAAAGCATTATAGTACTTTGGTTGGGTTTATTATAGTGCTTTTCTAATGCTCTACAGGCTCAGCAAGGCTAGCAAGCTCATATTAAAAGTAATGAAATTGGTGCATGAATACTATATTTTGTCGTAATAATAGACGTTGTACGTTTTTTTATATGGAGTGGGGGATCATGTGATGTCTCATTTTCAAACTTACTAGTAGTTTATAACCCTAAAATATAAATTTACTACGATATTTATACATTTTCTTGATATTTCGGTCGATAACTCCGTTACTACGTATAATATCTAAAAAAGATAATCACAAAAGTTGTAACTAACAACTTGAAAAATATTCTTGCCCCTACAGGGTGATTCAAGACTACGTAGTGGCGCAAAGATACATTTTTCAAATATTGCGTATTTCGATACAATTTTTAAAATTAGGCAATTTGATATTAGAATACTATAGGGTCTTACTATTGTTGAGATATTCGACAATGTGTCAAAAAAACTCAACTTCAACACACGCAGCTTCGCAACTTTTACAGCTAGAACAATTTTATGGTCCCACGTTTCACCTTTACCTACCCACTTTTTCAGTTTTCTGCGTAGTTTATACACTGTGGAGAAGAACGTAGAATGAACTATTTTTAAAAATGTGTAATCGTTACACCGTGTATATCTTACATCCTTTGATTTCCGTTTCCACAAGCTTTTCTACATGAGACATCAAGATATATAAAAAATATTATAACTTTCATAACGAAAACTAGCATTGCGTTGGTAACGCAGACTGATTTTGAAATCATTTTGCGGTATTGACCACCCTGTATAAACTAATTCAGTACTTTAGCTGTGACAGTTGCGAAAGTGCCAGTTGTCAAAGTTGAGTGTTTTCAATAGATTATTATCCAATACCTTTGCAATTTGAAAATAAATTCTTATATCGAATTGCTTCTATTAAAATGATATATCTAAATCTGCATTAACATGTAGGGCTTTAAATTTGAAAAAAATGCATGTTTGGGTTACCACGTAGTTAAAAATCGTCTTCCAGAGATGGAAATATTTTACAAGTAAGGCGAAAGGTAAAAAGTCGTCTACAAAATCTAGATCATAATGAAAAAATGTGACTGTTGACATGCACTTTATTTTGAAATTTTTAAATTACATATTTCCGTCTATCTTTAAGAATACTTTGTTTATTCAATTATCGGTCATGTAAAGTGTGCACAGTTACCCTAAATGACGTAATCGTAGATCTTTTATTGTTACCAAAGTGTCCAAAGTGGAAGTCAACCTGAATCACGCAGTAGTTAGCAGCTATTGAGAACATAAGATTTAAAGAAACGCAGTTTCTGTTAGCTAAATTTGAACTATGCTCTATTCTATATCCTACACTGCCACAGCCCATCCACCTCCAAAATACAGCGAAACATAACAAATGCTGAGCGTGCTGTTCACGTGACCTTCCATCAACAGGCAGCTAAAAGGGTCTTGCTTTGGTGAATCAGTCTAAGTTGTAAGAGTATACTATGGCTGCAAGGAAAGGCAGTGCATATATACATAGTGGTGATTTATGTGCTAATAATCTGTGATGATGATAATTTCATATGTGTCTTGCCTCAAATACACTTACTTGAAATGTATGCAAAGCTAGAAATTAGTTGCGCATCTACTTTTTCTTATTCATCCTAGACTTGCATATGAGGATTTGCTGAATTTCACAAATGAGAGAGATAGGAAAAAATCCCTGGTTGAATAAGCATATTAAACCTAACAGGTAAAAAAATATGCTACAGACAGGACTATTTATGAAACGTTAAAAAGTTATCACATTTTACATTATTTCTTATTTTCAGTCATTTAAATTTTATAGAAATTTATTTTGCTATGTTTTCAAGAAAAGGGGTCCGTGGGCCATATTTTTGCGATCGCTGTTAAAAGTCCTATTGGAAAACATAGCGAATGACAGATTATTACATGTAACAAGTTATACTGGGCGTTTCAATGAGTGGTTCTGTAGCGAAATTTTATATCAGTACTCTTGAGACAAGAATAGCTAGAAATACCATTTCTCGGTTAGAACGCTTAACTCGCTTATTGGTGGAAGAAGTGCTGTTTTTATGAATGCTCGCCAAAAATGACTAAATTATACTTGAAAATATGTAGACAGGTCTTGAATATTTCTGAGTGTATTGTACCTCTCAACCAGCACCGATACGCTATAGGATTTTTCGTGAACAGGTACAAGATTTTTGTGTATCATAAACAGGGTGTTCCTTAATGATATGCGAACATTTAAGAATGTGAATCTACATGAAAAATTTATGTTAGTTTACTCTATGAACTATGGTCCAAAAATGTGTCCTTACAAAAATTCGGGTTGTTGAAGTTTTAGAAAAAGAATGGATATTAATTAATATTTTCAGAACCGCTTCAGATCTTTCACTGATATTAAATACTTAGCGAAAGTTAATAAAGTCGAATATTTTCCAATACAAAAATAATTTTTAGCTTAAAGAGTGGCGTACGTACGGGTGTTGACTATTTTTTAAGAATAAAGTGGTATGCCAATGGTTTTTTGCCAAATAAACATTATTTTTGAATTCCCCGTTCAATTTAAAACATTTGATCTCTCCTGAATTGTTTTCCTACGATGCGCCATTTTTGAGTGAAAAAATAAAAACCGAACAATTTCATTTTCCACATATTCCTAGCTTCTCTTATTCTGACCTATCCGAACACCAGTTTGTACTATATTGTAGTATTTTATATATAGATTTATATAATTTGTTGAAAAGAGAAAAAATCTAAACACAAAATACTACAAACTGATAAATATTTATACGAGTCGATTTTGCAATAGGTCATAATAAGGTAATTTATAATAGAATCGAAAAAAAGGAAGAAAAGTGTCTGGTATGGTTGGAATTTGGACCACTGATCAAAAAATGCGATAGATAGCGTGCTTTAAGGAAGGTATGTCTCAGCACATGACGCTACCGACATCGATGCTTAAATTTGCGAAAATATCCTCATATTCGAAAGACCAACCTCACTTTATCATAATTTATGTAAAAAGGAAGTATCTTTATTATTTAGTCGTTTATATACCGTCCTTATAGTGGTAGTCTAGTACTTTCACCATAAATATATTATCTAAATTCTAAACTGTATCGGTTAGAAAATATATCATTTTATCATATGGATTTCATCGATATTTCCACAATCCTATTTGGATGTCGTCATCATAAGAGTTTTTTCGTATACGACTTTTATCACCGACTTCAAAATACGGGCCCAGAGGTTTTAAAGCAGATCACCACCTAGTACAGTCCTGTACAGTGTTACAGCCTAAGAATGTCACACGCGTAGGGCATGATTGCGTTTGCATCTGCACCGTCTTGTTTGTGGATGAACTGTGGACTTCTATCACAAATGAAACAAACCCATCAGCAATCCATATGTCACCGAAAAGGCGATCTGTGCTTCAAGGAAGGGAGCAAAAGCGGAAGCCATTGTTGCAGCGCCAGCAATCACCAGTGTTGACCAACTGATCAACATAACGTCTGCACGAGGTATCGTTGACACTACGCCACAGATGATTCTGCCAACAGTATTGGAAATACCCATGATGGTCAGGAGCAGAGTATTCCAATTTGCGGTGAAGCCAAGCTCTAAAAAGGTACCTATTTTATTCACTGTTTTTATTTTGTATTGTATCAAACATATCACCAACCATTGATTCAGTATTTGGAATCCTTCTATAATACTACTAGGGGTTTTGAAATTGAGGACATGCAGGGGACTTCCGCGCTGCAGGTTTTCATTAGAGCACAATCAGGGAATATTCCGGGCTTAACAAAAGTAACGTAACTGCTCTGTACTTTCAGGTGAGGGTTTCCAAAAGGATTACGGATGAGGTGTATGTAAAACTAGAGGAACTTGAGTTAGGTAAAATTCGCACCTCGATATACTCGGCAGAGAGAACATTCAAAATAGAACTACACTAGCACATTTCCTGTTAGTTCAATGGGAAATCGCCATAGTTTTAAACCATCCCATTATAATTCAATGCATACACTATACCCTCTCCTCTTTGACCAATGAACACAAATGGGCTGTACAACCCAACCATGGTGAAGAAGCCGCTGAGGACCAATAAAGCGAAGGAAAGTTGCTTCATTAGTTTCAGGTCAAGCATCGTAGACAAGACCCTCAGCACAGCTTCAGGACAACAAACACATCGCCTCGCTTGCTGCAACTCACGTTGTGTCACTACTCTCGACACGGATAGGGTGTAGTTCAAACTGGCCATCTGAAAAGAACATTGTTTTAAACTGCCGATTTATAGTCAAGAGCAATATTATAATTGCACGATGTTCTTACCAGGAAGATAAATCTATGCAAACATATTTACAAGTTTTTTGGGCAATAATCTTTTTATTAATTTTTTTATTGAGATTGGTCCGCACTCAGTAGGCCTGTTATAAAAGGATAGACAACTCGTGTGATAACTATTTGTCATAAACAGCTCTGGTAACAAATATAAACTGTTTTTGGCGATCCTTGTACACCATTTTTAGAAAATCTGCAAGCAATTTGTTGTTATACTTCAACGTATTCATTGAATCACCGTGTTTCTATCTTATTTTTAACTGGACACACCTTCTTCTGTCCTACAGTCCTTTCGGAGATATGGCAGCTCAAAGCATCATGACTTATTTATGCACCTTTAAATATGGTTATACGAGTAGTTCAAGTATGTACGAGCCCCTTCCCACTTCAGTTGGCCCAACTATTGAAATCTTAGCTTTTTTCTTATCAAACACAAATAATAAAAATGTAGCGCAGGGTGTTATAGGTTTAAAATATTAACAATGAATGAAACTTTATCACTCCCTAATCAAATTTGCAGCATAAAAATAACACATGTTGCAATTACAGCATATCAACCTATTTTCATTTCAATGCAAAATAAGTCTATAACGCATAGGTGGCTGTGAAAAATAAAAGCCATGACAATCGTTTTTATTAATCACAGCTGTCAGATTACGTTTAAAATAGTTTTGGGTAGTTAAGGTTTTCAAAATGGGTACAGGAAAGGTTATTAGTGAGAAAATTCGGTTACTGATAATTAAATTTTTTAGTTCTGGAAAATCTCAGAAATTGCAACTTTGTTAAACTTATCGCAGTGCAGTGTGAGAAATATTGTTAGAAGATATAACGTAACTGGTTCAGTTAATATTAAGCCACGATATGTGAAAAAAGTAATATCACAAATGCCGATCGAAGAGCATTAAGAAGAATAATCGTGAAAAACAGGCATGCCAATTATTCCACAACTCATAGAGAGGCCCACAAACTGGGATTTAGCACTTACAAGGTAAGTTTTCTTATAAAAAAAAGTGAAGTAAAAACCCTAAAGTTGCACAACTTGTTTATAGGCCAAATAAAAGCCACTATTAACTCCACTGCAAAAGAAAAATCGGCTTAGATGGCTTAGACAATGGACCCAATAATGGTGTGCAATACAATGGAGTGATGAGGCCCGATTCGAAGTTTGTGTTAGTGACAGTCGCAGTAGTTATTCGCAAAAAAATGAAGCATTCCATGTTGACTGTCTGAAGAGAAAAGTGAAACTTCCAGCATCCATTATGGTCTGGGACAGTATGTCATCAAAAGGAGTACGAAAACTTCATTTTATCGATGGAAATGTGGATACAAACAAATAAATATTTGCCAAATGCAATTTTAGAAGAATCGCTTTTACCAGTGATGGAAGAATGTTTGACATCCGGCCAAGATTTTGTGTTTCAGCAAGATGGTACAGCGTGCCATACCTCAAAAAAGCTATAAAATGGATGGAAGAAAATAATGTACCACTTTTGAAATGGGTTTCTAGCAGTCCAGATCTGTCACCTATTGAAACTTTGTGGCACGAGATGAAAAAGGTTCTACGACAACATCCTGCTCGTACAATCACCGAACTGAGACAAAAGCTTCAAGCAATATGGGATTGTTTTGCCAAAACTTGGTTAACACTATGCCCCAAAGAATTTCAGCCGTAATAAAAAATAACGGTGATGTTATCCAATGGTAATCTTTCAATTGTTTTTTTTCGCACATTACTTATTTGTTCAGATGTTCTATTAGTTATAGGTCTAAGTGATTTCAAATATGTATTTTTTACGACTAGAGTGTATCTAAAATGTTTTGAGAAAATAAATTGCTTTAGAAGTAAATAGTTTCGTCATGTTTAATTTATAAAGGCATATTTTGGTACAAATCTTGAAGTGGGCCAACTGAAGTGGGAAGGGGCTCGTACACGATAAGTTTTAATTCAGATTAGAATTGAGTTATTCAACGAAAACTGTGATTTTTGTGAAATTCAATCGTGAGTATAGGGGGTTTATGGTCGGAAAAAATCAGTAACACAACAATTTCAGTTAAAGTGCATGCCCTAGCTTTATCGAAATAAGACAGCACAAAGTCATATCCATTGCCAGGAACTATCACCACGAAAGTGGTGAAAAGGTCAAGTTGACTGTTGGAACTGTAACCCAATTCGCATTGCCAGCCGGGTCACCACTATGGCCGCTAGATGCCGCCGATTCTGGACTTATGGTAGATACGGTCTACTCGCGCTTGAAGAAACTAGTAATACACCTTCCGTTTATCCCACCACAGACGGCCAACCATGGAAAGCTGTTTCGTGCTGTTTGACATATTAAATAAAAAATGTAAGACGTCGTTAGACGTGCAACGAAGTGAAAGTTGAAAGCCGAGGTCAAGCTGGAAACGGGGAAAAGGCCAAGACATAATAGTTATCAGAGAAAATATAAAAAAAATCTAAGTCATGTACTTCTCAAATTAGAGGCCATATGTCTCTGTAAATGGTTAGTGGCACGTCTTCCAATAAATTTGATAATAAACGGTGCACAATCAGAGAAACTCGGTGATCGGGATGACGAGCAGCATTTGGGTACCTCTCTCAATAAAGCCTAGCTGCAGCACAAGCATTGCAACTACACTCCATAAATGGACGGTGTACACAGGCATGGTGGCTCTACACACTCATGAATTAATAAAAGTGGAGTTATAATGTGCTCTGCTGTCATTACGTAGAATGACACTGTTTGTCACTCCGTCTAAGGTAATGAAATTTGTAATAATGGGATCTAAAAGATCATCACAAGATGTAGATTTTTTGGTTTTTTATAGCCTATAATTTGAAAAAGTACACGACATAGATTTGTTTTGTGTTTTTCTGATAACTATTATGACTTGGCCTATCCCCCGTTTCCGGCTCAACGTCGACTTCTGGGACACCCTGTACAAATATTTTGTAATGTGCGCATTAATTGTGTGCTATAATTTTTGACCAGTGTGTTTCTCACAATATATGATTAAAACGTAATCTACGAAAATAATTTTTTTGGAAATATTTTCTCAAATAAATTGTATGACATTTGCAACTCTCCTAAAAACAAAGTTGATGCAGGAGGACAAGAGACGAAACGTCATATTGAAATTCTACTTATGTCATCTTGTAGAGCAGAAAAAGTGACAATGTTAATGTGTAATTTATTTTGACATCTCACAAATGTCCACAAATCGATAATAACAAGTGCGACAGTGTAAAGATGTGGAAGACTTTAAAAAGACTAATCAATTCGAAGCCCCATGATTGTGTAAATCAAGTTCAATTCGAAAACGGTACCGAAACAAATCCTTTGGTGATTGCAAACAAACTAAATGAATATTTTGTGGGAAGTATTGTTGATATTGTGGGTATTGCCAATGCTGCACCTGACTATATGAAAATCAGTTTCCAGGGGTAAATGTTGCATACACTTTCAAAATTTCACAGCGTATCATTGAATTATCTAAAAAAAAAAAGTAAACAGTTTAAAATCAAATAACAACTGTGCCGAAATCACTACTAAAAACGAAATTTTGGGATATCCTGTATTAAATTGGATCAACTGAGAAGCAGTTCTTTTCCTGAAAATTTGAAATACCAGTTCCCAAAATAAAAAATTCTAAAAGATGCAGCGATATGAGACCAGTAAATGTGTTACCAGACATTGAAAAATTATTAGAGTCCGTAGTGCATGACCAATTAATGCAGTTTATAGAAGAAAACAAAATTTTAGTGGAGGCGCAAGCAGGCTTTCGAAAAAAATATTCCACAGAAACGGTTTTCCAGTTGGTAGCTGAGAATTGGAGAAGAGCCATAGACTCAGAAGAAGTTGTCATAGCAGTATTTTTGGATTTGAAGAGGGCATTTGAAACGATTGATAGAGATATTTTGTTAGGTAAATTGAAGGCATATGGTATCACAGGAAGTGTTTTAGATTGGTTTAGAAATTATTTGTCTAAAAGGATGCAAGTTACAAAAGTTAATGACACTATTTCATCAAAAATGAAAATAGGTTGGGTGTTCCACAGCGCAGTATCCTGGGACCACTCCTTTTTATTTTATACATAAATGATTTACCTGCCATAGTCAAAAAATGCAAAATTCAGATTTTCGCCGATGACACTATGATTTATATAAGTACTAAAAATATGCAGACTGGTATCTCTTATATAAGTGAAGACTTGAAAATTGTCTCAAAATGGTTAGCATCTAACAGACTAAAATTAAATACAAGTAAAACGAAAGCCTTGTTAATCGGAAAAAACAATGTACAAATGTTTAACTGAATACTGATGGTGAAGATATTGAATTCGTAGAAAATTTTAAATACCTGGGGGTTTTTGTTGACTCTCGATTAATTTTTGATATTCATTATGAAAAAGTTATAAATAAGGTTAGTAGTAAAGTGGGATATTTATCGAGAGTTTCTGGATGTCTGAGTTCATATAGCAGAAAAATTATCTATAATATCATAATATCAAATTTCTTGTACTGTTCGACTATTCTATATTTAGCAAATAATTCCATTTTTGAAAGACTGCAAATTTTACAAAATAAGTGCATGAGAATAATACTAAATAAAGATAAATATACTCCAATTAGGCAAATGCTTAGAAAATTAAAATGGCTCAATGTAAAAAATTTATCAAATATCTTGTAATGATATTCATTTATAAAGTAAAAAATAATATATTTCCATCAAGTCTAACTAATTTAAAATCATCAAATGTTGACCATCGTTTACATAATACCAGAAATAAAGATGAATTCCATTTAATGACCAAAATGTATAACATATGCTACAAATCTGTATTCCATCAAGGGTTGATTGAATATAATAAATTATACTCAGAGATAAAAGACCAGAAAACTTTGACAAAATTTAAAGTAAAATTGAGAAATAATTTGTTAAATCTACAATTATAGGTGGCCCAGCATTTACATCATACACCATAGGGCTTGAATTTACTAGTTCTATGTTGTTTACAATTATTCTGTTTATGTAGCCAAATGTGCTAAATAAATCTTTCTACTACTACTACTACAAATAAAGTAAAAAAAAATTAAAACGATTTAGGGAAATTTTTGTTCTTTTCCGTCTCTCTTTGGAAGTACTTTGAATTTCGGCTCTAAGAGGCATTTTGTTAGCTACCAATATACTCAATACACTCACAAATTGCTAATAGCCACCGATTGTTCTCTGAACCTAATTAGACTTACTGGACCTATAATTTCTTGTCTCTATACGAATTATTTAACTTAAGTGTTTCGTGTAATTGAGTTCCACATGTAGAAAGTAAATAAACAAATAGTTTTGAGTAACACAACAATTCTCGTGTGAATTAGTCCAATTACCTCCTTTACAGCACGTGACGAATAAACTGAGGGCACTACACTGACCCTAGAGCGATACTCAGGGAGAGCCTTGATAGAGCCGGTATAGAAAATATCGTCTCGGTAGAGTGGTCTGTTGAAGTCGTCTTGACACAAATGGCTTTTGCATCTGCATATCTTGCAGCATCTGTTGATAGAGAATATGATTATCATTATATCGACCATACTTACATTCCAATTTCACACACAAACATCTACCTAAAATTACACTACGTAGCTCCCGAAAAGTTAATATGCCAGTGTAGATAATGTAAAATTAATTATTAGCAACACTAGAAAAATGTCGAAACAACAAAGAGTACGTTCACAAATTAATAGACGTCGCAGAAAATATTCATTGTGGATATCAAAAATAGCTTATACACTTGAAATAACAGAAATGTTCCGCTTCCAAGTTCCGCATTATATCCCATTTTGGAGACCTCACATTATCTTTTGGTGCAGCAGTGCAATTCGTCTAGAAACTGTATGAAACTACTTACAAGTGTGTTATAGACCACACACAATAAGTTGAATTGGACTTTTCATATTAAAACGTTCGTCACCTAAAGGTTTTTTTGCTTGTGTCAACTGTCATCTAGCTTAGTGCTTGTGTTCATTGCTTTGTCTTTGTTGTTTTATACGAATCGTATTAAATGTTTGCCTTATAAGGGTAAAAATCTCATAACTGGCAATAATAAAGAATTATTTGTCAGTCTTTGCCAACAAGAGGTATGGCTTGTAGTAAGTTGATTACACATGATTTGGCGAAAAATGATACTCCCGTTCAAGTAGCTAAGCCTACTTTGATAAAATGATACAAGAAGCTCAAATATGACAGTACCTTGCTTATCGGCAGCTTGATGAAGTGGCTTAGGAAGCCAAAAATAAGGCTTTCAAATTCGTCAGAGAGGTATAAAAAAATCAGCATTTAGTTTATGCAAATTTTGCATAGTACATCAATGTTGGTATCGTAGCGAGTATTAAGTACTTCCCTGAATGACGCTGAGACGCCTAGGTGCTGGACGACCTCGTTCGGCTTCATAGACGTGGACAATGTCACTCAGAAGTGCCTGGAAGCTGTAATTTCCTGCTACCGTACTTTTACATATATTTTACACGCATATGGAGTAATAAAATTGGATAAACAATTTAATTTGACTTTTCAAAATTATTTTAAGACACGTTACTGGAAACGATACTCAGGGTTGAGTTAGTGTATTTTAGGTGTATTTTTATGAAATAATAGAATTGTACTTATTTTAATTTCTATGTTATCAAAATTGAGAACACTTCGCATTGGAGGATAATTAATAATGTAGGTATAGTATTGAAAACAAACTTGAAGTCAAGATCCTTAAGACAATTGTAAATAAAATTGAACTAATTCATGTTTTCTGCTCTGAGTCAGTAGCATTTTTAGCTGGTCCGGGTGTTACATCTAAAACAGAAGATGAAGAAGACAAATTTTTATACCAGTTACGTAGTGTTGGCGGAATAATGTTTCTGTCGCAAAGCTTAAAAATATATTTTTTCTCAGCAACCGAGATCGGTAATTGTCTTCGATATAACAGCGGAATAATTATGCCTTCAAAGTTTCTTTCTTCAATCTTGCGATTCGAAGCTCGTCTGGTGAATCCAATATTAATTTGTTCATACTCATCGCCAAAACGATACTTATAGAAAAGTATGTTTGGAAACTGCTTATAATATTTAAAGCATTTCACTTTCAACCAGTTAACAGTAATCCCCCTTTGGTCTTCATTTTTGTTCTTTATAGTAAGTTGAACCAATTTGTTCAAATCCAAAAACTCGTCGAATTGCAATTCTCATGTTTTATAAGGGGATGTAGCTTTCCATTTTGAATACCTTGTCATATTCATGTACAGTGTAGATATCGATATGACGTTTAGCTGACTCAATCGAGCTGTGCATCGAATCCACCTCCATATAAGAATGCCCACTTTCCATAAACCTTTGGTCGATAACACAAAGTGTACTCTCACAATATGCAAGAGAAGAGGGTATGATCTGCACATTTATTTTGGACCTCCACATGTGACGGAAAAAATAGTTAAATGTTTCACCTCTGAAGACAATGAATTTAAGTATAACGATAAGCAGGTACCAGTTTCACAGCTGCCACGCTTTCCATTTATTTCTGTCCAAAAATAACAAAATTCCTCATTTGGGAGAACAGATTCATAAATTGTGAAATTATACGTTACGTTTAGGAAGATATAAGAAGAAGAAACTAACTTGTGATGTCGGGGTTTGGAGAAAAAATTGCATATCACGTGTCACAGATTTGAAACTTTTATCACCAGTTGCCTTCTTTTTATCTTTATCTTTCTCTTTCATAGACTCTTATTTCCTTCTCAAGGATCCTGGTACTTAAGTCAGTTAGTGTATTTTGCCAAAACAAAATACGTTATTAGTGACTTAATGATAATATGATTTTTACCAAAATAATGTACTAAGAAGTTTTTAATTGACTTGGTGCGTTTACCATAAAGAAATTTTATGAACTGTGACCAGATGGTATAAATGACTGAAAATTAAATAAAAATTGACTTAGTGTGTTATGCTTGTAACCCGACGTCGTATTCGATTCTTTACTTTCCGTTCTGTCTCCGTATCACTAGACCTATACCGTACTGATATTGCGAAAAATCATAAAACAATGCTATGGTTGGATATGGACAAAGATTCAAAAATCGAACAGATCCCATTCCGTCAAGATAAATCTACACAAACACTACCTGCAGCAACGACAGCAACAGCAGCAGTATGTATCGTCGTCGGTTTCGTAAATGGTGGACAGGCCAACGGAACGAGCCTCCGGAACGTCTCCCCTGAATACGCTTCTAATTACACTTGCCTCACTTGCTATTGCGCCAGGAAGACCTGCACATGTTCAAACTCTCCTGAAGGACCTGTACAATCATCGCTTGGAGTACCTACTACAGTATTTTTCACTTTACCATTTGACGTGCATTGAGGTGAACATCTGATCAGCAAGTGACATACTTATATTAAAAGTCTAATCATATTAGACGAAGATATCCCTGGTTTGAGAAATAATTGTAAAGTCTTTATTGCTGCAAGTAAAATGGGTACACCGATTTTTGTGGGAAAACTTTTTATTCGACAACAAAGAATGAAAAAGCGTGTTTTTTGGGATTCAGTCAAAAGTGTTGGCAGGAACGAAAAAACCTTTCATATAAGATTTTTAGGTATTTATGAAGCCTACAAAATGAGACCACACGTAAAAAGATCCGACTAATAGCAAAAAAGTTATGCCGAAAACCGCAAACCGCAAACTGGAGATTGTCGCACTTGTTGGTAATACGACGATGGTTTATCACATATATTTGAAATTCTTGAAATTCATAGGATTCGTACTTCTAAATAACCACAACAAAATTGGAGTAGATTGGTCTTGTAGAGAGAATTTCTAAATGTTTATCCCAAAACACCTGTTTTCCGGCCATCACTACTAGTTTATTGAGCAATAAACAGGGTTATTTCAAAGAGCAAAATACACTAGTTCACCTTACCGATGTGAATCGCAAACCGGACGATAAATTTATTTTTATGCAAAAAATGATGGTTCCGTTTTTTCTTCTAAACAAATTCAAACATTTCATATTTGTGAGTAATTCGCAACAAAAGATGATAGACACAAACGCTTGCTTCAAAATGTGTAGTGTCATGTGTTTTTCGAATATCATAACGCATTTGTTCAATTACTCACAAAAACGAAATGTTTGAATTTGTTTAGAAGAAAAAAACGTAACCTTTATTTTCGCATAAAAATAACATTTACCTATCGGAATGGTTTATGATTCATATCGGCAAGGTAAGCCCGTGTATTTTGCTATTAAATGCTCTTTGAACGAACCCGGTATATTGCTCAATAAACTAGTAGTGATGGCCGGAGAACAGGTGTTTTGGAATAAACAATTAAAAAATCTCAAAAAACTGCTTGACCAATATAATTCAACTTTGTTGTTGTTATTTAGAAGAATGAATCATACGGATTTGAGCAATTTCAAGTAGATGCGTGGAATTATCGTCGCATTACCAGCAAGTGCCAAATCCTGCATCTTGCCTCGTTTTTCGGCCATAACATTTTTGCAGTCGGATCTTTTTACGTGTGGTCTCATTTTGTAGGCCTTATAAATACCTAAAAACTTTACATGAACAGTTTTTCCGTTCCTGAGGAACCCTTTCGAGTAAGTCCCAAAAACCACGTTTTCTCACTCTTTGTTGTCAAGTAAAAAGTTTTCTCACAAGAATTGGTGGACCCATTTTATGCGTCCATGTTTTAGATACCCCCTTGAGCAACTTGCATGAAGAAAACCAGACTTTACAATTATTTTAGGAAAATTTGCTAATATGTTACTATACTATACTATGAAGTCTTTATAGTAAAGTCTGACGCTGTTGCGTGTTAAGTTAGACGTAATGAAGCATCGAGAAAAATACCATAGTATGGCACTTCAGTACGAAGAAGAAAAATTGGTATAGGGCTTAGTAGTCCGACAAGCCATCAAATGCACTTTCATTATTATTTACCTAGGTCTTTTTTTCATTATCATTGTTTATGGAGCTTCTAAACGAGCATTTTTTTAAGCAATATTTGGCTATAGCAATGGCAACCATAGTGCAGCGATTATTACAATGTTGCCTGCAATATGCATACTCGTATACTTGTCAGAACTTCTCATCAGAAGGGCTACAAGGCAAGAATGACTAACAAAGTTGCACGCGTCGCAGCAGCTTACATTACTCAAATTACATTAAGTATCAACCTGATAGTTTGGCAGTCTGACAGCAATATTTCAAGAAATAGGTCCAAAATGTCAAACGTGTAGCAATATATATACTAAATGACATATATATGCAACACCGATTAGGAGTACTGCAATTTAGGGCATACTTTTACCAGTTTTAGGTCTACTGATAAATAGAAAGTGATTAAAATGTTAACTAGAAATTTTGCAAAATAGCCGAGATATCCCACTTAATGTTAATAATGTGTTTAAGTTCCTCTGTTCGCTACATATTAGTTAAGTCGTCGCGGCATTGATTGGATTAGGAGATTGATGTCTAATTGGCGGATTGTATCTCAGGTCATCTGAATTTGGTTTTGTAGAGCCTCCAGTGTTTGTGGAGAGACTGAGCACGACTGAGTTCCATTCCATATTCCATTCAAGTCTCTACCTACTCCATACCAATAGTTTCTGACGATGCTGTGGGGTCAGAGGTAATACAAGATGGGGACGATATGGAAGCAGTCAAAGAAACCTTATTCGGCGATAAACTGTCCTCATTGTTATTGTCCTTTTCATAGCATCAAACCACTGATTCACAACTGCCCTTGTTGTTGCCTCAAACGCATCGATTTTGGCCTGCTTGGAACCACGCTCGACAACATCTCATGACAATAGCTTCGTTTCGATTAAGCCGATTAGCAAGTTCTCTAAAAAAAAAATCCAGATTCACGTAACATGATTATCCGACCCCTCACAAACACAGAAACTTGAGTGAAATTAGCGCGACTGCGAACTTTATGCATGATAATGCAATGAAACAACAATGAAACAAATGGAACCCACACAGAAAAATCACTGAATATTAAGTAAAAATGTTCATTTTGTTTGTATCCAGATATGTAAAAAAAAGCCTTTTCGGGAAAAGTACGGCTCGGAATACCTTCAACATTTTATCAGCGTATATTTCCATGATAGCAAATATGTTCACGAGTGTTTATCAAAATCCAATAAATAATTCTGGGTGTTGCATTTTATATGTCACAGTGTATATATTCATGATTTCTGGCCGATCACGCTAGAACTGCAGGAATTACTTTCACAAATACGTATGCAATCGGCCTCTAGGCGTGGTCGTTTGTGTGTACTCAACGCCATCCGTTTTTCGGTTTTGTCTGACTGCTTAAAAAATGTCTTTATCAACGTAGGGGTTCCACAACTATGTTTATAACTGACAGTATGATAACTTGCTTATTATGTGCGTGCGATTTGTCTTCACGACAGTTTGTATGATGGCGCTTCTGAAAATACTTTTTGACATTTCCGACCTATTTTCATGTAGTGCTGTGGTCGAAAATTGCCTCTAGAGTTGTTTAAACAATGTTTTAAACGTATTCTAAAAATTGTTTCTCCGCTTCGGTGCTTTTAAGATTTTTAGAACATTCTGAACAAAAAGGGTACTTTAGAATTATTTGTATCTCTACTACTAGCTACTGAAGTATAGAGTTCGAATCTTACGTCAAACTTGTGTTATCCTTGACTCTTCCCGCTGACGCCGTTCTATGCCAAATGAGTCTCTAGTAGCGCCTCTCTGAATACTATTTCTTCACTACATTAAATTAACCTTTTATTTCTATTGCCATAGCCTACTAAATATAGTTTTGTGCCTCCCTCGAAAAGCTTCCTCCAATAAAACTCAATTTTTTTATCGGCTAAACCAAGAGGAAATCTCACAACTCTCCAAAACCGTGCATCAAACCTTCACCTTCACACCCTACTGAGTGGGGCCGTGGCAAATGCTTGTTCCGGAAGTTGTTGTATTCAGTATAAAACTTCTTCACGTTCAAGCGATTGTACACGAGTTATGGAATACCTCAGTACCGATTGTCCGGTGGTGGTACAAGTCCGCCAACGGGCCCCTTGAGGTCTATTTAACATCATTAACATGCAAAAAGAAGGTGGTATACAAAAACCAGTCGACCGAGGCGGCACCACCCGCTAGCTTTAGGGTGTCTTATAAATGTCCGCATGTTTCCACACCTAAGCCACGCGTCGGTCATATTGCCCCTCGTAGCAGCCGCGGGCCCTGGCATTTAGGCGGCTGCTTCGGTATATAAAAAACATATTTTCAATAAATTTGTAGAATTTTTCTTGTATATTATGAATAACAAAAAATAATAGCATCGGGAAAAATCAGTAGAACTGCGGTTTTGTCATTCAGCGAAACCTAACGTCTAAAAAGCAAACTGACAAAACTTACCCTCCGCTAGAAACTCACCTTAAAGCTCCTTTAAATGAAAAACGACTATGGGAATTGATATATCCAATTCCTTTTTCTGAAATGAGCTTGAATCATTCCTTCTCGCTAAACCAACCGATTTACGAAAAAATAATGTCTACAAATTACTTAAGGAAAAATTCCGTGTTTATACTTTATTGAGAAGTAGCCTTTCTCTTTCTAGGTAAATAGTGAAAGCAAATAAGAGTGTTATTTTAAATTGTATCTTCTGATTTCATTATATCAGCTTGACAACTTAACTAATTGGAAATATTTAAGAACCAATATTGTGTGATATGCAGTGCTTTTCTTTAATGCCCCCCTCCCCTTTGATTTTTTGAACAGATCAATTAAAACAATTAAAACTTGAGGTAATGAAATTCATGCGTGGATACCATATTTTAGAGTAATATTAACACATTTTGAAGATCCTGACGAGTGCTTTATAACCCCAGAATATAAAGTCAATACCTCTCGCAGAATTCTGTTCTTCGATCAGCGTCATCTTCAGTTAGCTGATATATCATTTTAATTTTGTATGGGCGATACTACGCGTCGCACTAGGTATAAGTAAAAATCTTCGATTTTTCTTCCAATGAACGAGAATTGACCATTTTAAAAATAGTTCAAACAGTATATAGGACTAAAACCGAAAACTAAATAACAATATTTTAACTGTACAATAATGTTTGTTTTCATACTGATATTCTTGTAACTGTCAACAAAGAATAACAAAACAAGTTTTTATCGCTGTTGCTGTGGATACAGCAGGGAAATACAATTATTTGTAGAGATATACATGTTAGTGGGTTTGTGTTCAAGTAATTATTAAATGCACCATCATTTTGTAGTAGGTAAAGGTATTAACTTTATATTCTAAGGTTATAAAGTAATCATCAGGAGCTTCAAAATGGTGTGCCACAAGACCCCCGTTTTCATTTTTTTTCCAAGATGGCGCCCAGCGGCCATCTTGACATCTGCATCTGTCAGTTTTACTCTAAAATATGGTATCCACGCATCAATTTCATTGCCTCAAGTTTTAATTTTTTGAATTGATCCGATTGAAAAAAACAAAGGGGAGGGGGACATTGACACTGTACAGGTATGTATAGTATTAGTAGTGAAAGAGATTCTACAGATACCTCATTTGAGATGGCCATTTTTGATCTCACACATCATATCCCTCGGCGCTCCACGCCTGAGGTTATAGTGCGGTTCTAATAATGGTCCACCTGTCAATCGTGGTATGTAAAGTACTATTAAAATTTACCAACCAAAATATGTCGATGGTGCCGCAGACTTTTTTGATCCTTTGGACTCTATAGTAGTGCTACTATCTTTATTGGATGACATTGTAGGGAAAAATTTGTTGTGAAAGTTCTGGAAAATTTTTCTTAAGGTAAATACGTCCTTATCTTCTTCTACATCCCCAAAGTCGAATGAACCAATGGAATCTTCATCTTCACTCGAAAGATCTACTGCACTTGTTCTGAAAGTATAGAGTTTCAGTATCCAAAGATACCTTCCGTCAAAGTATTGAATATAGATTAACAGTTGATTTTTTTAATTGCATTTACCGACATGCCTGCTCAACTTACAGGGCTGTTCAAAATTATAGGGAAGGCGGTACCACAGAAAAAAAACGAAAATTAGCTTATCTTAAACTGTACAACTACAGGCGAGTAAACTAGTTTTGGAAACATTTTTTCAAAATATACTGAAAACTTAGTTACCAATTTTGTCAAAAATCTGTCAGTTACTATTTTTTGCGACAATGAAGAAGAAATCGGTTGCCAATAACTTGAGAATATAACCATCATCAATAGGTAAAATGACAGGGTATATATTATTTGACATATTCTCAGGTAATAAATGCTGACTAACTGGGGTGCTTATGCTCATATCTTCAAAAAGCATTATATGAGAAGGTACATAGTAGAATATAATGGGCATTTTCATTACACTGTTTTCACATTTGAAACACTGATTAGTGTGAAACTAGCGTAATAAGGTAGCGTAACGTTAGATCGATCAAAATAATGCGTTCAAGCATAATCTCCTTATAGTAATTTGAGAAAAAAACTAACGAAAAATCAAACTCTAGAGGTTTTTGGTATAACTTGGATTATAGGGAGCGCACCTGGTTAATACGTAACTGTGTTTATACACTAAATAATGAAAAGATTTATGGTGGATCCCAAAACGTGTAAATGCCATTCCAGCAGCACTAGTTCTACAGAACACAACTATTGGCTAAAAAAAAAGAACCATATTGATATTGAATATACGTGTGTAGCAAGAACTAGAAAAAAATCCAATATGATCCAGTTTCTCAAGTACTGTTTAGCGTGTTACAGGTTTTTTAAAGATATATGTTCTAATGAACATAACCATTCGCATCCAAGAATTTTACTATCCCTTGCGGCTGTACATGTCATGTAATTAAGAACATGACGGAATTGCGCAATAATTTCTCACTGTCAATCTCCAAGTAGTGTAGAATTTTTAGTGTTAGCACCTAAAACCTTGATAACAGACAATAACCCTAATCTAAAGTTTATGTCTACTTTTGGGAAATCAAAACGCACGAGTGTGCAATTTTATATAAGGGGGAAGTATGTTGGCTGATTTTTTGGAATGCTTCTATTACGTACCCTTTCTTAGCCACCACTCTAGTCGGTTTGATTGGCTTGAAAATCAGAACCAGGAGCATAATCATTCCAAATGAGCCTGCCAATATCCTAAACTCCATTCTCCATTCGAGGTGATGGAACAAGTTGTTTATAATTATGGGGAACGCCATTATGCCTATTGACGTTCCTGTGACAGAGATTGCAGTAGCCAGAGCTCGGTATCTAGCATGGAAATGAAAAGTGATTGAATTCGGAGGCATTTGCTAATACTTTATGGACCAGGAAATCTTTAATTGGAGAAAAAAAAATTGTAATAAGCTCTTTTACAATGGAATCATATCTTAGACGGTAAGCAGGGAAAAGCCCCTCACCAAATTATACAAAATATTTTGCTGGCTAACGACAATGTTGAAAAAAACACATTTTCGCATATATTGGGGATAAAAATACCTTCAAAATAAGACTTTACGTGCCCAATTTGACGTAATTGTTATTACAAGAAAATGTTATAAGTCGTCGATTCCTACTTTTATTTATTACTGGATAATGCATATTAACAGTAAATCTGAAATAATTGAGAAACATTGAAACCTTTATATTGCCTATTATTTTTTTAAGAAAAGTCGCATTTTTGACGAGCTGTGCAGCGACTTCGAATCAATCATTGGACATATTCTGTTGCTAGATAGAACGATGACCTTTTTTTCACAAGCATTTAAATCCAAAATTATCTATAAATGTTGTTTGTATGTATTTGAAACGACATTAGGTGATTTTGTTGTTACACACCTTTCAAAATAAAAACCGCATACTAGTATAGTGGGGGTGTAAACCATGTTGAAGGCGATACCACCACAAAAGCCAACCACCACCAGGAACATGGTAAGGTTGTAACAGTAACTTGCGTATACGAACAAAAGTCCAGATGTTAGTCCTCCTAGAACACCCACTATGCGAAATCCGAAACGATTACATAGTGCACAAGAAAGTGGACCTGAAATATTGGAAATTTAAGTAATTATTTTTTTTAAATACACGACGACACTCGAAACTAGACACTCACTATAACAATAGCTTTCCTTTCAGCCACTTTCAAAGATAATGTTATATCATTTCAAGTCACCTCGGATGCCCATAGGTTCCATTTTCCAACGTGAGGTGGGATTCCTCACTTCCCCCTCGCACCTAAAGCATGTACTTCTCGGTACCTACTTTACTAAGATTTTCAGGTCACATGATTGGAGGATTGGAGGGGAATACTTTTTGGTTCTTTCTGTATACTTTCTGGTGATTGGCAAATTATGGCTAAAGGTTTTACAAACTTTTATTTGCCGATTTTCAGAAATGTACCAATAGTAATACCGAAATTTTCATTGAACACAGAAATCTGAGTTCTAAAGACGTGTTCCGTGTGAGATCGAAGCCTCACTTGGCTATTCTACCAGTAATTTGAATCCAGGCATGCCTAATCTCATACAGTACATTTTTTTAATTACCAGTGCAGTAATTACAAGTGAAAATGAATTTTTAGCTTTAGGATCTAAAGCTGAAAATCATAATACTAGCACAAAAGTCATTAGACCAGCCATAGATATTAGCAAAATATCTGTTTCAAAGGAACTATGGAGTCAGAAAAGAGTTATGTCAGTAGAGTTTCCTGAAAATTGTGGAACGTACGTGTTATTCGCTGCTGAATCTACATTCCATAAAAATTGACTTGTCGGTAGACACAATGCTCATTATTATTTGTACAGTAAAGAAAATGATTATCGGTTTGCAACAACATATTCTCGGCACAGATGGTCATTAAATGTATGTGGCGGGGCGGAGTTCCCGGCAATCAAATTATTGGTCCTTATTCTTTTATGCTTCACTCATGGTCAGCAGGTTCCTGTATTTTTTAGAAAACAATCTACACGAAGTATTAGAGGACAGTCATCTAACAATTATTCAGAGAATGTGGCTACAATAAGACAGTGCTGCATCTCATGGTACAGCTGAACTTCGATGATTTTTAAATACTTGTTTTCCCGAACAAGTGGATTGGAAGAGGAGGGCCGATTATCTTTCCAGCTAGGTCTCCGGCCCCGATGAAGTGTGATTGGAAATATGCTCAGAAGAATTGCCAGTTCTTAACATTTCCTGCCTACAAGGTATACGTCGCTATTGCCATGAATAGATGCAAAGTTAGCAAGAAAGGGCGTTCAAATAGACGTCAGAATGTGTTGATGTGAAAAATACTTTATGTATTACGCAGCTTACGTACCACCAATTAACCGTTCGAAGTAGCTGAAGACATTAAAATCGTCAGTGACCAGTGGCTTAGAATATAGGTCAAGCGTGACTGAATTTTGCAGATTTCCGCAACAGTACTCTATAGCCCTGTTTGTACAGCTGTCACTAACCTGTCAGTGATCGTGTCCAAGGTCCCGCCACACAAATGTCATTCATTCTGCTGCGCTATTTTTAATAGCCATAACAGTCACATTTGGGATGAAGAAAACCCTCATGCCATAGCCATCCATAGAGACCAACATCAGTTTTCAATTAACATCTGGTGCGGCACTGTGGACGAGCATATCATCGGGCCATATCTGCTTCCACCACGTTTGGATGGGCATGCTTATGGTCGATCCTTACAGCATGTGCTACCGGAACTATTACAAAATGTGCCACTGAATATAAGAGCCAACATGTGGTTTCAACACCATGGCGGTCCAGCCCACTTTTCTTTACAAGTGCGGCAGTATTTGGACGACAAATTTCCAAATAGGTGGATAGGCCGAGGTGGCCCTGTGCCTTCGCCTGCGCGATCACTTGACCTGACCCCACTGGATTATTTTATCTGGAGCTATCTGAAAGCCTTAGTGTACGAAACTCCTGTTCCCAACCAACAAGAGCTACTGGGAAGAGTGATGGCCGCGTCCGCACATGTTCAGGACATACCGGGGGTATGCCACAGAGTAGACGGAATTCACACGGCCGGATCCCAGACACATTCACCGGAGAGACACGGACCACTGATCGAACAACCTCAAGTATAAGATAGTGAGTGTCAATTATATAATCTCATTCCGGACGCGTATCGCAAGAAGCATAAAATTGAAGAGTAATAAAAATTACCCATAAAATGTAATACTTACCTACCTGCAAAATAATAAAACCCACTCATCAGGGAATTGGCAAGAGCAACTTGAGTAGGATGGACCCCGAAACTACTACTGATATCGTTGAGGAAAATGCCGAAGGAGTAAGTGGTTCCATCGATGAGAAAGTTGATGATGAAGGCGGCTGCGACAACAATCCATCCCCATCCGCCATCTGGAGGGATGACAATCCACTGTTCAGCAGGAACGGATACCACGCTGTACCTTCCAGACACATCCCGGCGGACTGAGTAGAAGCTGCTAAGTTCGCTTGCTTGCCGACCGGGAGCAGGTCTTAAGACGGATCTGGAACCGGTAAGTTGCTTGTGGTACTACGGTAGTGGCATCAGTAATTGAGCACTTGAGCGGGTTTATAAATTTAAAATTTCGTTTAGCAATCCTGGAACAAGATGACTGTGTACTTAATTGTTTCAAGGTTACTTTGGCCTCTAAAGTGTCCCTTATATCGCAGAAAGGTGGTGTTTGCGTCCTTATTAGTGTGCTAAAGCCGTTTGCCTGAAAAAATGCCATTCTCCATTTATTCGGCAGTTTGGACCGAGTAATTGGACACCTAGTCACCAGTAATTGAACTCCTTGGTATTTCATAGAATTATTTTATATTTTCAGACTTTTTTTCCACAATGCTTTTAGTCTAGGATATGTAATGAAAATTAAAAAAATACGATAACAAATTATGTATTTGAGGGATTCAAACAAATGTATACTGAATTCAGAGAATCTCTAAATTAAACTATTAAAGCTTTATCTAAATAATGTATACATGACGTGTTTGATTATTATAGGGCTAAAATGAGTATGATTATTCCTGTGCCGAAGATCCGAGAATCTTTGTGACTCTTAAGCATTAGAATTTTATACAAGTAAAGAAATAACGCCGCACGCATGACATACCGTATGTCGTCCTTAGAAACGAATTATCCTGATTACTTACAAAAACTGAACCACATATAAACAGTGAATTTTTAAGAAAATCTTGCAGACAGATTTACTGTTATAAATATTTGTCTGTTCGCACGTATTAATTATCTTAAAATTTTATCCATAAAATACCTGATAGAGCCTTTTCTTTGAGGTTTGAGTATCGATGCACGTTGATCTTCTCCTGGCCTCGCAGTCCCTGGCCTTGATGGTTTCTGTGGCTGTGGAGGTGGTTTAGGTGGCATTTCCTGCCGACATTAATTGTACCATATAATAGAGATGTCACACTTTGACCACATTTTGACATGTGTAAGATGCACAGATCACTTGTTTTGTCAATCGTACACAGGGTGGTAAGTAAGTAAGGGTGTGAAAGATAAAATGAATAGGATATAGCGCACACCAAGGCCTGGCATACAGTGCTTGTTAAAAGGCCCCCACTTTGCATTTTGAACGGGTTAAGTTAGCAACCTGAAATTGAGGTTGATGACATTGATGCGTGGTTACCGTATATTAGCGTGAAAGGTACAGTTAAAATCTAAGATTGCGGTGGCGAACCATCTACGCCACCGGGTGAGGAAGTATTGTGATCGCAAAAAATTTCGAAAACGAGATACTTAATATGATTTTTGGATCTTATATAACATGTGCATCACGAAAAACCATGTCACTCATTTCCGTCGATCTGTTTGTCTGTCCACTAATCTTTCACCCTGATATAACTTGGAAGAACTGGACGGATTTTGATGACATTTCCACACAGCGTTTCTACTATGCCAACGATAAAACAGCTTTGGAGTTTTTGAAAATCGGTCCAGTAGCGGCCGAGAAAAATTTCAAAGACGAAAAAAATAAAAATTGCTAAAACTTCGTTTTTTGTCGTTTCAGAGGATCCTGATCGTTTTTGAAAACTTTTTTAGGATAAAACAAATTGTTAGGGGGTTGTTTCCAACCCCGGTAGATCCATGGACCTATTAAACATATTCCACAGATCATATATTTCCTCGTATATTTGCCCTTTGAACTTAGAAAAGTATTTTCTCCTCTTAAAACGGAACAAGCTTTGTTTCTGGGTTCTTTACGGGGATTGTTCCCGACACATTACTATCTAGTATGCGAGAGGAGTTGTATTGTATTTGTATCTACATATATCTGGGGTAATCTAGTAGGACTAGTTGATTCTAGTGTATGGGCAGATTAGAGTTCTTCCGTCCTTCTGAGTGAGTACTGGAGTCGAGACGTATACTCCTAAGCTTTTCCCCCAACTCCCACAGTTCAGTCATCCAAATCCCGGAACTTCCGCATTTTTCTGACACAAACAAGCTTATATAACTTCAAAATTAACTTTATTGTTCCATAGCTCAGCTCCCGCAGTTCTTATTATTAAATTCATTGATTTTGCATCAACTGTAGTTCACTAAGGCTCCATGAACTCCCGCCTGCAGTTTTTCCAAAATCTTATTTTCAACTCCCAGTGTTGCACTTTTCCTATCTGCAATCTTCAAATGTTTTCGCAGACTAGAACACCCATAGAAACTGTTCCTAGCAGATCAGTCGTATTCCCCAACTCCTCGCTCTTTGAGGAGGAAGTTCTACCTTTTGCTCGCAACTCCGTAATTCGTGATGAGCCCTGTGTCGTGAAAAGATGTACAATGCCATACTTCAACTACCGTGTTTGAGTTCATTATTTTTTAGGCATTGCAACACCCGGGCATGTACAATAGCTTCTCTATCCCAATTTCATCATCCGTCAGGTCATACACCTTATTATCAGGTTCACAATGGATAGCTAATTCGCCAATTTCTTTAACCCGGCGGATCGTATATCGCATGTTGCTATACCCGGTGCAATTCAGATGTGAATCACTGAGTACAGTTCTCAACTTCTGCAAATGGACATGACGATAAATTGCTCCCCGATGCCCCCAAGACTTATCCTGGCGGTACGTCATAACCCATCACATCAACCCAAAACAGATCAAGCCAGCCGAACAACAACTGTGCCCTTGTGGTCGGCAGTTCACTTCCATCAAAGGCCCACAAAATCATCATAGAAGATGCTCCCAAACATCCACAATGGGTCCCAGATATGACTGATTATATACGTACTGCCTTTGTGACAGGAAATTTCAATGATATATCTCGCCAGAAATTCATTTACGATTATATCTCTCAAATCCCTCGAATACTGTAAGCCTCACATGTATGCAAATGATACTCAAGTGTGCCTTTCATTCCATGATTGGCCAATGATGGAGTTTAAAATTAATGCTGATCTTGACGCTCTATTTAAAACTTCTAATGGTCATTCAATGTCACTGAATCCAAAAAAATCAGCAACAATAATTTTTGGGAAGGATCGGTCAGAGATAATGAATAATATGACGCTACATATAGATAATGTTCTAATACCGTTCTGCGATTCTGTTAAAAATTTGGGTCTCATAATAGATTTTAAGCTCAGATTTAAAGAGCATATTTCTAAATGTATACAAAGACTATGCACTAAAGCTGCTTTACCCTCATAGACACTTTCTTAGCAGAGACATCAAACGAATTCTGTGCGAAACGTTGGTTTTGTCCCAGTTTTCGTATGGTGCTCCTGTCTATTATCCATGCTTGGATGCTGATACGATATCTAGAATTCAGCGTGTTCAAAATTCATGTATAAGGTACATTTTCGGTATAAGGAAATATGACAGAGTTAGTCATAAGCTGAAGGATTTACAGTGGTTGAACATGAAACAGCGTTCAGAACTATTAACACTATGTATCTACAATAATATTTTGTCGAGCAAGTCACCGCCATATTTGTATGAAAAAGTCATGTTTAGAGAAAGTCCTCATTCTGTCGATGTTAGTTCGAAACAGAATATTTCTGCTCCATTCCATCGAACATGTTTTTTCGAACGTGGCTTCTCTTACAACATCTATTAATTATGCTACTCCATCCCCCAGCAAATCAAAAATATGAAAGGTTGCAAGTTCAAGCCAGCTCTGAGACGATTCCTTTTATATAAGTATAATTAATTTCACTGATAATACTGTAACATTTAGCTTTTTTGGATGAATCTCATGATTATATGATGGAATATTTTCAGTGTTATTTGTTTTTTGTACTCATGCTTTTTTTCTGCTGTCATACAGTTAGTAGTAGTCATGTAACAGTTGATATCACTATTTTAAAATAGAGCAAGGGAAGAGTGGAAGAGCACTCAGGTCGTGAACTCCCCCTTGAGATTCGATAGCAATTATTCCTTTTTGTTGAACACTATTTTTTATGTTTTTTTTTTCAAATAAAGTCATTTATTATTATTATTATCTAGTTCTTCTTTTTGTTTATTTGCCTCAGCAACTATTCCAGGTCATCAGCATACAATTCACGAGGTATGGTAATACTCCGGCGTACAAATATTCCAAGGGAGTGGATCCAATACAGATCCCTGTGAGCTCCTGCATACATATTTTTTGTTATGTGTCGTGAGGTGGCCAGCTTTTTATCTGTAAAGTAGTCTTCTACAATGTTTATCAGATATGTAGAGATGAGTTTTACTTGCAATTGTCTAATTACCAGGTTTCACATCTACTGCTATTATCGCGCACTACTTTTTCCTGCTTGAGTTTGCAGTTTTCAGAACCGCACTAACTCCCAATTGTATTTAACATTTAACATTAATACCTGCATCTATTCCTACTATCCGCACAATTGATTCATTTGTTCATTTGTTTTGTGTACTGTTTCCATACCCTCTATGTTGTTTTTAATAGCATTTATTACTTTCTCTGCTTTTTTGTTCCTTTGACTTCTAGCAGAAGATCACCATTATTTATTTTCTTCAGCCTCTTTATGTCTCCCCGAACTCCTGTATAACAAATTTGTTCTTTACGTTTTTTAAAAGCTCTGCATATAGCCTTCCCTGCGCTTTTACTTCCCTCGCCTACTGGCGGGGAGGAAATTTAATTGCGAAAATATCCGAAAATGAGAGATTATGTTTATTGGATGTTATATGACATGCAATCACGAAAAACCACGTCACTCTACATCATACGTCATCCTTCACATAACGGTTATGAATTTGCTGCTTCACAGGGGGCCCACAAACTTCTTCACTGCCATACCGCCATCGTCAAAGTCAACAATCACGTAAGCCATACTATTCTAAAAATTATCATAGAAATCTAATGCTTATTTCCGCTTACTCTCAACTCTTCAAATAGCCTGAAACTGTCTTGAGCTAAAAAATAGATGAAAGGTGATGAGGAAGATGGAAATGGCGTTGATGGGAGCCGAGTACAACTTGGCTGGCTTCGCACATAGTGGCGGGAAAGGCATCGCTGCCTGCTTGACCGTACACCGTAAATGTTTTCAGAAAGTGATGTACACTGTATTTTCAAATGGGAAACACGATATTCGTTGGTAGTTATTTGCACAGTGTAAGCTGGTTTGGACGTATGCATTCTATATTTATTTAAAGACTTGTATGACTGCAGTAGATTTCAGTTTAGGCTGGAAATAGTTTATCAAAACAAGACTATAGTTGAGTTGAATAACGCATACTTTACCTAAGCAATCATTGCAGCATATTTAAATTAAATTATTGCACACCCAGCTCCATTTAAACGTTAGCCTTTTCATTACTTTGTCTAATTAGAATATAAAGGCAGAAAATGCAAGGTGGCATGCCACGGCTTCGAGAGTGCGCAATTTGCCCTATTCCTTCTACGTGGGTGAAAAAGCGTTTCGGTAACTTCCGCTTGTAGCATGTGGACTTCTGTTTTACTAGCACCAATTATAAAGTCTTCAAGACGTCTCAACTGTAACGTTCTCTAGACGTACACTAGACACGTGAGTTAAACGACATCATTCGTCAAAAAGCAACGAGACCAAATTAAGAGGTTCTAAGGACGACTTTGGAACATAATTGTCTACTTTTCGGTTCAATTTTTCATTCCCATAACTCAACCACAAGGTACTGCCTGAGTAACCCAAAATATTCGCGATACATTCGCGCAATCAGATGTCTTGTTGACAGGTATCTACCAATAAATCTCTTCTTATTATTATTGTTTTTCTTGTTTGTCTATCCAGTAACCATTAGCCTCTCTTCTGATAACTTGGGGGTGTGATCATAAAAAATTTTAAAGACATTAAAATTTGAAGGGTATTCCCATAGACTCATTTTTTGGCGTTCTTCAAACTTGTCACATGCGGTTTAGATAATTTTAAAGCTACTCTAGTCTCATTTCTCAAGTTGCTGATATTGACTGATACATAATCATTTTATTTGCCAAAGTGGAGCAACATAATTTTTATATGCGTATAATTGTGAATTTTCTGGAGAAATTATGCTGAGTAAGCTTGAATTATAGTCATCATTCATTCCTGGTGGCACTGTTACCTTCCGAGCCAGGTATTTCGAATTATTTCGAGTTTTCCTTCATTGGTCATTAATTATTTCGTTTCTCTGACACGCAACTTATGTTTTATTGCCTCTATTTTTGGCGTGTGGGGGATCAGGTTTAGTTCAGGCTGCCTAAATAACTGACAATCATGTCAATTAAATCGACGATTGCTCAAATAAACAATTTGAGGTTAGGAAAAATATGAATTTCAAAACACTTCTACTGTTACAAAAGCATATCGTGTAATATTCCGCGTAGAGCCCTAAAAGTTAGATAGCAATGTGATCATTCAACAGGTTATGGTAATAACTCTGCTTCACAAATGCGGGGAGGCACCCATGGAAAATGTGATTTATAAACTTTACGAAGTTATTCTCAAAGGTTGTAAGCTATCACATAACCATCCAACTTTTATGGCCCTACACAGAATATTACACGATTCAGTCCAGTAATAAAAGAGGAAATATCTACTTGAAATCCAATGGCCGTTGGGTGTATTTGACATAAATTCTGTCGATTGCAATCCTTGAAATAAGCTCAGACTCGTACTGCGAAACAAATCTAAGATCATTGATTCGGCAAAAGGGGACAGAAAAACATTTACTTAAACAGGTGCAGATTGGCCCGTGTCGCTTTCCGGTATTGCGCATCACTCGCCTCCCAAATGTTATCGTGATTTGTCCTGAGAAATAAATCTCTCGTCATGGATTTCTGAAACTTAAAAAAAAAAAAAAGTAACAGTGCTTTATTCTTATGATTCTAAATTTCTACAAACTGTAATATTTAATCTAAAACACATCTTGTCACATGGAATGCAGTCACTCCTTTAGATGTTGGATACAAATGGCAAAACTTATATCTATGCAAAAATAATATAATCAATAGTACAATAAATAAGTCAGTCTTATGTTGGGCTGTAGCAAAACCCTTAACAACTAACAAATGAAAACCCTGATTAAATAAGATATGTATTTGATGTATCATTGAAATGCATCACCTACTAAGATTGAAGTATACGTGTGTCCATACGCTACATTTTCATGAAAGGCATATTTTCGGAAACTGAATTTAGTAATATGATTATTACAATACCCAATAGGAACCTGTTTTGATATGATGATGATGCTACTGCAGTGCCATTGTGGAGTTTAAGCACTAGGATCCAGGATAGCTTGGAATGCAAACTAACAATGCAGATACTGCCTTATATTTTTGCAGCGTACTAAATACAAAATGTTATTCTAATGCAATTTCTCCATCTGTTCGAAGACATATTTGCGCAATACCATTCCCTATAGATTAGAACATTAGTGAAAGAGCTTAATTTTTTCAAGTGACACAAGAATATAATACATTGCATGCATAGTCGGCAACACAAAATTAGCTACATCTTACAACATTATACCCCGCGGCTCCGCTCGCGTAAAAGTAGTGTTAAGTTGGTATATGTCATTCATTTTGAATTAGTGTGAATGAGATTGGTTTCAGAGTAGAGATGGCCGATGTCACTGTTTGAATATCTGATATGGTTACTTTTTTATAACAGCAAGGCTATATCGTAAATCTTTCCTACAATTTTATTGTAGGACGCCTTTATAGCATCCTTGATTTTCATAGTATTTCCTGTCCTTCATAAAGGTATTTCTAGATTTCTATATAGACTGTTCCGTCTTACATGTTCAAAACAATAGGCTCTTTTCACTATGACTATTTCTTGTTCATCTTGTTATGCCATTTGGTTGTTGATCTGTGCTTTTTCTGATTTATTGTCGAATAAAGATGAGATTATGGGTATACTGACATCTTGAGCAAAATAACCGTGATTCCATGATGCCATTCGCCCTTGCCGTGAAGTACCTAGTTCTACAAGTTGTGATCACGTCACGCATTTTCAAGGTATTTGGTAACAGTTGTGTTTCGTGATTTAGAAATATCAGTTACTAAATCACAGGTCGGGAAATATCTGCCACCACTATTTTGGAGGAATGAATGCAATATTCAAAGTAATGCATCAGTTACTTTGGCAATCAACATTATTTATTCAACATTTTGTTGTAACAATAAATTGCCTTCAAAGGTGTACTCACAATAAATAATATGTGTAACACATGAAGTATCTCAAAGCATCTATGTCTAAACATGTATGTAACATGTAGATAGATGATCTGGAAACCTGATCATTTTGAATTCAAAGGGCATATAAGAAGGAATAAGGAGATGCGAGGTATACCGGTTGATTTTGCTGACGTAATCGTTGCTTCAATGATCTTGTCATGAAGTTTTTGCCGATCAGTCGAATCCCCTTTCTAGAGAAAAATGTTGTAGAACAAAGTTTTTAATATTTCAAAAGAATCATCTAATGGTGACCTTAAACGTGACCTTGCCTCTGACCTTCAAGGTCATTTTAGGGCATCCAAAAGGCATGGAGAGAACAAAATATCTCTAAAAATATGCTACCTAGAATTAAATATATTCAATACGATCATTTATTGCCATGTGCGGTATGCAAATCCTTTGTTCGTAAGGATGGGAGAAACGCTTAGTATGAAGGGAGAGGAAGAAGGTTGGGAGACATAAATGATGCAGTTTGCATACAACAGGTTTTTGAACTCCTATTGGTTCAGAGTTGCATGGTATTAAAGTAGCAGCGTGCTACACCATGAAAGTTTTTCTGCACTATAGCAGTTTTTCTGCATTATAATGCAAGAATTATCTAGTCATGACCTTGAACGCTATATTGACTATGATCTCTTATGGTGATTGAAGATTTAACGGGACGTGAAATTATGGTTCTGAAAACAAGGATGCCAGTTTCCCGTCAAAAAATGACCTTAAAGATCCCAGTCAGATGGCGGTTAAGAATACGATAGTGACTTTGACCGCAATATAATATTTCGCATTTTTATAATCTCGGCAAAATGTGAAGAGCTTGCTTGAAAATTTAGCTGATCTTAAAATAACGTTGAAGCTCATCGTCAGGTTCTTTGGCAATGATACACTTGAACTTAACATTGTAAACAATTTGCATTTCAGTAATTAAAAATAGATGTTTCCCGTTAAGAATTGATTTAATCTTCAAATTATCATACCGTTTCTTGCTATTTTTATTTGTGGTATCAAAAATAGGGGTTTCAAACCTTATAGCTTTACTACATAACATTTTTTTTCGAGATATATTATCCTGTCCCCACTTTTTGGATATGCTCAAATATTTATGAAGATCATAGTCCAGGTCAAGTGCAAAGGCATATCTTAACGTAAGGGTTACTGCTCTTTACATTTCCGCTGTCAAAAATAGGGGTTTTATTCAGGAAAACTGACCTGACCATCAAATGAACTTGAAGATCATAGTCAAGGTCACGTTCAAGATCACCCTCATTTTTCTCTGGAAAACGTTTTCTTCGAAATACTTTGATCTATCCATACTTTTTGAATACCCTGTATATTTTAGCGGAAAAAAACAATAAGCTTCTCCGTTTATCAATTAGTAACTATAAAAATCTTTATGTCTCTCCATATTGTGGTTCAGCCGTGATACTGACAGACTAGGCATCCACATTTAGCAACTTCCAGAAAATGTGAGTACATACTCTCGCTGTAAGTTTGATCGTGGCAAATCTCCGGCATTAATCACATCTACATTACATTAAACAGGCACATATCAGACAAAGTCAAGCTATTTGGAGATAATAAAAATGGTATCTATGGTCTGAAATGGATCCAAGATGTATATAGTATGCTGGAAAGAAGTGAAATTTCTTTCACTTCATATTTTCCTGTTAGCATTTGTTATCCAAAAACATGTACATTCCGAAGTGATCATCATCTATGTAATAGTAATACTGTAACTTGTAAGGGAAATCTCAGACAGAACTTTGATAAATATGCAGAGTGCGGCAGTGAAACTGGAGATTTTGGAATCTTTGTAAAAATGATATCTAGCATTCCAACAAAATCCACATGAAAAAACGATTCAGTTGAAACTTTGAAGCAAGCTAGTTTTTAAAAGTTGCACCAGAAGGCAACCACGACCAGTTATTTCAAAATCATCCATACCACAGATAGCCCGTACACACACATTATTATAAACAAGATTTAACAAATAGAAGAGTCATCCAAAACCAAGTAACAGATAAACTTTATAACAGATCTACCTAAACGAGACATGGTTTAATTACAAAAAGTTGTTATACTTCATCTATTTATTTCCGTTTACTTCCCCGTGTTAAGCCTTTTGCGCAATATTCTAAATTCTCATGGCCCTATTACTTTATAAGGTATCTGACTTTCTACACTGATCAGTTCTGAAAAGCGTCCCGACATCAGCAAGCAAGGCAGCTTTAGATTTCTTACTTCAAAATTTTCCTTGCTTAATCACATATCTTGGCGCGCCCAATGGAATAGAGCTTTATCCCTGAGAGGTGGAGTGTTCCTTTGGAGAGGTAGAAAAACAAAATATACAATTCAAAATGTCTTCAAGCAGTTTCAGCTTCATGTTTCTTTTCTTCCCTCCTAGAATTCCTCTTATTCTCCCACTTGTTGACCCAATTGAGGGGATAGCACAATATAGCTGATAGTAGAAGAACTCCCCCAGAGAGATAGAAGCATGCATCGTAGCTCCCTGTGGCCATCATGAATGCTCCCGCTAGAGGAGCTCCAATAATGGCGGCCATTCCTTGGAATAGAAGCAACAGGCCAAAGGCATTGGTGAGCTTTTCAAGGCCCATAAGATCTACCACTACTATGGAACGTAAAGAAGCGAAGCAAGCTGAAACAGAAGAAAACATTATTAATGGAAACATCTCGAACATATTCGAGAACGTTATAACCGAAACTGATTTTTATTGGTACATCAAGAATTTACAAATACTGGATTTGAGATTGCAATGTTCACTGAACTGAATCCATTTGCTTTCCATCCCTGTAACACTGACCACATGCATACGTTGTGTCATGCTGTTTAGCAATTATCAGTACGGTATCGATCTAATTGTGTGTTGATAGACAAACGAAGAGTAAACAAGTGGGTATAGTGTTCTGACAAATTCTGTTGTGCACAAAGAAGTCACAGCACTGACAACTGTCACCCACAAACAGTTCGCCAAAGCTTGGTACATCGTCGGCCCATACGCTGAAAAGGACCCTTTCCATGAGCGCACACGACCTATACCGTACTGGTGAATCCTAAAAGGCATGAAACAGCGTCATGGTTACAAAGACAAAATGTATACCGATTCAATTCTGCCTGTATCTTTAAGCAATTTTGCGTAGCATGCCATTGCTCGTAGTCAGCCGAATACCTCGTTTTCAGGGTGATGGACGGGTCCCTTTTAATTATGTTTTATTCATTCATATAACTATAAGCAATTATGAGTGGTGAATGAACTGCGATTACTCTTTGGTTATGGCCTTGATTATTTGTGATTTTTCGTGCTGACACAGAACAGAGAACTGAGAACCGGGTTGCTACACGCAGCTGTTTTGTGGTCAAACGCCAACAATTATAATATATAATTCATATATCAGTAATACTTTACTGTGACATTAACAACGCACCTAATAAATTCTGCGCCAAAACACAATGCATGACTCCATAGTTCTATGCGAGTTATCTGATATCGTTTTTTTTTCACTGATAACTTCTCACGGACTATACAAAACAAACGCATTAAGCACAAAATAATATGAAAGGGTTGAAATTTGACATTAAAGACCGTATAGAACCCGCCACCTGTGCGACGTTGTTATTGGTTTTAACTGTCAGTAACAGTGACGTCACGAAGGGCCAGTTCGTGATGTGACGTCATCATTTGACATCTCTCCCAAACCGCGTTGCTTAAAACGAAAAAGTTAAAATCAAACAAGACCGTTTTTTGATTGGGTTAGATTGCTTAAAATTGCCTTATACCAGCTATCACTTCAGTCAGTTTCAGCGTATAGCCCGGGGATATATCAAGCTTTGGAGAACTAACATATATGTACATGGCAGTTTTTAATGCTGTCACCTCTTTGCGATTTTAAAGCTCCCAATTAGGAGAATTTACTGTGGCCAGTTTCAGTAAATTTCTACGTAACTTTCATACATCAATAAATATTGACGGTCATGCAACACGTTCAGTAAGTACCACGTTTTATGATAATCATTGATGAATCACAGTAAACATTAAACGTGCACCAAGGCGTCTAAAGTGACCTTTTGGCTCATATAAAACGTCTGATTTATATCGTAGTGTCGATTCAGTTCTAAGAGAAATTAAACAGACTGTGTTTGAAAACTAATATTGCCATACTCCATTCAGATTGGTTCTTCAACCTTTGGACCCAACGCGCCAAAACTTCTTCGCGACAGTGCCACACGGATACAGCAGCGACCTTTCTTTTACTAAATTAGTTTAAATTTCGTGAATAATACCCTCGTCAGACTGGTTTTATGCTGTTTTAAGTGTATGGCAAAATATGCAGAATAATTTACGTATAAATGGCTATATGATAATTGGTTTGGAATTCTCCATTGCAAAATGTGACACATTATCTACACTTAATGATAACAGACTGAAACATGAAGTCTATAGGCTTAACATGGCCCGATGGCGACGATCCAATGTCCAGAATCACCCTTTAGTACATACAGAGTGTCCCAAGTGAACCTGAGAAGTACTTCTACACATCTACGCAATTTTCCTTCGAACTCTCTTATCTAGGACCGGGCAAAAAAATGCGTCAAGATTCACTTCATGCCCGTGGGCGATTAAAGGTTATTTTACTGCCTGCCAGATCCGATTGAACTAATTTTCATTACAATTTTTAATTTTAACTGGTCGTAGATAAAACGTTTTATGTAACTCTGACGTAAATAGCACTCATCTCATAAATAACTTAAATTTTAAACTTGGGAATACTTACAAATAGTCAGTCCAAATACGACTGTATAGAAAAACTGATATTCTTCCGACATCGATAATCCGCTAAACATAGTAGCGATTCCACCAATGGTAAGCGCCACGTTAGTGACGAATAGAGCATTAACTCCTGGAATTGAGCTTATAACTCCGCAAACCACTCGTCCTACGGTATTTGCTATGCCAATCGATGACACCAGCCATACTGCCATGGCTTTATCCATACCTGCAAATAATAAACAAAAATCATTTTACCGACATCAGTATATAATCCCCAGCAATAACCATTAACGCTCACATACTTATAAATGTAATTTCTGAAACTCATCCTGTGGTTTTCATGTTCATATGATTCAATTGTCTGGACGAATCAAACCACATAATATGTTTAAATGTCTGTTTATTGTACGACCTTTCGACCACCACTGTGGTCTTCTCACTTAGTCATATTGCAAAGGGATGACCCCGTCCTTCTAAGCAGGGGTGATCGTATTACCCCTAAATATCGCTTCAACCGCAAGTTTCATGTGGAGTATCCAACGAGGAAAGAGTGAGACGCCGGTAGCCGGAGACTCTCCGGAATAAGCGGGCAGGTCTGGTACACGGACGGCTCGGTCACCGAAGAGTGCTCAGGTACTGGGCCCAGAAACTAGGCTATCTCTGCCTCTCGGTGGATACACCACTATTTTCCAGGCCAAAAGTCAGGTCTGGACGGCGTATTACCGGTCATGTTACAGCAGGGACGGAGGTCGGTTGTTCCTCACCTGTTGAAGGTGTTTCGAGCATGTGTGGCCACGGGCTTCACACCTAGAAGCTGGCGGCAAGCTGAAGTGGTATTCATTCCTAGACGGAGCAAGCTAATACACTGGGGACTGTTGTCTGGCCATAACACGTTAAGGCGCCTCCTGCACGTGATGGGGGTGACTGAGGATCCCTGTTGTGAGCGCTGCGGGGTAGAGGAAGAGACCTCGGCGCACGTTTTGTGTCGCTGTGAAGCTCTGAGCTACTATAGACAGACTATACTGGGGTCCATTACTTTGGATCCTCAGGACGTTAAGGATCTTAGACTCAAGGCGATTCTCAACTTCGCCAAAAGGTCGAGGCTTGTGATCGCTTGTGATCTAAGAAATGTAGAGGTGCATAAGCGCCCGTTTAAGCGGAATATGGACTGGCTCCTTATGGTGGCCGGAATGCATCTTATTTCACGATTCATTCAATCATTCATTGGGGTCTGGACGGTCTTCTTGAAACGGGAATGACTATCACAGGCTAGTTTCATACGATCCTATCCTAAAATGGCAATGATAGCTTCACACTATCTCAGCATGTTCACAGGACCGTTCACTGAGTATTATGTATTGCCACAGAATTGTCAATCGTACATGACAAAGGCCACATTGGTGGTCGAAACGTCGTACAATGAACTGAAATTTATGGACGAAGACACACACATCGTTTTTTACAAGCTTTAGCGCCTTAGTACATGCTGTTTTACCATTGAAAATGTCATCGACAGAAGCATTTCAGTTCATAGAAGCCAATTTCGATGTGGATAAACTAATAAGTCAAATACAGAACCGTCCAGAATTATGTCACATCACTGGAAGAAATACAGTGATCGAATTAAAAGGCAACTACTAGTTTTTGGTCTCTCCCAACAGCGTTTTCTCAATGACCGTCCGGGTGTGTGTGTCAACATTGAAGCGACAGTGGATTCGGCAGCCGAATTGGCACAAACCGCTGTGTGTGTCATCGTACTAAGCATATTTTTTATTCGGCCAGACAAAAATACTTATAAATGTCTGAATAGCATATTTGCAAGAAATGTGCTGACTCATAAAGCAATAAGTGAGAGACAGAGAGATCAGAAACTTTTGCAGCAAATTGTATTAATCGATCACATGATGGAAGAGTTTCAACAAGTAAGAGCATCTACAATCTAGGAAAATAAGATCTTAATTTTTGTGTCGTTTTCAGCTATGACAATATGACAATGTGAACGCACTTGATCATACAATCAAACTGGTAACCTAGAGGAAACGTATACGGTTAAAAATTTTGTAGTAAGGTCACTGAAACATATAATCTATTGACAACATGTAAGTCAGCTTAAAGAAACAGACTAGTTGTTACTGATGGAACAGGTCATTTGATTTAAACGACCAATGAAGGTATAAACCTCAAGTTGGACGGTTCAGAACAAGCTTACTCCTTATTTTGAATATGGGCTAAAATTTTGTAAAAAAATGTGGCAGACGCTACATTTCCTGCAAATAATACCGCGTAATATACCTACGTTAATTGCGAAAACAACATAAGTGAAGTGACTTGGCTGGCTTTTGCATGCACTACTCAACGGCAGATTGACTTGATTGTGTCAATCCAAAAACACTTCCAGGATCCTTGGTTTGCTTTCTTTCCATATTCATGTGCTTATATGCACCGAAATGCCAATTTTAAATCCTCAATTATAAAGATAAGCTGTCGGGCGAATACATTATGGACTTGATCTTATCCGCTTTGTCCGAAATCACTTAGAAGTTTTCTTGTTTCGATGAAAACCATTGACTCAATATTTTTCCGCTTTGCCAGGGCTTCCCATGTATACCATTAAAATATGCAAAATTAAAACATATGGCAAGTCAGTCTTTAAGTGTAATTTTCAATAATAAGCAATAAAAAATATGTTTCTTAGCTTACGTTATATACCATTAATCCGCTAAGTAAACAAGGAAATTTTTGTCGAACGTTCTCTATTGGTATTAATGATAAGCTGTGAAGATTATTTAAAATTCCAGTCTTTTAAAAGATCAAACACTATATTTGGCCCAAAAAAGTTCTTTAATACTTGTTTGTCTCTTGCAAAATTCAAGCTGTCTGACTAATGCTCTGAGGTTTTTAAAACGACCTAGTCAATTACGAATCTATTTACCTCCACTTTTTGCGCGTTCTACCAAATACATGTATGGTACATAAAATCCCATCATGGTGAAAAATCCTCCAGTAGCCAAAATGATGAACGATGGCGATTTCAAGAGTCCGAAGTCCAGCATGGTGCATAACACTCGTTTCAGAGCTTCCGGGCACAACTTGCACTGATGTTGCTTCTCTTCGTCGATATCGTTCTTGGTAGGAAGCCTCGTAACAGACAAGTTATAGGCTATTGATGTCTTGGAAGTGTACTGAGGCAGCCTAGTGAGACTGGCTCCGAAGAAGATGTCGTCTCTGTATAATGGTCGAACAACTTCTGGCTCCTCTTTGAGGCTATTTTTCCGAGGTAGGACCAGTGGTTTCAGGTTATCCACATCCAGTAGGTACTTCTTTGGCTTCTCATAGTCTGCTAGAAAAGGCGCGCTCAAAGTTTTGCCTTGTATAGACACGCTGCTTTTACGATTTGGAATGCTGATAGTGTGATAGACGTCTTCATTATCGATAAGGACCTTTGGAAGGGACGTCCGGTAGTCTGAATAGATGGAGTTTCGCTGCAAAAACTGCGAAACGTTCTCCATCTTTTCTTTGAGGTTATCCGGTAGCGTAGATACATCTAATTCTAACTCCGATTCTTCGTCGTCTTCTTTCAGCTTTTTCAGTTTTGTAGGCTTCAGAGGCCTGAAAAGAGAAAAAGATACTAAGTAAAACATTGTATTCTTATGATAAACATTTGAAGGAATCCGAGACAAATTTGCCACAACAATAATTCCGGTAATGCTGCGTTATCATGATACAGGGTGTCAAACCTTTTTTGATTTTTTCTGTTTTGTTAGAATGTCATAATGTTTTTAATGTAAAGAAGAAATTAACGAAGAAAGAATTAAAGTCGTAAGATCGAAATGGTTATGGCAACTTTTGGTTTTAATAAAGCCTTCTTCTTAACCGGTTATATAACCGGCGATACGTCTATACCAACTAAATTTCAGTAAATGTTAACAAAAACCGCTAACGCGTTATTACAGGGAAGAATGTTAAGAACAATTTTGAAAACATAGCATTATCTTTATATATGAACTTTTATTATTAGAATCACCATTGGTATTTGACCAGTTACGTCATTAATAGCCTGTGGCTATATCATAATTTTACAGAAACGTTGCTTTTTGGAGTTATTACTCTCGCTCCAAGATCACAGTAACGTGTGTTAGAAACGTAAGCGAAGTCAAGTTGATGACAATATTTACCTGAACAACGATCCATATATAACGCAACTAAGTACCAGTGCCCCTTGGCAAAGAAGTGCCCCTCTCCAGCCGAAAATGTTGATGAGGATTTCGCTTAAAGGAGAAAACACGAAAGTTCCGATGCCAGAGCCACATACTGCTATACCTGTTGCTAGAGCCCTCCATCTTTCGAAGTAGAATCCAATGGTAATGATGGATGGCACGTAGAGGAACCCAAATCCGATTCCTGTGACAATAAACGACGGTGTCAAATAGCTTACCAATTATTCGTTCCTTATATTCAGGGATATCTTTCACGTGATTATTAATGGGATCAAGAATTTCCAAAAGAACATGGGTTAAAGAAAGTAGACAAAACATCCACTGCTATTTCTACTTCTGCTTTAGTTTTTTTCTGCATATAAATATCTACTACTGAAATATTTTTTTCGTAAAGCAACAGAATTCAACTGTCGCAATAGGTTTGAAAAACTAATACTTGATGGACGGTAGAATTAGAAAAACATTTCTGGTGAATATTTTTCCACAAATTGAGTAAACAACTGCTAGATCCGCGGTCGATAACCAAAATAGGGATATAGTATAAAATGATCAACAAAACAAGAAGCAAAGTGCGTATATACTCAAGGTCAAGTGCACTGAACTCGATTATCGAAAGTATCACCTCTTGGTCCAAATTAAATAAACCCATTTCGCTAGCTTGTATAATGTCAGTGAAAAAAAAGTTCATGTATACATCACAGTACTTCTGACTTGACCGCAAGTTTTTTCAGGAAACGTGTTTATACCTCGATTATAATGCCTTTTACAGAACGGGAGCATCGCGCTACATGCGCACGTAGGACATAAATGTTTCCTTCCCACATGAAACTATTTTACAATAAATTAGCTTGAGCTCCGTTTTAAACACCCTTCTAATAACTAACGGCACTAATGGTGAACATAAGCTTGATTATTAAGTCCCATGGACAAATTCATAATACAAAACCTCTGTTTGTGCATTATCGTAAAGCTATAAAGTGCTTTATGTGACATTTTTTATTACTAACATTTTGTGAGCAGTATAGCGGTTATCTATTGTAGATGTGGTTTTTGTTCCCATCATTCTTCTCCCCACATTCACCGTTTACCTACTATCACTTAAGCTGAAGCTTTCGATCTCGTGACCTCACATTCAGCAAAATTCTAGACATAGAATAGCTGGTCTGCTCTGGAAAATTCTTCTCTCAACAGTATTTTACATATGAAGGATACACGGACAAAAGTTGGAATGTCTCAAAGACAATGTCTTGCTTAATTAGCATTTTAATATTTGAAAGATAACAACTTAAATTAATCAAGCGGATAATTTTGTCACATATCAAGTATGAATGCCCACGGATTGCATAAGTTACTTTGTTGAATCCAAAAGATACATTTTATGGACAACAAAATGAACAAACCTGTATAGTTTTGTTCTGTCCACCAGCTGAGTTGGAGTACATTTCTATATATTTCATGCGATCAAAGTGGTTTGAAATATAGTGAAATAGCAATGGACCGTATCGTCAGTCATTCCTATAATTGTGGGACGCCTTTATGGCCTCCTTGATTTTCATAGTCTTTCCTTTAATTCAGAAATTCTGGGATATTTCTAGATTTCTACGGTTTCTTATTGTCAGGCTATGGTTTCTTTTTGAATTGTAGGTAATTTCAGGCTATATAACAGATCATATAAATCAAAAACATGAACAATTCAATGCAAATAGATGTTTGTAACATAACCTCAAAATAGAGCGCTGACACGGAATAGTAGAAAACTATGAAAATCAAGGAGGTCATAAAGACGTCTTACAATTGTAGAGACGACTGATGATACAGCCCAGGACATGTAAATTGAATGATAACTGACGCTTATAATGCAAAACAATAGCTGGAACTGCAACATTTGTGATGCATTTCTTCTTCTCCCTCGCATAAACTGTTTGACCCTTCATCTAGTATAAATCGTCCAGCTCATCATTATCTCCATCCGCCATCAATGCCTTGGTTTTTATTTGAAATTTATCACAGACACTGCAAGTATCTGTACGTGGGCAATCAAATGATACTTCAAACTATGGGTTAAATATGTTCTGTATGCATAAAAAACATGATTTTTAGGCTGAAGGTATCGATCCAAATATATTTTAAAATTTTTTTATGAGGAGTTATTCAGATAAATATTCTTTTTTGTATTATTCAAGCTCTTTGTTACAAATCTGTTCTTTAACATTATTGTGTACTTTTGTGGGAGCTTGATTTCCCGTTTGATCACAAGGCGCATTGCCTGCTAATTTTAATGACTTTTGCTCAAGTGTTGATGATACCAAATATAGACTAAAATGCCTTGTATCAGACACGTACTTCTTTTACAGCATCGTTACTTTGTAGGTAAAACAAGTCTAGTGAAAATTTGCATATACTTTACTCTTTCCACTTCCCTTATTTCTCTTGAACACGGGTTAGTTAAACCATATAATTATATACTTTGTTCGTCAGTGATATTTATGTCATTAGGCTTTTAACAATACGCTTATCTAATGAAGTCATGTCAAAACACTTTAATACCTGCAGTCTCATTAGTAGAAATGTTCAACCTCTTTATTAGGTACATTCCGAATTCTTATCGTCTTCTTTCTTTTCTTTGTGTCACAATACTTTGAATGCTTTCTTCATCTCCTAAGTCAGTGTTCCTCATTATCACTGTTAAGAAATTTCATTTCAAAATTCATTTATTGACCATTTACTGTCCCACCACAACACCACTTCTCTATCTCAAGTAAAATAGTGTCAATGGCTTCCCTTACTCAGATTATTTTAATTTTATTCGAAATAAGTATTATCCGATAAGATGAGAAGCATATAAATTTGTCAGGCACGGTTAATTTCTCAAATTCAACTAGTGCAATACTGCAGTAGTTCTCTTCCTCATCTGAAATAACTTTTACACAAAGTCTTCCTTTTCCTTTTATTCATTTAAATAAAAAAAATCAAAATTATTTCAAGTTACTTCCAGCAAATATTGTTGTGCACTTTATTATAGCTAAGAATGTACCATGATCTGGTCTTTTGAGGAAAGTATAATCAATCCCAAGCAACTCGATACCTCTCAAACTCTACATACATATGTACGTTGTACGTCCTTATCAAGTATAATAATAATAATAAACCGCGTTTTATTAACAACAAATTACAGATAAATGTATTATAATATAATAAAATTAGTGAGCAGCTTAATGGTAAAGCTTAGCTGTAACAGCTGGTATTACATTTAACCATTTACTGCATAAAAATATCGGATGGTACAAAAGTACAGCTGCACTACACATAAATTGAAAGATGGAAAATGCGCAAGAAACTGATAACAACCCAAACAAATATTCGCATAAAATTATAATGCTGGAGAGAAACGCCTTTTAAAAGGATAATTAAGCAGAAGAGCTTTTAAATGTTCTCTTAAACTAAAATTTTACTAAATCTGTAATGTTTAACCAACCTATTAAATGGTAACGGTCAACGGGAAACATGGCCAGATTTTCTTAAATTAAATATGAAACGTGAGCAGTGGTTTTATACAACAAATGTTCTGTTACTGATAACACAAAAGATCCACACAACTTTTTTCGCACTTTAAAATTCAGAAAATTTCTGTTCGCATGCATGGTTCTTAGACGGATATAAGTTCTTTATAATAGACTATTCAAATGTTCACGAAGCCGCACATTTTCATCCATTAAGACACCTAGGCACCTGGCAATTTCAGATTATTAATATATATATATATGACTACATCTCTTCTGTGATTTGTACAAAACAGCACAGCAGAAGATTTGAAGTATTAATGATGAAGTTGTTATGTGCTTATATGATTATGAAAACTCGTAAAATATGCGAACCAGAACTGGTGCTTTTGAGGATTCGAATATCACGACAAGAACTCAGTCAGCCAAAAAGTCGAACCGACATTAGCCCTTTTCCTTTAGCGGACCTTATACTCTTATTAAACCCGCATTAAATATGCCTTTTGTCAAAAAATCTTTAGGATGTATACTTTTGCAATATGTATTTTGATCGTGTAGAGCAACGAGTAACTTTGTTGATTGCTGTGGCGTAAAACTTATCACTGTAAAGTCATTAAAGATAGCCACGGTTCACTTTAATTGTATAAATAACATGCAGGTTTATTATTTTTGGAAAATTTACAACCGTTCCGTTTATTACCTTCAATATCTCAAGAAGACATAACACGACATATGGAAATGAAATTGATCTTTTTAAACCCACCAGTAAACTGAAAATCAGTGCATCTCAAACCATTATAACATAATAAACTTTGCCATGACCATTCACAATCTGAGATAATTTGAACATTAATTTAATCAAACAATAAAATTATTGACAACGTATTTATATCATTAAAATGTATCCTTTTCGAGGGTTTGTGGAGTAGTTCAATTACCGTCTCTTCAGTAATGATTTGCATTTATGTCCTATTTACATATACAACAAGTGAAATAATACAAAGTGTTTCAGAAAAACGTGGAGATGTTTCTATGACGTATAATAAATCAAAAAATAACATAAAAAGTTCATAAAAGTTGAAGTTGTTGAAGTTATAATTTGATATCTTTTGACAAATACTGGCTTAAAATTTTGTACGTGTGGTACTAACATCATAACCAATACATACAAACGTCGTAGTGCCTTAGACTGTATAAGTGGCGTAGAAATTGTGAAATGTTGACCCCTACAGAAAACAAAGGAAAATAATGTACTACGCTACTGCCTTTTTTGGAACGTCTATTAAGTAAGATTTTAAGGTATAAAAAACTTCAACCAGTCCTACTTTGAAAATAAACTGTTTGACAATGACAATTGTATGTAGTGTATTAAGATATCAATCTTTACCATAACGCTACTTCATCGATTACCATGTTTATCCTTATTTAGTCTCATCAATGGCGTAAAAATATACTAAACCCTCATGATCATATGCCCTTTTTTATTTTTTATGTACTTTCAACTCTACAAATGTCACTCTGCTTATGTACCTACATATGGCGCTTCTCCGAGATAGCCCTAACAGTTATTTAGTACTTAGTGAATATTTGGCAAAATATTAGGATTATATCTTGCAACGGTAGTGAAGGTGAACAATGTATAGTGGATCTACTGCTAATTGGAACAGCGGATAAACCCGGGGCCGCAAAAGAAGTCTGAAATACACACTGAGAACCTAATTTTTCTGATGGCTGAAGTTCAATGTGTACGAAAGAGGAGTGTGTATAGAGACAGATGTTAGAAAGAGATAGAAGCCGGCTGGATAGCGTTACCTAGCAACGCAGACGCGTCAATCTGTCGCGTTGCCAATATGCTACACCAGTTCATTGAATTAGGATGCATGTTGAAAATATGCGTTAGTTTAATCTCTACGCCCAAGTAATGTGGTATTTTGAGCGACATATTTTTGAATTGAGTCGAATCTAGTTAGGACCTAACGGCGCTTCATTTCAGATCTAAATGAAAGGCCAGGGTCGTCACAAATTCTGCAAAATTGCATCTTTGCTTTACTTGGCAGCACCGCAACATTCCAAGGCAAGGTTTCCACCTCCATGATCATAGAGGAGCGATTTTGGTCAGTACCCATCTAGCGCTCATTGGGGAGCATCATCCTGCTTCGAAATGGTTTTCCCCTAGGTACACGCAGGCAGAGATAACTTGGTATTTGTTACATTTTCCGACTGCTCGCTGTCACAGAATGTAACAATAACTCACAATGTGTTGATTTTCGGTGGAAATCAAAGATAATTCTAAAATCACTAAGTCGCATCAAAATTGAAATAACCATCACCGTTGCTAGGCAATGTGGTGATGACCGTTGCTCTTCAGCTGGCTTCTTTCTCTTCCTAACACGTGTTAAAACACACTTCTCGCGCTTCTCTCTCGTATAGATTGAACTCAAGCCGTCAGATAAATTTTGTTTTCCTTGTACACGTTCACATCTTTCTTGCGGCTCCAGGTTTTTTCGCTGTTTCAGATGATATTAGAGCTGCTATAACCTCAAAAGTGCTAAATACAGATACATAATCAGCAGTCAAAAAATATTTTCTAACTAGTTTATTTTGAAGCAGCATTATATTCACCGGCACCGACTTGTTTAGAAACCAGAGAAAGATGTTTACATCGAAATCTGCTGATTTTTGGAAAATATGTTTACTAATTGTCTGATTGATCTTCAATTAGTCAATACTTTGGGCAAAATACGTCAGAACAATCGCGTTTGCATAAACCTTTCCACGTATAAACTGGATTATGCAAGAATGTTATTAGTGCTTATTTATTCATTTTGCAAGGTTTCTCCTCTTGATAGACATTTATAACTGTTCTTGAATTTCTAGCTACTCGATAAGATTTGAACTAGGCTAAATTATGTTTTGCACGTACAGCGAAACTCTGTGTGCCGATATGATTTTAACACTGAATCTGGAAGAATTGATTGGCGTGGGATAAAATTTAGCCTCAAGAAAAACTACTGCAGGCTCACAACGAAGTGGTCTCATGTAAATAGATGTGGTTCAAAGCTTATATAATCCGTGGATATCCTTGAAATCTTTGAAAACTTGTTCGATGGCAGCACAACACATTCGAGGGCAGTCATGGCAAATATGATGGTATCATTAGATATTGTTTCCTAATGATAAGTTCGAATTGGCATCATGGTAGGACTGGAGCATATGCCGCCATTTTGATAAGCACGTGTGATCAAAAATATCCGAAACAATAGATCCTACGTAAAAAAAGTAATAGAAACAATTTTGTAAGAAATTAAACTCTATATCATTCTATAAAAATTTGTCGTATAGTCAGCAGCTTTCGAGGAACTCAAGGGAAAAGTTTCATGTAATGATATTTTCGCTAATAATGGCTAAAAAAAAGAATCGAAAAGTCTAAGAAACTACATACTACTGTGCGCCAAAAAATGTCTGCCACACCTTTATGGTTCTTGACTATAACAGGGAAAGTCAAAAATTCGTTTCAAAAACGTACGATATTCGCCGACAACTTCATTTCGCGTAGGGATAACTTCATAATAATTAACTATGATCAAGAATGCCATTCTAAAGTGAACCATTTTTTTTTGCAACCACGTGTAAGTATTCAAAATGTAATATTTTTGGATGATTTGTGTTGATTTTGAACATCAAGTCACTTACTTCCATCAGTCTGTCTATTGGCGATTTTGTCACGGCGTAATTCCAGCAACCGTTGCAGCGATTTTGGTGGAAGAAGACATCTATCAAAATGGCGGGAAAATGCTCCAGCCTTAGCGTGACGTCAATTTGAATTAATTATAAGGAAGCAATTATCTATCTATACGATAAAAAATTCACTGTTGCAGTAATTGTAGAAAAAAATTACCTATTTCCTGGCTGACGCATATTGTCTGAAAGCTGTCTACCAATTCCGATTATATATTTGTAAAACTTTTGGGAATTACTCGACACGAGCTGTATATCTACCATGTGTTTCTGCTGTAACCATTCTTTTTCTCTCAAATCCGGACGTCCTTCAATAAAAGTTAAAACTTACAATGAACTTGACACATGTTCAACAAATGACTGCTCTCACTTATGTACTCGTGTGCCTGCAATTTATTATTTTTGCATTGATAATATCGCAATGAACGGAAGATATTTAGTCAAATCCTTGAACGGGGTTATTCCGCTGTATCCTGGAGCTTTCGTAATTACGTATGGTATTTTGTCAATTTTCTAGCCATACACAGTCCACTTGTCAGACCAGGATATAAATGAATTCAATAAAAATTGTGTAGACGCACCTTTTTAGGGGGTAAATGAAAAAGTGTCATATCTAGAGATTCAACAAAGAATACGACACAAAAATACGAGAGTAAATTTAGCTGAATTTGCAGCACTTTGTACAATATGATCTCTTGATTAGAAGTCTTCATCAAAGTTTGATAACAGACAGTATGTACTTGAATTGTCTACACAAACATGACCAACATAAATCTCAATTTCGACAGATACATGCATTGATACAACATGTCATCTCTGTTAAAACATACACAAGTTTCCAAGATGAATTGGAACCTATTTTCATACATGCAAGACTTTTGTGCTATATATGGGAAAATGAATGTGGGCTATATGGCGTTTATTTCAATTTGTAAAAACGTTGAAAATAAAATTATGTTTGTCATATTGGATAGTGACAGTGTATGACATACTGCAAGTTTAGCTAATTTCACTGTATCCCCTTTCCCGTAGTTTAACCTGGTATTCTTCTGCTGGGCTACTTTGTATTCACGGCTAAAGCTGAATAACTCGTGTTTGGCTATATTAATGAATTATAGCGTATTGCAACAAATAGTTCACAGAATACTACTAGGGGACTAAAATACCGTCACAATGAGATTCTATATGTTACTTTGCTGGACCGGTTAACTTGCTATTGCAAAAATCGTTCAAATTGATTTTCAACCAAAAATGCATTAATAATAATGAATCGTTAATAATAGTAGAATGTTCAACATTTTTCTCGATCTTTTTTAACCAGCTGCCCAACGACTTAGTCGCTGCAACAATCTCACCGAATCAGATAGTATTTTGGACGTATTTTCATCCCTTATAGTAGGGGAACGCAATACGGGATTTTTGGATTCACTCGAGGGCGAGAGATTAACCTTGCATCCTGTTGAGTACCTTCACCATGTATAAATAAGCCCTTCATGCAAGGGGCATTTTTAGGGCAGCCAATTAGAATAGTAAGAAAAAATGCGTCAAGTAGGTCAACTCTGCACTTTTCTCGCAGAACCGTCTTCAGATCATAAAGGATTATGTTTAGCACAAGTTGGACCCTATCAAAATAAGACAGCGATATAGACCCTATATCCTCGATAGAGAATACTTGCTAGGCTAAGTTGCCAAAAAAAGCACGAAACAATTGTCCATGGTTGACTGTCTTTGGTCGGGCGGACGAAAGCACCATGTATAAGATAGACCATTTGATCAAGTCCATCAAACGGATCCATACAACATGAGTCCATAGACATTCTTTCTCTGTCCTCTCTGTAGTACCGTCTATCTGCCAACGTCACCTCTCCCAATACCTGATTGCACGATGGCGTCAGGCGCGGCACAACACCAATCATGCGAAAAGACTTATAAAGAAGAAATAAAATATGTCTGTATCTATCAAGTCTTAAGGGCAAGTGTACGAGGAAATCTATGATGTGTGAAATATGTCTAATAGGTGCATAAAATTACCGGGGTTGAAAATGTATTAATATAGGTACTAACATCAGAAACATCGAAACATTTTTCACAAATGATCAGGATCCTCTGAATCGTCAAAAAACAAAGTTTGAAGGATTTAATTTTTTTTCGTTTTTAACTTTTTTTTTACCACCACTAGACCGATTTCCAAAAACTACAAAGCTTTTTCGCCCTTGCATCATAATTACCTTGTGTGAAAATTTCATCCAAATCCCCAAGTTATAGGAGGGCCAAGGATTTGCACACATACAGACAGGCAGACCGACAAGCAGATCGACGGAATTGATTGATATGTTATTTCGTTATGTACTTGTCATATAATATCCAAAAACCATAATCTCATTTTTACAACCCACTAAAAGGGTATAATATCATATAATCTTTTTTTTTAGCCATCAAATCTTGAAGACCCACTAGGTCCGTGCGTCGCTTGAGTACCTCCCCATTTAGCCTCATGCGCTCCCCTACTACTACAATACTATGAAAATTCGTCTTGGTATATTCCGTTTACCAGCTTCATTTTTAAGAATGTCTTACCTCCAATAACTCCGTATGTTACACAGAGGAACGTCACACTATCGGCAAAGTGCGAAATCGCGAAAGCAGCTGCCCCTAACACTCCTCCAAACATGGCAACGGATCGGAACCCGTACTTGTTCGCAACCGCACTCGCAAAAGGTCCCGTAATCAAGTAGAACCCTGACATAAGCGATCCCACTAGAGTCACTTCCGCTTTGCCAGCCCCGAATTCTGCAGCAATTTCTCCCAAAAACGCGCTGAATGAGAAGATGATACCGTCTACCACAAGGTTGATCATGAAGCTGGCCAAGACCACTACCCAACCCCAGCCTCCGTCAGGGGGCACCACTATCTCCGCAGTGCTTGGGACGTCACTGGGAGTATCACTGAAAAAGGAAAATGGGATCTAGTAAACCGTACAAGGTCTCCACTAAACATGAGGCAAACAATTAAAAGGCAATTTACTAGAATATTTTAGGCATTCTTTGGTTCAAAGCTACAGAGAAAATAATGGTTTCGGCAAGACCAACCTTGATGTTGCTGGAACGATAAGAAGCCGAGATAAGAATGCAATGTGTTATGCTAGGTCATTCATCTAAAGTAATTGAAAATACACTAGCAGAATATGTATAGATTCAGAGAAATTGAAGAACAACTGAGTAATTAACAGTATCCCTGGTACCGGTACTGTCAAAGTATCTTAAAAATAAAGCACTATTCCAAAAATCATCGTAGGACAAAATATCCTTAGTATGGTCTAATATCTGCCTCATATCGAGGAAACATCCTTGCATTTGATTTCAGAAATGCAACATTCAACAGCCGATAAAGGACCTGGCACAATTTGATAGGGTAACGACTTTCCGGCAAAATTATGACACTTGCTGAAACCACCACTTCTTCTGGGATCCGCCAAATGACCTTATAAAAGTTATTTTTTGATGAAATTTCAAGTTTACTTTTATTTTTATATCATCTTCATAAACTTGGCATGGTTTGCTTACTAAGATGATCTTTATAATTTTTTCCATACATTTACTTTATCGAAATAAGACAGCAAAGTGCCATCTATTACCAGAATTGACCAATGCGAGACCGTCTGTTGGAAATGTATCTCAGTTGGCGCCGCTTCTGGTGATATAACAGATACGGCCTACTTACTTTGTTGAATCCGTCTTTTCACTATCTTGCATCAACTTGGCATCTTCTTTATCTGGTGGACTGGGAGATTTGCAATCATCAGATTCTGGTGAATGTAAGTACGAGCAATCGGCTGAATGTGAATTTGGAGGCGACATCTTGTATCACCCTGTAACAAACGAAACTTCATTACACGTGCCTAACAGAAGTTCCGTAATGAACAACAAAGGCAATAACGGCATGCCTACTACTTTTCTAAGAGTATGCCAGTTTAGTTAGGACAATTAAGAGTATGATTGTAGAGTTTTGATTAGTCAAATTTTAGATATTCCTTTCCAGATAATAAATATACGTTAAGCTTTTCTTGCAGACTGTAACATATAAAGAATCAACTTTATGATACCAAAGTGACTATATAATAAATTACACCTTAAATCTAAACTTGTAGCAGATTTCCTGTCCAAATTTTTTTGTTCCACCTTCAGTATTTTTCCATCGTCCTTTCGAAAGTTGCCTGTTCTCGTTCAAGGCTGTGTGTATAGACTAAGAGCTACTAGCAGAATATTAAAGATCACTGTTGAATATTCTTAACCACTTTGTCTCTAGGATCATTTCATTTCCAAGAATGAAATACCGTCTTGATGCGCTTTTTGATTTTTGATTTTATTGTCATTAATTTTGCTCAGAAATGTTAAACTTTGTATTACTTGGGACATTTGAAGACAACTCGCATTGCTAACTATTTTAGATAAACCATATTTCATTCAATTCATTCATGTACAATACTGCTAAGAGTTGACAGTTGCATTATGGAGCAGATGACGTATAGTCAAACCCCTGAACCACTCTGAGCTTTCCTGAATTGTATAATGCATAGAAAAATAATATAAAATAGACTGAAACAAATTTAAAATTTCCCATTATAGGACTAGTATACTTCCCAGTAATAACTCAAAAAGTTACATGAATGTGTCTACATGAAAGTATTGTGAAACAAAATGTATCTACTCTGGTGATGTATTATTCGTAGAGCATCATTGTACCTTTATGAATTGTTTCTGTCACGTGAAGTCTTGAAAACTCAACTAAAAGTGTAATATAGACTCACCATTAAATACCAGTAGACGATAAAAAATGTAACGCTGTTGTAGATACTTCACCATTATATTAACTCAAAGCACAAAACATCAACATAAGATGAACGCGTAGTTAATATAAAACAAACATCATATTGCGAACCAACGAAGATCAAGGCAAATCCAGTTTTCCAGTTTATAAGTTGAATACACCGGTCGATTGGTAAATTTGAATGCAAATGATATACAAGAATTCTACGACGCTATTATAAAGTTTTATACGGAGTTAGTTCAACAATTGTCATATACAAGAAAATGGGAATTAGTCGTGTCTATCATATCTCTCTTACAATATCCAGAATAAAAATCAGATTATATTAGTCAATTCCTTTAGCTGGAAAACAGAAGATTTAAATCAGTTCTCTTTCAAAGTGTGAACTTTAAATACGCTTTTTTCAACACAAGCACAAGCAAAGACACGAAGAGATACTGCACCATCCTTGGAAAATGGATGCAATACATCTATTGAAAATGCAATATGTCTAGCCCTATCATTATTATTAAGAATACTGTTTATACCGTAATAGATAATGCATCTGTGTTTTCAACTACACATTATCCACTATACAAATAGGTTCAGCGTAGACATTTATGAATCGTCTAAATCGTCAGTATACACACAGCACTTACTTTACCAAAGTATGTTGTAATTTGTAACATCTTTCTAGTCAGCGAAGAAGATTTTGCTGTAATTTCACATATATACAAAAAAAAATATTTTAGAAGTGTCCCTTCCTTGTCCGTCCGATGAGGTGTTCGGAATTCCTCCTAACAAATTGTAGAATTCTCTCAGAACTTGATTCTACTGATTCTGTTGAGGGTGCTTCCAACAAGGAAATCACTTTCGAACATATATTTGATTCTTTTCGGAGTGCGCATTTCCGCAAATTTGAAATTACCGAATTGGAAGTTCATAATTAGTATGTTGAGTAAATCTTGATTACCGGTAATTCTTGTAATTTCCGAGTGTGTTTTTATCTAAAAAAAAAATTTATTTCTTGACTATTGGGCTTCTTCTGACAGTTGATCGATAGGAAGAATAGCTTCTTTGATTATGATGGCACCATGATGCAATATTTAGGCACCCATTGCGGCATATAGTACCACCGATATTTAGTGGCAGATAGTTCCGCGGTTTACAGACAATATTCCCCAAATGCTCTCACATCAATTGCATAACCGCAGGATAGCAACTCACGTAATAAGTTCTTTATCCATGTCCCTAATTGCACTGAAAAAAACAGGGGTTATCAAAAAATCTTTGTCACCATTAGTTGTTCCACTATAGTATGTCCACTTTCAGGTATATCCAGGAGCAAACCCACTCTCTCTTAGAATTTATGCTGTATGGTTCGTTTTTTTTTTTTCGTGGACAGCTCTATTTTCAACTCCTCAAGTTATCCAAACTTTGAGTTTTAATGAATACGAAATATGCAGCAAACATTCAGAAAACCTAACCCAGGCATGCAAACTCGATAAACTAAATTTCAAATTTGCCTGGACAACTATTTTCTTTAATACCTTTTCTATATTATTTATGTCTAGAAGTTGCTTTGCGTATATAGCATGTTTGTCACGAAGCTTTTTTCGTTAGAGCACTTTGCCGTGTATCATAGTCATTGCACAAATACAAAACTTCTTCATTGTCTAGAATGTCAATGGATGGTGAAAGTTCTGAAATTTGTTTCTCTATGTAAGCTGTCTCTTAAACCGTCAGTTCTTTCGTTTTCTTCTCAAATTGAAAGCTCTACAAAACCTAGTTAGCGTTGGGCGAGGATTTTGATACCCAACAATTTTATATTTGTCAGGTTCCTGCACATAATTGTAATAACACTAAGGATGTTATAAATAAATCGCCATCTTTAAGAACCTCCTCGACGAAAATTTGTTTGTATTGTGAATTACCTGTGCTTCCATCGCTTCCCTCATTTGAGCAACAATTTCAAATTCTTCATCACTTAAAAATGAAAGAGAAACTGGTTTTTGCAATTCTATAAGCCGTTTCACTGTATTTTCTAAGAGATCCTGTAATATTTCCACAGAAAATACGAGTCTTTGCCACAATCATTACTAAAAAATATTCGTCTGTAGTGAGTGGAATGGTTACTTTTGAATTCTGAATCGTTTGCCAGGTTTTCCTCATTTTACTGAATCTAGTCGGAGAGTCGTCAAAGTTAAAGTTTCTTCTTTTAGCCAAATTAAGCTCATCTATTTCGAATGTCGCTATGTATTTTAAGTGCTGGCAGAAAGTTCTGTTGCAGGACGTCCACGGTATCTTTCTTCTCCATGTAAATTTCATGGTAGTCGCTTAGCATCCGGAACGATTTCCTCGTGAGTTTGTTAAAAAAAATTATGGATCCAACCATTCTTTATGTCTCTCCAAAAATCAATCGGTTTTTGGTCTGCATTGATACACGACGCTGCAAAATTTTGAATCGATGTTTTTCAATTTTAACACGGCTTATTCCTTACCTTTGTAGTGTTCCACCAGATAATTGTGAAGGTGCTGTCTTGATTCGGGTCTAAAGGCCGTCGTCGGTTGCAATTTCTTCCTAACGTTTCGCTAGCACGAGTGGCAAGCTTCTTCAGAGGTCCTTCCATCTTCGATGCTGGATGTAGACGTAGACTCGATTTTTCTTGCGCAGATTGTATTTATACCGGAGGGTAGATGACGTGGCTTGTTCCGCTTCGGGCGTTTCTGAGGGTCGAGTGCCGGATCGGGTTGAGTCTGAGGGTCTCTTCCTTCCTGTTGAAGTTATCTGGACGTTTGTGAATCTCGATAGCTTCCCTGACCAGTCCATTGTGATAGCCGTTGACTGATGACGGCAACCTGCAGCTCCCAAAGTGTATCCTGTGTTCCCCATTGCTTAGTGCATGTTCAGCTACCGCAGACTTCTCAGTTTGTCCTAGCCGGCAATTTGCTTTGTGCTCCTTGAGACTCGTTCCCATTGATGTTTCCGTGGTTTCAATGTATACTTTGCCGCATGAACACGGTATGCGGTAGACTCCTGCAGCTGAGAGTGGGTCCTTCTTGTCCTTTGCCGATCTGATGGTTTGTTGGATCTTCTTCGTAGGCTTGAAGATTGTTTTAATGTCATGTCTCTTCAGGACTCTGCCAATCCTGTCCGTGACTCTTGGCACAAATGGAAGATACGCTTGAGACGTGAGACGCTGTTCGGTTTGATTGATCTTTCGATGTCCCTCTTGCTGTAGCCATTTGCTTCTAACCCAGTTTTCAGGTGTTCAAGTTTTGTCTGGAGGTTCTCCGGTTCGCAAATCCTTCGAGCTCGTTTTGCCAGGGTTCTGATGACTCCATACTTCTGAGTTGGTTGATGATTGGACAAGTCTACATCCAGCATCGAAGATGGAAGAACCTCTGAAGGAGCTGGCCACTCGTGCTAGCGAAACGTTAGGAAGAAATTCCAACTGACGACGGCCTTTAGACCCGAATCAAGACAGCAGATTATCAACTGGCCGCGAAAGCCGTAATCAATTTGTCAATTGTGAAGGTATTTCGTACGTTCTGAATGTCCTAAAGCCTCCCTTTCATACAAGACGTCAAAGAGTTGTCTTCTAGTAGGCATTTTTAATCTAAGAAGACAAATACCACTGTATAAGTAAAAAGAAATTAATTTACAAGATAAAACTGAAATAAAGATCAGCAGCGTCACACCATAACTGAAAAACTAACTTAATTTTTGGGTTAAATCGAATAAAATGTCTCGTCAAGAAAACAGTAGACTTTACAACTGAAATAATGAAATGAAATGTGCATAAAGGATTGCATTTTTATAAACTATGACTCAAGTAAGGAAAATCGAAATGTCTTGAAAACGCACTTGAAAGTGCCTATCACATTGCTATAAGGAACTATTGACCCTAAGTTATGAAAATTGTTTAGAAGCGGGATCTAGCGTGGAAATGTTGGGCGATTTAGACAAACCTAAATTAGAAAATACTCATACTTATTTTATCTTTCACGAATTAATAAAAGTGGCGTTACTATCTGTCTTGCTGTCACTATGTAGAATGATACTGTCAGTCACTCTGTCTAAGAAAAAATTGAAAGTTGTAGTAATGGGAACCAGAGGATCACCGTAGGGTGTAGATTTTTCCAATTTCTTAAAGCCTATAATTTGAAAAGTACACGACTTATATATTCTTTTATATTTTTCTGATAACTTGGTATATCCCCGATTCCGGCTTGGAGTCGATTTCTGGGACACCCTGTATATACAACATGTTAATACATGCCTTGAAAAAGTTTTCTGTATAATCAAACACTGCATTCAAACACCTTATAACACATAAACACCAATTCTAAGTTAGTAATACAACGCAGGTTTGTGTCTGTACCGATAATTATAAGAAAGCTGTGTTTGGCATCTGATAGATTTACGCAATGTCGCTCGAGTTTCCTGGTAAACATGCATTGTTAATTTCTCTGAGTATCTTCAAATTCTGATGATACTAACACTTTTATAACTATTGATTTATGGCCGCTTTTCGGATTATCTGGCCCACTGTGTAAGGTGACGTATACTCGTATGCACAGAGGCAAGATAATCGAGGATACACCTTTATCCGTATAGTTACATATACATGCATAACTTTTTAAACAACCTCATTAGTATTTACGTATATTCATAGGAATTTGTAATAGCTCATTTAATATTATAATTTTTGTTCCCCATGTCTAACATATAAACCTTGTAAATATGTTGCAACAACTTCGCTGTTTATCATCGATACACGTATAAAATATATGTAATGTAAGGGAGGATATGGGTTTTTGCGTATTTTTATGCACCAATAATATTTAACCATTTAGCTGACAAAAATGTTCATAAAAAGCTTATAGAGTAAAGTGGGATAATACGGCACCTTGGGTAATACGCCGCAATTCAAGATTTCAGTTATAAATCGGCGGAGTAGGCGTCAAGTGCACGTTGTCCTGCTGTTTTCTTCGCTAAAATCACCTAAAGACGAATATATAACAGTGTTTGGGAAAAATTACGAAAATAGAAGGTAAGTGCATTCTTCAAATTATTTTGTTATAAGATTTTGGCGATGTGAAGGCGATTGTAAGTCTCTTGTTGTGATTCCCAGTAGGCACATATGAATCTACGGCACATAACCTAACCTTTTGTGCGCGTAGGATAACCAGGTTTCACAAGACACGAGTTTACAATTTTACTAAATCTGGAAGACACACTTTGGTTTAATATGGCATGATAGTGTAGCATATTACCACAAAATGCGGCATATTATCCCAATATGTGGCATTTACACATTTTAAACTTTCAGAGTAAGGAAGATGTCGCGAAATTACAGCAAGAAAAATTTGAGGGCCATGTGGTCAGCAGAAGATCTGACAAATGCAATCTCAGATGATAGAGATGGTCGTGGTTCAGTAAGGTAAATTGCCTGTTAGAACCTTAATGAGGAGACTGTAACCAGGAAATGCGATTGGATACAATTTACGAGGTGTTCAGACTGGGTCCATGAAATCTGCATAAGATGTGACTTATTCTGCTAGGATTGTATCCCACTTCAACAGCTCGCAAACGATATTAAATGGAACAATTGAATATTTATTTCTGTTTTAGGTTATAATTATTTTTTTTTTATTTATTCAATATATTTCGACTTATTTAAGGTTATCCTTGGTTTCAGATTAGGTTTATTTATTGATATGTTAAGGAACATTTCTTCAAAAATATTTTTGTTTATATTTTTTTCATAAATTACATGAATCCTTATGAGAATCACATATTGCCATATTCTCCAGTGTCCCAGCCATATTACCCCAAGGCTGGGGAAATATGGCAATTTGTCATTATTTGATAGTTTTGTTTCCTATTAGACCTATAGTCAAACTAGCCCAAAAACGGATTTACTAAACTATACCTCATACTGGATAGTCACTCTAGCCAGTTCCGTTGCAAGGCTGAATAAACATAGTATCGATTTATAGTTCACTAAAAAACAAGTTGCCATAATACCTCATCTACAAGCTTATAGAGGATGATAATTGCAATAACTTGAATTTTTATAAAACGAGATTTTCGTTTGATAATGTCTCCATCGCTAAATCATTCCTCTCTTTCCCAAAAGTCTAGTTTTGGATATGCCTGCCTGCATGCAGAAAATGAAAACACGGCAGAACAATCTCAATCAAATGCTTAATCAAAAATCTAAAAATTTACTCTTACCCCTTCGCGAGATTTTCTGATAATTTTGTGGCGTGGCCAAACAAGCTTTTCAGTCAACCTACAACCTTTTAAAGTCACTGAAACCTATTTTTTCTGTTGTAACAATAGTTCTGGTCTTATCGAACATTAAATACCAAAAATGTCAGAGCTCGGTTGAAGTCATATTACATCCCTACTATTACTAATTACTAATATAAAAATGTGAAAGTATGTGTGCGTGTTCCGTTTTCATTCCAAAATCGCTGAACCAATTTTAATAAATTTTGGAGCAAAAATAGATTAGACCTTGGTTATGGAATAAATACAACTTGGAAGGGTTGAAAAAGGGATGAAAGTTACGATGACAAATATGTTAATGATAAAAATGTGAGTTTTTAACAGGCTATTACCTTGGCCTATATGTATGAACGTAACGGAATCTTTGAGCCATCATTTTCACCAATTTCCAGAAGTTTGATTAATTCGAAACTTCGCACACGTATCAAGAACCGATGACAATACAATAATTTGATGACAGTTTTCCATTATCCTTATAGGAAAAATTCTGTAAAAAGCAGATATGTATATAAAAAGCCACGGACTTCAAATGCCGCATTACGAATATTGAAATTACAAGCCTCTGTAGCTCAAGAGGCAAAGCACTGATCTTGTAAACCAGGGGTCGTGAGTTCAATCTTCACGGGAGGCAGATTCTGGTATACCTTTTTTTTATTTTTTTAAGACGCCTTAATTAGATTGGCCTGTATGTATGTATGTATATAACGGAATCTTTGAGCATAATTTTCACCAATTTCCAGCAGTTTGATTAATTTGAAACTTCACATACCCATCAACGACCGATGACAGTTCAATATCATGACATGTCAACAAAAAAATAATTGATAAATCAAACTAAAAAATATGAGAAATAAATAATAGTTTAAAAAACTAAAAAAAAACACGCTAACCGAACAAAAAAGTAGAAAATAATTTTTAATTACAAACAGTTCATATTACTGTAGTAGCTGGTCGAACATAACCATAATTAATGACCACAAACTAAAATTATAATAAAATTTAAGTTATTAACAGTATAATTCAATTCAGAGTAAAAAGCGTGGGATGCATTTTGCTATATTTTCATAACTATCCTCTCATAGACAGTTGCCAATAGAATGATTGTAAAATTTAATATATCAAGCACGCTTTTTACTCTGAATTGAATTATTCTGTTAATAACTTAAATTTTATTATAATTTTAATTTGTGGTCATTAATCATGATTGATTGTTCGACCATCTACTACAGTAATATAAACTCTTTGTAATTAAAAATTATTTTCGACTTTTTAGTTTGGTTAGCTATAAAAGCGTGTTTTTAGTTTTTTTAAACTATTTATTTATTATTTTGTTCCTTGATAGAATGTAAGTGAAAACTTAAAATGGACTTTTGAATATTCCACCCCAAAGAGGGTGGAGTGAGAGTTTTGTTGAGATGTTAGATAGTTTCAAATCAAACCAGCCTAGATCAAACCAGGAGCGTGCAGTGTCATGGTTGTAGTTCAGTTTTAGAAATAAAATAAAAAATCATTAATATCACATTGCGTATACTAATTAGTCATCACACAAACTCAGTAGCTATAACGTAAGCTGACAATATGTGGAATTTCGATAACATAAAAAAGTAGGTCTACTTAGAAATATACTTTTGTCATTTCAGGCACCCTTACTTCTTTCAATTCATCCATTTACATGTTTCGTGAATTTGTGTGATAGCTCGTAGGTCCACGTTACATAACAATAATATGTATTGAGTTAAACTTTGCAAAATGTTCTTTTCTCTCTCAATTCAAGCTGGATTTGTGATATCAACATAAATATTGAGTAGGGATTTCTGAGGATGAGGAACATGATTATATTATATTTCGCTAGAGGTCGCTAGTTGTAGCGTATTACCTCAGTGTTCCATTACATTAGTTTACATTAATTGCAACTAACTAAACCGTTTTTCAGATATCATAGCCAGGGATAGTTTGTTAAGAGTAGATAAGTTGTAGATGAGAAATGAATGAAGTAACGGATATTTGACAATAGGTAGCGCATATTGGCATTACAGCATAACCAAGCCAACCTTCATTTTTATCTTGCGCATATTCTACAGTTAAGCGAGTATGTTTAAGCCAACCATTTGACTGTGCAATGAAATATTGAAATGCAAATTTCTCAAAAACTCTAATTTAAAGATCATAAACCTTAAGATTTTAAAAAGATTATGACATAAAGTATCAAGGGAGATTCTACACACTATGTTAAAAAATATAATCGTGTTCCTCATTATCACCTACCTTTGAGTCCTAATTTTGATGTTGATATCATAGAATCAGTTTAAGTTTGAAAAAAGGATTTTTAAAAACAAACTGCGACGTTTTAATGTAGGATTCCTATTTGGCGTATTCACTACGAATTACCTCGTATAATGAGTCATTAGGGATTCATCAACTCAAGTAGCTTGATATTTTCACGAACTACTAGACTAAATAATAATATAATAGTATTAGTTGAAAGGTTAATGCTTGACTTGCTTTTTTTATTGTTCTACTTGACTTGAGGTCAAGCATTTTCAAACTACTTATTACTTGAGGGCATACTACATTTTTGTTCTACTAAAGTCCTTCAGTTCACGTAGAGAATCGAAAATTTTCACGAGATACCATGTACACTGCCATCTCAAATAATGCGTGCAATACAGCGTTACCAAACCAAGAAACACGAAATCGGTAGATAGTGTCATTGAAATTCGGTAGATTCAAAGACAAAATCCGTAGGAAGAAAAAATCAGGGCCGGCGCAAGATCAGCGGCGGATCTAGGGGTTTTGGGCCACGTAGCACTATCTATGAAAAGTATATTTTCATATAGCGCAGGGACGCAACACAGTTACACAGGTTTTCAGTAAATATAAAAACAAATCAAAATTAAACCTCTTCAACGATTAATTTCACATGTGTTTAACAAGAACAACATATAATAATAATACTTCTTTAACTATTATACACGTTGTATAACAGGCACAACTTAAAAATAATGATGGTGATATAGGAGTGTGATTCAAAATCCGAACAGGTGTCGCTTCCGTTATTTTTAATTTTACCCCCAGTATAAACCCGTAGGATCCCGCATGTGTCTTAGCTCGTGATTAGCGAATAAAAAGCTGATTTCAAATCAACTCAAGCAGCTTGAAAATAAAGTCAATTCGTGGACCCCTATGAACCATAGTTGATGTAATACCACTGCCTTGTTAAACCTGCCAATGCCCGGTTCAGTGCGAGAATGAGTACCACCCTGCTTAACGTGAACGCGAGAGTTCAATAGTCCACTAGCAAGCTGACGGGATTCCACCAGGTATTGCATCACTTTTTCCAGCTCACCACCAATAAAAAGCTTCACTGTTTGGTATTTTGCAATGCGTGAGTCTAGCCACCCATGCATTCAAAACAACCATCTACAAGTATTTTCCAATTATAGATACACGGATTGTTTTACATCTGTTTTAATTTTGGAATGAGGTACAGTGCAAGTTCACTGACACGGCGCGGACGATTGTACTTAAATATTAACTATCTTGATATTTTTCTGTATGTATTTGCATACTAATTCACCGATATGTACTTAAATGGTTTTGGTGAAAGTTTCGTGAACAAATCATAGCTTTATTAGCAAACTAATAGCGATCATAAAATTAAACTTTATGAATGATCCAATGAAAATATAAAAGATTCAAAACTGTAGGAAAGGAAAATCCCCAAATTTAATCCTGATTAAAAAAAATCATCGGTACGCCTTAAAAGCACTTAGGACATAAAATGTCGGGAAACAGGAACAGTGGCCTGAAATCAACATATTGACTCTTACAAAAAGTGTACTTTGACTATGCCCAAAAATAGTGAGGAACTCTAAATCAAATAAAAACAAACACTGTTGTTTGAAATACAGTACCACTGAACCTATTGTCGAAACCCACAATGCCTTTCCGGCCTTGGCATTGTTTTAACCTTGTGTAGAAGTTTCATTGAAATGTGAGTAGTACTTTTGTCCATGATGTGCATGTCATGTAATATAAAATGCAAGGTTGTATATTCTTAAGTGAACACTAACTAATTGATAATCAATTGGAATCCTCCGGAGGTAAAACGTTAGATCTAAGGTCCATTTTCTTCATAGCAAGTGTACAGGTTACACAAACATTGCTACCGTCTCGTGTTGAACCAATACATCCGTGTTTCCAATTCAAGTATGTATGTTTATACGTCTTTCCAATGACGCTTTGTATATTGGCAAAGTGTTTACTACACTTTACTCCAGTTGGAATAACGCCAAGCACATTATAGTTAGATTGGAACGCCAGTGAGATGCTAGGATACTCGTAAAACATTTGATATTCTTTAAATTTACCTCAATCTATAATAGAACTTGCATTGAAGGATATGATCTAGTTCCAAGAGAGACCAATAGTAATCCAGAGATTCCATTTTGAACTGTTAAACAGTTTCTAATATGTCATGTTGAGTCGTAAAAGCTCGATGACAACTAACAAAACACGTGGATACTCCAATGCTTTAAATGAAATTGTATTAGAACCGACTGACGTCAAAGCTTCGAAGAACATAATCCAATCGGATAAGCCACTTGTTGATTGCTCTATCCGTCTAAACAATTTCCTTTCGTTAAGTATGCCAATTACTCCAAGCAAATTACGTCAATTCCTCATTTTTGATAAAAATGTATGGACTATGTGGGAAAATAAGCAATAATTCGGTGACTCAATTGCACTAAAATAGAACAGCTTGAGACGCTTTCTTTTATTCATCGATGGATCCACCGATAACGTCAGTCCATCAAAGCTATCATTTTATTCATCGTTGCATTTCATCAGAGAGTTCTTTCATTACTGATGGATCGCCGACGTCATTCAATAAATTGATAAAAAGTTATTGTAAAAAAGTGTTAAACATAGATCATTTTCGGTTGCTTATATCTACTTTAACGAACAAATGTCAACCAAACTTAGTAATCCTGAAGTCCATGGTGAGCAAAATGTAGAGGTGCTTAGAGAGACAAGTAAAAAAAAATGTTTTTCGAAAAAATATGTTTGCAATCTATTCCGTTTTAATCATACAGAAATTACGTCGCAACATATATTGTATTATAGAATGCATTCATTGTGCGTTAAGTAATGTTCATAAATATAAGGGAAACATCGATAATATAAAAAATTATGTCAAGTAAATTGAGTCTATACTTCCCATTCCTTCGAAACAACTTCTAGTACAATTTTCCATGTAGTGCAATGACATCAAAAATATATAGGTATTGTGAGAACAACTAGTGAACTATTTGCGCTTTTTATGAAAAAATAATCCTCAGATTCAGACAGACAAACCGAGAGACCGACAGAAATGAGTGACAGTTTTTCATGTCATATAACAACCAAAAAACAATTTCTCATTTTCAATTTTTCTTACAATACTTCCTATACCATTTCAGAAGCGTCATTAAAGTAATATACAATGCGAATGGAATTACATAGACTTTGGGTCTCTAATGAATAGGACTATGTTTTCAACAGACATCAGACCATGAATTGTGAAACTGATCGCAAAAACGTCCAGAAACAAGTGGAGTTCTAAAATGGAAGTATAAAAAGATGTATGGGTATGTTTT